AGGCATACGTATCAAAGTGAGACCTCGCGTCCTGAATTCTGGTTCCGCCGCGCCTTCTTTCTTGTGCATTTTAGTGCAAGATTCCACCGGCTCATCCGCCACCTCGTCAGTCTTGTCACGCCCCTTGTTGTGCCCAAGCCGGGCCTGGTTTGCCTTGCAATTTCTCCTAGTCACGAACATGAAGATCGAAGGTTGTTCTTGTCGGCGTCATCTCGCCCGCAAACTTCCGCAACCCGCACGCAAACAGCAGAACATCATTGAGTCTTTGATGGATGATGGAACAACTTTTTAATTATATGTAGAATATCCTTGGGCCTTGTGCACCTCGTGCTATTATAGCCCGATTGACATAATGAGGCTGAAACAGAGTTCAAGCTCGCAGTTCTGGGCGGTTTTGGGTTTCAATACAGCTGGTTGCGCTATTGCGCTGCAAGTTGGAAGGATGGGGGAATACGACTTCTGATCTATTGAATACTGTTGTACAGTCTACAGCTCCTATCACCTGGTAATATCCCACTTCTCCGCCAACTTCCCAAATATCTCATCAATCTCCTCCTTCTCCGGCGCCGCGACTATCAAGTCATCGACATATGACAAGATAATAGTTGGTTTCTTGACACCAGGCCTACGTCGAACGTACAGCCCCCAGTCACTCTCCACTCGAGTAAACCCCAAATCCAGCAGAGCATCGCGAAGCTGTATCCACCAGATCCTCCCTGATTGCTTCAGGCCGTAATAAAGGGACCCCTTCAGGCGCAGTACATCGCAACCTTTCGCGGGCCGAGCCGGCCATTCAAGTAAGCCCCTTTGACGTCTGCTTGACCAATTTCGAGTTCGTATTTGGCGATTATGACGAGGAGTAGTCGGAGGCTTGTGAAGCGGGATGTAGGGGACCATGTCAGCTCGTAGTCGACACCTGGTTGCTGACTGAAGCCTTGCGCGACAAGTCTGACCTTGTACTTGAGTACGTTGCCAAGTGCATCTTTCTTCTTCGCCAAAACCCATCTTGACCCCACGACTTTCCTCCCTTTCGGCAACACTGCTTCCTCCCAGACATCCTTCTCCTCTATCGTCGACAACTCTGTCTTCATCGCCTTTCTCCAGATCTCTTTCTCTTCTCCTTCGAGGGCTTCTTTGAGGGTACCCGGGACATCTTCCGGAACCTTCAAGATAGCGTTGAGAACATGCTCGGAGCCGAGGTGGTACCATCGATCGTCCTTGCCATCATACCGCAGGGTGAAAGAGGCTAGTTTTCTCGCTTGAGACCTAGTACATACGGGCCTGAGTTGGGACCGGAGGAGGTGGTTTCGGCAATGATGTAGGGGGCGTAATCTGAGGAATGCCCTCTTCGTCATCAGACGTCAGAGGTGACCCGAGTGCTTGGGCCGTTGCCTTATTCCTTTATTGTATGTCTCCCTCCCTGAGTCCCTGCCCCCCTCGTCTTTGCTGACCGTTTCTACGTAGCACTTCTCCGTCTCCCTCCGACTCCACGCTCACGATTTCATTCCTCTCATCCCCGAAGTGTCGACAAGTAGTCTAGTAAGGGCTCGGAGATTAAGGATTCAATTATTATCAAGTGTCACCCAGGAAGTCCGAGAAACTTCCCAGCTAGAATTCTACGTCTCTTCTGTAACCCTTTCGGGCTTCGGGATCCGATTTATTCTTTCTTTTCCCTTATATTTATCCTCGCTGGCCTCCTTTTGTACACTAACACCTAATCTAATCGATCTAATCAAAGGTGGCCCACTGAAAGCGCGGGGTTTTCTTGCCTCTCTACTTATCTCTCATGCATCCCATGAGACATGGCAATACATATTCTCAATCACCACGCCTCGCTGTGCATGGCTAGTATTCTCCTCGGTATCCCGCAGCGGGGCTCCTGGGCACGTGCAATATGTGCCGAGGAGGAGGAGGAGGAGGAGACAGACTGCTGCCCCAGGCACTTTACGTAAATACGGGAACAATCTCTGTGTTCCTCGCTCGGTGTCCGAAAATCGAATGTAGGTACACGGCCGTGCCGCCGTCGATCCTGGCCTTCTCCATCGCACCGCACAGAACTCGGCGCTTTTCACCCACGCTTCAGGCTACAGGCGGGAACCGCTCCGCCGTGGCTAGGCTCGGTAGCAGCCGCCTCCGCCCTCAGAGGAGGGGCTTGGTTCAATAATTCGCGCCTGGCGCGGGTGATGGCTTAAATTTGGCGTTTTTGGCGCGTATCGTCTGTCTTTGACGGCTCACTGGTCATGCATGTGGCCACTTGAGGCTCCCATCATTCACATATGCATAGAGAAGAAGCAAATGAACGATTCTGTCTCCTAGCATTTTGCAATACATGTCTTGGGACGTTCATAATCAGCCGCAAAGGTTGAGCTCGATCAACTTTGGGAGGCCTAATATGGATAGGTGCGTCGCTACACGAGTGTAACAATTTCTTGTCTCGCCTATCTGGTCGCCGACGTCGATGTTTGTTGTTAGGCGCGGGTGGAGGGCTTGTGTCGGGCCAGATGCTTGCTCGGGCGAGGAGGGTGCCTGATCAATTTCCCTGGATTATGTGGGCCCCCGCATAAAAGTGCGTGAAAAAGTTTCTTTTGAGCGCTCATATCTCTGTCCGTTTTGCATATGCATGGTCGTCTGAACCATGGGATATAGATCGGATTCGAATCTATCTATTCATACTTTTTTTGTCGCTCAACGTTATCTGCAGCGGTAGTGGCACTCGCTCAAAACCAGTCGTGTTTGGCCATTTTGAGAGAAGCACTCCATACAAACTTCTCCAGGCCACTGTAACCCGGATATGAACGTCACTTTCAACGATTGGGAGATGGCGTCTTGACAGATGATAGTTCCGACCCCTACCTATCTCATGAGCCCAAAATTGGAGCATATGGAGTCATGCATGTACCACTTCACTTATGGACGAAATCGCTGAAAACGGTCAGGAACGGCCAAATTTAGAGAAGCACCCCTATTAAAATTGAATTATTGAACCAAGCCCCTCCTCCTGGCGTCGTCGGAGCGAGGGGCTTGTGTCGAGCCTACGCCGTGGCCGCCGTTTAGCCATCCGCCGTCCTCAGCCAACCCCTCGTGCCTTTTATCACGTCCTTGGCTTTGCCTTGGCTCATCGCTGCCACGGCTTCTGGCTGGTTGTGAGAGAGGACGTCTCGTCAGCAAAGGGCGCGTCTCGTCAGCACGTCAATCAACATCAAATCGGAGCATCTACAGTACTTGGCAGAATAGGAGATGTTGAACGCTGGTCATCACTGACAGTGTACTGCCACTGCGGTATTCATTCGGTATGTCGTCAGCCGTTGCCGCCCACTAGTCGAAACTCCCATCATCAAAACAACCAGCTCGTCTTCTCCAGGGGCCGGCTGCATGAAGCTAAGACATGACTGAGCTGCACTACAAGCCCTCACTTGCCCCCGGGCCCAAGGCTGGCCTCCACTGACTGGCAAGTGGCATCTGAGCCGCAATGGGGAGGTTCAAGTGGGCAAGGGCCAAGGAGTAAGAGCCAAGAGGGGCAAGAGAGACAAGAAGAGGGTAGCCTGAAGGGAAACCACGGCTCGCGGTCAGGTCCGGCCCAGGACTCCAGGTACGTTCATGAAATCAACCCCATCGGGCGCTACAAGAGCTTATGGGAGGGAAGTATCGAACAGTGCAACTGGGCCGCAGTTACGCAGGTAGGTAGCAGTCATATGAGAGAGGGTGCAGAGATGGCAAAGCCTGTACAGCTATCGCGTCGAAGTGTGCAGGTTCATTGAAGAAGACATCATCCTTCGACTTCATCCTCGGCCTCCTCGGTAGCTCCGCTACTGCGTGTATGTATGGTCAAGTTGCCCCCGAGGCCTCCGAGGCCTCCGAGATCTATGGTCTATGGAAGCTGTTCAAAACTTCAAATATGCCTGAAAGTCCGATCTGGGAAAACTGGAGACAGGGGGTGTGAGCCACCAAGCCTTCGGGGTTTTCATGTTGTCATCGGTCTTCATTCAACGCCCTGGGGGTGGGTGGGGTAAGATGCTCTTGTGAGACATCACTTGTTTCCAAACTCTGTGGGCTCTGTTTCCGCATTCGTTGGCTCTACTAAGAGTACTAAGACATGTTTACATTGCATGAGACCTCACCGCGTTGAAAGCGTCTGGAGAGTGAAGTCCGCGCGTTTGTCTCTGCCTCTCGGGCTTCTGGCCGGCCTTTGGAACCCCAAAGCCATAAGTACTGCGCTCGGCTGGTCCAGCAGACTAATTTGACTAAGTAGGTCCGGTATATTCCTCGGTCGGCTAGCCTGCTCGTCGGCATCTCATCTCAAATTACATCATCCTCCACGATCCGTCCAGCAAGCGAGGACAGCCAAAAGACCATATCAATGCCCGAGCCCGGGCTCTGTCCTTCTAGTTCCGACTATTCAACACCGCAACCTTGAGCGATATCTCTCGTCGGGCAACAGAGTCAACTTTCTCATGATTATCACCATCATCACGCCAGTAGAAAATGTTGATGAATCCGTCAACCTCGTCTTTTCCCGTACTCTTGCTTTTTTCTACCTCGAAGACCTTCGCTCCCTCCTGCTGTTTCTTGGGATCGGATGCCCCTCTCCCATCACCTTTTACCCAGCTTCCACCGCTCTCGAGCCTCAAGAATCTGTCTTCAAGACCAGTGGACTTGTGATTGGTCGCTGTAGGCCTCAGACCACCGCAAGATTTCACGCGACCTGCAACTGTACTCTTCCCCATTCATCATTATCAGCCAGAACAGTTATCGACCTGGGAAACCTCAAAAACCCTGCCGACATCGTCGAGTGCCAACGATCCGGGACAGGCCTTTTGTGGGCAGTTATGCATTACGTGGTAGATGGATGTCCTCATCTTCCAATTCAAGCGCGTTTTATACGTTTCATACAGTAGATGTACACAGACAGAAAGCCACCAGGACCAATCGCCCCTTCCTGTATATCCCCCCCCCCTGCCAAATCTCAAAGTAGAGAATCAAAGAGAACACCGAGAAAGCCATCACCTCCGTCCACCTCCCAACTCCCCTCTCAAAGCCTCGAAATACCCCGGCGGTAAACTACCTCCATTCCCTGCCGCAGCCACAGCCATAGCCGCAGGTAGAGGCCCCATATCAACTTCCCTCCCGGGTACTTTGATCCTCTCTTCTGCCCTTTCAACATCACCTGCGCGACCATTGCGCGGAAGAGATGCCGTGTAAGGAAGGGATACGAGTTCGGCTTTGTATGCTAGTTCGGTGGACGAGATATTGCCTGCCGCTGTCGCCGACACCGTTGGTGTGGGTGATGTTGTTCTTTTGGGCGGAGGGGAGACAGGTGAAGCACCATTCTGAGTTGAAGGGGAAGAAGTGACGTGAAGGGAATGCGCCGATATTTGGCTTGAGGCAGTACCCGGTCGGGAACCCCTGGACGACCGATAGCTCCCCGCGGTCCCCGGCCTGTCGTCTCTATCGTTGCCGTGCCCATTGGTTTGGGGAAGGGGTGTGCGAGGAAGAGGGCGGAGTGTATACGTCCCTCTCGTCGATGATCTGCTTTGTGACACCCCAGGTGTAGACAGGGCATAAGCCGATTCGCGTTGAAGCTTGTTCAACCCTCCGCTTCCGCCAGAAGCGCGAGAACCCCAAGAGAGATACTTGTCTTCCAACAACTCTCCCCTCTCGCCTTCGCCTTGTCCCTGTCGATTACCTCCCCTCACATGTCGCGGTTCGAGTGGCTCAGGCGGCGGCTCGACATACGTTCCTTCCTGCGAATACACACTCGGTGCTGTCGTGCTAGGCGCAGGGGCACTGAACGGTAAGCGGCCGAGCGTGTTTGGTCCGCGAGAAGGACCGGCGGAGGGGATGTAGGAAGTAGCGTTGGACGTCGGTGGGGGTGGGACGAGAGTCAAGAATGGGCGGGAGTCGGGCGCGGGGGTAGAGGATGCGAGAGCAGGGTAATGGGGATCAGTGGCTGGCTGAGCAGGGCGGGACATCTGTGCTTCCAGCCCCCCGCTTCTGGGTGTAACCAAAGGCGCAGAAAGAGGCGCATGCAGACTCTCGCGCACCGAACCTCCTCGCGAATAGTGTCCATCTCTTCTAGAAGACGCACTGGAGCAGTCCGAATCGTCATCATCGTCCGACTTTTCCGCCAAATCCACTTTTACAAGCGCTCGTCTCATCGATCTCATCGAAGTCGTCGCCGTGGATACCGTGGTGCGAGTCGATTTTTGAGAACGAGATCGAGTTTGTTGGGGAGGTTTGGAATAGTAGAATGAAGACCTTCTCCCGAGCCCATCGGCATCACCGTCGCCGTCTGCCAACCGCGAATGATCTCCCTTCTTGCGCCAGAACAGCACCCAAGCGAGGAGGAATACCAACCCGAGGCCGACAGCTCCACCAGCAACCCCACCGGCTATGGCGCCTACCGACCTGGTGCTTTCACTGGCTTTCTCTGAGGCTGCGCTTTCAGAGGCGGAGGAGACGGTCGTGCCTTGTAGGATAGGCGACGATTCATTGTTGGATGAGGAAGAAGAAAGGGTAGAATTGATGACGGCATAGTCGAATCCGAGTGACTTGGCTTCGAGGTTGGTAAACTGGAGGGTGTGGGGAGAGTCGGGGAGGTTGGAGATTGTGTACACTGCTATCTATCAGTCCTGAGTATCTGGCTATCGGGAAGCGGCTTACTGGGCACTTTGTAGACCGTCTCTGGCCAACTTGAGTTGAATGTCTCTTCTTCCCCTCCATCCACACTATAGAAACGTCGTCAGCCTTTCTACCCTGCCCTCCGAGGTCGACAAGTGCTTACCTGACTGAATATTGCCCGTGATTCGGTCCCACAGCAGCGAACACCTGTATCGACGACCCATTGAAACTACACTTTGATCAGCATCTGTACCTGAAGCTCAGCATCCCAAGTCCAGGAGAGGAAGATAGTGAGAGGAAAGAGGCAAGACTTACTTAAGCGTAAATCCAGAATCCTGGGTGGTAGAAACATGCTCGGTTTGATTATAAGACGCACTGTCCCCATCCCCGTCTGGCGTCCAGGCGTCGTCGTAAGTGATGGCCGGGCTGGTATCTTCCAGTATCGTTGTAAAGACCTGTTCTTTGCCGTCGCTAGGTGAAAAGTCAGCTCGAGATACAGAGAAAGGGGAGAGAAGCGCACAGAGAGGAATGAAATACGATGTAGTCAATATCCAGCCAGAACCCAGTCCCGTCGTCGGTTTGTCCAGTCGTTTTCGATGGGAAGTTCGTCACTGTCTGCTTTCCCGTCAGCCTCCTTCCCTAGCCCTTACCACGGAACACAGCATCAGGACTTACCATAGTATGTTCCTTCTCGGCAGGTAGGTCCACTGCCTTGAACACCCTCTGCCCATACACACTTTCCTCTGCCCAGCCACTAACAAATTGCTCATCACGGCCATCAATGATCACGCCAAATATCCCGTGATTTGGCCTCTTGGCGCCATAGAGGGAGACGGTGGTGGCGTTGAATTTGACCGTTAGAGAGTCGCCCTGTGGGAATACACTGTCAGCTTAATTCCTCGATTTATACAGAGACGGGGCACGTGCTTCGGTACTGGTAGCGTGGAATGTAGAGAGACTGTATTGGTCTGTGGTAGGGTCAGGCCATGTCGTCCCTACGCACAAAATTCAGTCAGCTTTGTGAACACCATGCCCGAGGTTCTTGGAGACGCACCGTTCCTGTGGTCTGTTATCCACCCGTTCGAGTTCGAGCGGTACACGAGCTGGGGGGAGGCGTCGTCAATCTGCACCCCATGGTCAGTGGACTGTTGTTGAGATGGAGAAAGAAGAGGACGTACAAAAATGTCCATTGTTGTTACGGCACTTGACGCGTCGAATTCGGAGATCGCCGAAAAGTAATGTGGCCAGTCGCGTAGTTGGTGAGGGATGTCCTCGAGAGCGTCAAGCTGCTTTATATCCGTAGAGTGCGAGACGACAAGACAATAAGAGAACGATAGAGAGTAAACCTGAAACAGTCGAAACACTTTTTTGGCGATCTATTCTGAAATCCAATCGACCGTCGATCTCACGCCACTCAAACTATGCTGGAAGCAGATGCGTGTGAGCAGATGGAGTTGGCCGCTGATGGGAGGTGGGGATGGGTTTGAGATTGTCATCGTCGGGGGGTGAGTAGTGTGTTTATGTAGACGGGTAGGGACGGTGAGTGATCTGGTGATTGATAATTGACGATTTGATGGGAATCAACTCTCTCGGTTCTTTCAGAGCGCGCGCTCGCTGCTCGCTGCTTGCTCGGGGGCGATGTGGGAGGGATACCGGATCGAGCTGTAGTGCCAGAAGAAAGGCATCCAAAGGCCATAGTCGGATTCATCCCGTCTTTCTGCTCTGGGAGGCCAAGGAGGGAGCGTCGGAAGAGCGAGTCATACCAAACGCGCAGTCTTCTGTTGTTGTTGCCAAGCGCTATCTCCTCCAAGCTTCCACTAACCCCACCTCCCCTCTAGATCATCTGTCTCTCTCCTATTCTACCGCTCAACACGATCACCCAGCAACACCCTCTCGAGTTTCGCAGACAAGCCAACAAATGCTCATCGGACGGCGTGAATACCGGATTGTCTGCGCCACACGCGCTGTTCCTGGACACATTGTGTGGCTTACACCAGCAGATTCCGCGGACACACACCACTGCTACGTATTTGATTTGATCCTTTGGGAGAAAGGTGAGGTGACCACCGGATCCTTATGCAGCGAGTACATATAAGCCATCTGCTTCTTATATGTATACGCATGGCGCGTCCTCCGTTGTGCTTCTTGGATCTTGGCGGTCATACTTGCTTGCTTCCTCGACCATCTCGCTCGGGCTGATCAATGCACCGACGTATAGCCAGGTCAATTGCTTGGTAGTTATTGAGTGCTGTATGTAAGCAAAAGTCCAAGCCCGCAGAGCCATCGCCGAGATCGTTCCCACAACTCATGCTTCTCCCGAGGAACACATAGTCAATGATCTAAACCTGTACACAGACAGCATGGAGCATAGAGATCAACGCGCCCATCCCACCGAGATGCGAGGACAGAAGAGCGAAGAGCGAAGGAGGAGGTTCGGGGATCCGGGAGCGAGAAATGCCTCGCGCGTTGACTGATGATGACGCGAATTCTAGCCTGGAGATTCTGGGACCAAACAACAAGAATTGCCATAGTCTAGAACGCTTGGACAAAAGCTGTATATTTACACGAACCTGCACAGCAGACATCACCAGATATGCAAGGAACTAGTATCATATCATGATGTAAATGTCATTACGGGTCCTAGCACAAAGAAGCCAGGGGTATGTAAATTATCCGTTGAAGTATCATCAAGTACGCAAGAGCAAGAAACCGCTAAATGAAAAAGAAACACGTTGTCAAGCCTAGTGTTGTCCACGGGGCTGAACAGCTTGGACATACTCCGGCGGCTGCCTATCACCTCCAGCCTGTTCTGCAGTAAAATGAGAAAGTGCCGAGAAACTGCCCATACTATTCATCCTCGGTAACGTCGGCGCACCCCCAGATCCACCCGTACCAGGTCGCGACTTCTCGCTCAGCTGGGCTGTACTGACAGTCGCCGGGCCCACGCCCTGCCCCTGCTGCATGAGGGTTTCAGAAGCACCGCCGGTACCGGTGAAGGGCGTAAAAGTGGCAGGCATCGCGCCCCGAGACGATTGGTGGGCCGAACGGGGGTAGGACGAAGTGTTGGACCCCGGGGGAGGAGGCATGGACGGGAAGAAGGGACTGTTGGCGGTGGCATTGCTCACCAAGGTAGCGTCCTGAGAACCAGGGGACAAAGGGGCAGAGCTGTTGTACAAGAAGGTACCGCCGCCGGAGGAACTACCCCCACTACTGGGAGGAGGGTGATATGACCTTTCGTCGTAAGAGTGCTGTTGTGGTTGATTGGGATGGTCAACAAAGGGGGTGACAGGTGTGCGGGGGGTCCCTCCAGACCAAAGCATAGACCTCGGTGTATGCCTTCCCGCACTTCCTCTGGAAGATCCCAAATCAACCATATTCCTCGAAGACGGTGTCGTCTTTCTCGAGTGAGCACCAGCAGGGCCGGGGGCATAATCGAAGTATGATCCTTCCCTAGACCCGTCCTCGCTGAACTGGGAGGAGGAAGCAGAGTTGCGTCGACGGCGGAAGAACCAGAATGCAAGAACGGCTAGAAGAGCGAGGGCTACTACACCACCGGCAACGCCGCCAGAGATGGCACCGACGTTGGTCTTGGATCCGCCGTTCGTGTCTTCGGAAGCACCTGCTACTACGGCGGAAGAGGAGGAAGAAGAAGTCGAGCTTGAGGCCGTCCCTGCACCGTTAGAGGTGGTAGAATCGGATCCGACGGCAGTGGAAGCAAGCGTCGAAGCCACGATGGCGGAAGTAGAAGAAGCAGGCGGGGAAGTTGAGTTGACCATAGCGTAATCGAACGACAAGATCGATCTCGTGCCCGAGCCGAGATTTGTCACCGTCACCGTATGATCGCCTTCGTCCAAACCCGAGGCTGTATAAACTGTCATCGTGGTCAGCTCCTCTTCTTTTCTCTGATGGCGTTAAATGGAAGAACCGGAGAGGTAAGAAGAACTTACTGGGAACTTGATAGATGGGTGTAAAGAAGTTTGAATTGAACACTTCGGCTTCGGCACCGTCGAGCGAAACAGAGTAGTTGCCGTGTACGTCGTTTAGAGATGCGATGAGCTGGATACTCGATCCTGTAAATCTGTTCTCTTCACATCAGCCCAGATTCCCCATCCTGTTCGGAGGCCGACAGATTGAAGAAGAAGAGAAGACTTACGGAACAGTCATAATAGACCCTTCAGTAGAAGTAGTATGGTCCGTCAAGTTGAAGAAGGCGACATTCCTGTTGGAATCGACATATGTGCTCCAGCTGGTGTATGTGATGACTGGGTTGGCGTCGTCGATCATGGTGGTGTAGACTTGGCCTGAGGTGGAGGATGTTGCTTGGGAGACAAAGTCAGTCTCTGGGAAAAGGAGAGTAGAAGAAGGGGGCGTACTTTGGATGTAGTCAATGTCCAACCAATGGTTGCCCGCTACAGCTGAGGTACCGGCGTTGGGGTAGTTTGTGATCGTCTATAATCCGTCCATCAGCTTTCAAAGTGAATAGTAAGAGAAATGAAGAGGGGGGCAACGCACAACAGTATGTTCCGAATCGTCCAACCCGTTCCTAGAGAACAAAACTTGCTTGAAAAGCGTGGTTGCCGAGTACCCATCAGACATCAACACGTCCCCACCGTCTACCGAGACTATCTCGCTGTCAGCGTTCTTTCCTCAACCCGAGATCCTCTACCAGAAGCTCAGAAGAGAAAAGACGTACCTCCATAAATCCCATGATTGTCCCTCTTCGCTCCATAGATGGCAACACCCGAGCCATTGAACTTGTACACCATGTAGTCGCCGTCGCCGTATGTGCCGTGGAAAGTGCCTTTGCTGTAGGATGATACCATGGATGCTTTATCTTTTGGCAAATCAGCTTTGCGGGGGTCGAAAGAGGAGGGGAGGGAAGGACACACCAGAAGTATGGTCAACGATCCAGCCAGAAGCAGATCCGGCGGCGGCATAGTACGCAATCTGGGGGGAGACGTCGTCGAGCTGTACATTGTCAAGATCAGCGTGCGTCTCTGTGAGGATGGATGGATACTTACTTGTATATTCATGCTGGGCCAGTAGTGACGCGTTCACAGAGAGAGAGAGAGAGAGCGAGCAGTAAAGGGAGATCACGTAGCACCCGGGGAGGGGGAAGGATGGGGCGGTGGCACGCCGGATTGAGCGCGAAGGAGGGTGCGCACTCGAACGGAAACTCGGGCCTTTGGGTCGCTGTCGATAGGGCACTGAGGGTACAGATGATGCTGTAAGGTATCCAGAAGAGAAGAGAACAGATGAGGATGCGAGATGTACCCCATGATACTATACCGGAGAAATGCAGCATCGCTCTACCCCCGTCCTCCAATGGAAAGAGAGGAGTGAAGGGCCCTGTGTTTGCAACACACAGCGCCACGCCAAGGCACATGCCATAATGGGTGGGTGTTTCAGGTGAACATGATCGACTTTGATTGAGTGCAGGAGTGCTGTGTAGAGATGCCGAGCCGGCCATGGTAACTGTAAGCGTGAGAGCAGGTGATGATGTGGTAGTTTCACGACGGACATCTCCGCCCCGGCCATGTGCCACACGTCCGATGCCAGGATGATGGCAGCGCATGGAGACCCAAAAGCAATGCAAGGTATGATATTATGAATCCAGAAGAACAAGATAATATGCTACGATAACACCGAGATGAAAGCAGAACAAGCGTATAAGAACGAAACCCTCGATCACTCGGTACGCGCGCTGGGTGACAAGAAGTCCGTGGCACCAAGCCCTCTCTGCCACCGACCCCGATCCCATAAAGGGCTATCATGGCCTCCCACTACGAGGCATCTCTCCTGGTAACGGCCGTGTCGCTTGCGCATAATCCGGAGGCAACACTCCCCTTCCTCCTCCTTCTTGGTCCGGCTGGTCCGGTCCTTCCGACAACCTCAAAGCATTCCCTCCTCCGCCGCCCAGCCCAAACCCTTGCTGGTATCTATTCAGACCTCTCGGAAGAGACTCCTGTTCTTCCGAAGCTCGAGAAGAAGCCGCATAACTCGTCGGTAGAGCCGAAGGAGTATAGAAACTCAGCGGGTAGCTTGAGGCGTTGGATGTTGGTGGAGGTGGGACGTGCGCGAAGAATAAGGGAGAGGAGTCTTCTTGCTGGGGCTGGGATGGGGATGGTGATTGGGGGTATGATTGGTGGGATGATGGGGTTGAGCAGGGAGTACCGGGTCTTGCGTAAGCCCCAGCAACGGGAGGAGAAGGAGCAGGGTAAGAAGACATGGAAGGGTGCGTTACAGTATTACTGTTTCCCGGTCTTGCTTCCCTCACCTCACTCGTCCCAAGTCCACCGCCAGAGTATACACCAGGCCAAACTTCCCCAGCGGGCGGTCCAGGAGCAGGCGCCCACCCCGCATAAAAACTGTCTACTCTCGGCTTGTGTTGCTGCTGCTGCCGTCTACGGCGTCTCAGGAGCCAGAATGCAAGGAAGGTGAGGAGAGAGAGGGCGATGAGGCCGCCGACTATGCCACCTGCGAGGGCTCCGACGTTGGTGGAAGATGAGGAGGAGTCGGAGGAGGCGCCTACTATGGCTGTGGAGTTGGATGAAGAGGCAGACGAAGAAGGTGAAGGGGAAGCAGAAGAAGATTGATGCTCTGTGACAGTGAATGGATTTTCCCCAGCAGACGAAATGACCTTCGTAGTGGCCGATACCCCTGCCGATGATGAAGGAGAAGACGAGGTAGAGTTGACGACAGCATAGTCGAACCCAAACACATTCTCGCCACCGCCGCCGCCGAGGTTGGAAAGTTTGATGGTATGGTTGCCTTCGCCCAGGCCGGTGGCGGTAAACACTGTTTTTCTCATCAGTTAGGGCGAAGCAGAGATAGATTTTTAGAGGACGTACTGGGGGTTCCATAAATCAACTCCCAGTTCTCTGCATTATACACCCTCGCATCACCTCCGTCGAGGGTGACAGAGTAATTGCCGTGGTCGGTGTTGACGCTGGCGAATAGTTGAATCGACGAGCCTGTGAATCTATCCTTCCCATTAGTCTTCAATAGATGTGTAGATGCGGAAGGGGACGTACTGAAAAGACATCTCATCCCCAATCGTACTAGTGAGATGATCCGTCAAATTGTAAAACCCTCCATCGCCCGAACCGAACAGCGCCCAAGTATCCGGATACATGATAATTACCGAGGTATCATCGATGAAAGTCGTTTGGAGCTGTGTACCTTCAGAGAGAGGGAGAGAAGTCGAGATGTAGTCAATGTCGAGCCAGTGGTCTATCCCCGCTGCGGCAGATGTTTGGTCGTTCGGTCTGTTTGTTATCGTCTGTTTCTCAAGTCAGCTCTGTGCTTCTTGACGAGGGATGGAAGTTACGGTCGCGAATGAGGGAGACACTTACGATGGTATGCTCAACAGAAGGATCCAATCCGGATCTGGTATATAAAGCTTGGTTGAATATCGACTTTTCCGAGTACCCGTCCGAGACGATTTCGGCTTCGTCGTCCAATATCACTATCCACCACATTAGCACCCTTCCTCTCTGCGTCCCTCCATCGCAAAGTATGTGCGTACCGCCAAAACTTCCATGATTCGGCCTCTTACCACCAAACACCCCTACTTCCGTGCCGTTGAACGTATAGACGACGCGATCGCCGTCACCGAATGTGCCGTGGAATGTAGATTTGAGGTAGGAGGACGTATATGTATCCGGGTACGTCGTATCTAGACATCCCGTTAGTGCTTGTTTCGGAGTCGAAGAAGAAGGAGAAGAGACGCACTCAGGCCGTGGTTCACTATCCACCCGGAGGTAGATGATTCGCCGGTATAGTACTCGAGCTGGGGCGAGACATCGTTAATCTGTTGATCTACCTTCAGCTTTCATCCCATGATGAACAAGCAGGAAAGGGACTTACAATGACTTCCATAGCCTTGGATAGACAACTTTGAATTCAAAGCAAGACTACGTTGTTTGCTCGAGAAGATGGATGAGATGAGGAGGCTGGCTGAGAGGGGACGGGCAGGGTTCAGGATTGAAGGGACAGAGGAAGGAGGGTAGGTCAATTCCAGCGGGCTGAAGGGGGTCGTGAGTTAGTCTGCGTGACAAGGGGACCAGATGGGGCTGTTTGCGAAGAAGTCGTTGAGGGATGAGGGGTGGTCAGTGAGCAAAAGCAAAAGTCAGTCGATACACCTCGCCTCGACCCCCATGCATCGCGCGGAAATACAGGGTATGAAATGAAAATCACACACCCACAACCCACAAGCAATCTGCTCCGGGAAAACGGGGTAGCGTTCCGGTGGAGGTCCTCATTCAGGGCCAAGCGTTTGTCTAAAGGACAACGTGAATTTGAAACACAGCCACGAGGCCACGAGGGTCGAATTTTCTCTCGATCGCACTCTCTGATCACCATCATGCGCATCTTAACTTGTGCATCTTGAAAGTACCTCAGCGCCCGTTCATTATCCCCAAGTATATGATATAGCCTCTGCGGACTACGTTGGATTTGCATACGGCTACTATATGTGTTCAAAGCGCAACCCCAGTATAATCTACACCTCCATCAGTCATCATTTCTCAACCAAGTTCTTGATTACTCACTATTAGAGCAATTAGAGAATCCAGCACCAGCCAGCGCATACGCCTGACCCTCGTTAAACGCTTCGAGGCTACACAGACCTTGAACAGCCCCCCATGAGGTCGCACAAGCGTCAAGATCTTTGAGTGGGAGTGTAGCGTCGTTGAGTATCATCTTGACATATGTTCCACCCGCCTGCTCCCATCAGTCAAGTCCTCATGAACCATAAATGACTCACAGAGCTTCCAGAACAAGACATCCGCTCAAGGACCAACCTCGCCCCCATCGGCGCCATCACCGAGCTCTTCCACTTCCTCCCCTCATCAATCTTCTCCAAAGTCATATTCCCACTATACGCCTCCTCAGGCCTTAGGAGCCCCATGGCAGTGATGATACTCTCGAGGGTGGTGTCGTGTCCAAAGCCGAGGTAGATGGGAGATTCGAGGGGGAAGGTGGAAGGGGAGGAGGAGAGGGTGGAGTTTATGGAGGCTATTTGGGTTGGGTAGGTGTTGTTGAGTCTTTAGTAGCTCGTGAGCTTGACCCCAATCGAGACGAAGAGTTCGAAGAGGTAAACATACCTGGCGATCATCTCGGTAACCCAGCCGGCACCTTTGATCGTCCCCAGAGGTCCTGCATAGCCCGCTTTGTCTACCCGGGCCAAGGAAGACGTACACCCATCCATCAGCTCTTCCTCTTGCACTTCTTCATTGAAGGTAAAGACACATACCATTCTGAGTCAAATCAATAGCCCATTCGTACCCTTTCCACTCTTCCTCCGTAAACAGCGCACAAATCGGAGACGGTCTCTGCAGCCTAAACGAATCAAACGGACAAGCATTCATTAACCCCTGCACCTCTTTCTCCATCAAATTCAGCCCCTCTGGTACAGGAGTGGATTCAGTCTCTCAAGAACTCTGGGAAAGAAATAATCGTTGAATGTGGGAGTAAGAGACCGTGTCTAAAGCCGGACAGTTGTGAGGGGAGAGGGTAGAGTTGAAGGAAGAGTCGGAGTTGGGGGTGATTTGCCAGGTGGAGCGGGAGAGGTAGTTGGGACCGAGGAAGCCGGAGGTGAAGGATTGGGCGGTGTGGTGGACTCTTTATTCGTCCTGTACGGTCCTTCTCAGTACAGGCTATGGGCAATGTGCGCGAGTAGACGGGGACTTACCGTTGCTCGGATTGGGATGTTGTCTACCCCGGTCCAGTTGAAGTATGCATATTCCGGAAGAAGACCCTTATACCTGCTAGAAGTAGATGTCAGCATCAGGGGGAACAGGCTGAGAGGATAGAGACGTACTTTTGGAAAGCGACACCAGCAGCAAAAGCCGTCGCCGACCCCAAAGGCAAGAGATAAGCAGTCGGCTCTGTCCACTTCCATGTCGATAGGTACTTGAGATTCTCATCATCCCTACACCACCATCAGCTTCTTAACCTACACCCACAGCCCAGCTACTCACGTTGCACAATCCCAATGCCCAGCAACCTTCTCAGCCGCAGCCGCAATCCCCTTCTGCTTCTTCCCCGTCGCTTCCCTCTCCCCATGCCGCATATACACTTGCACCATATCCAGAAGGCACTCCTCAGGTAGATCAGAGGAGGGGATGCCGTGCGCACCGGGGGAAGGGAGCTATGGGGAGAAGGTGGAGAGGTGGGTGAAGGGGGTGGAAGGCCAGGAGGAGGTTAGGTATTCGATTGGGGATGTGGATGTGGATGTGTTGGAAGAGGAAGAGCGGGTTCGGAGAGGGGTAGTGGGTAGGGCCAGGATGGAGGGGAGGAGGGGAAGCAGGAGTGTAGCAAGCATGGCGCTGTAAGGACTGTGTCCGAGTCAGTCGGTACCCACAGTCCACTTGAATGCTCGTAGGTGAGCCGAGTGAAGTCAATAGTATCCCGTGGGAGGGAGTGTTTGCCTCGCCTTAATACAATACTTCTCCGTCCCCTACATACCCCTACAGAATCCATGGTAAGTGCCTAAGGGCCGAAGGGGAAGGCCCGACGGCCGATGTCCAGTTGCGGACAGATGGTGAGCAGACGTCCAACATGCCAAGAAACCGACATTGCCCATAAGATCTATATAGAAATGTATGTGCTTAAGCGGGCGCTGGTTAGTTGTTCTGTTAGATCAGTTACTGAGTTTGGTAAGCGTAAGCGAGTGTTCTTTTCGCGAGGTGTTGCCGTGAGGAACGAGAGCCGTCTGTCTTTCTGGGTTCCGGGTGGTTGGCGAACGGTGAGCCGGGTGGGATGGGCAGCGGTGAGGGTACTTGTGGCAGAAGTACTGTGCTGGGTTGGAATAGCATGGCGAGAAAGAATCAAAATGGAGAATAAAAGCCAGATGGAAATCAAACTGAAATCAAAAACAGTCGCCAAACAAGCTCCCGCTTCCTCTGGAATACTCCCCCCACTTTACCCATTCCCTCTTTCACCGACCAACTTCAGCAACAAGCGCTATACATCTCAGCAGCCCTCCGCGCGATCAACAGCAGGATGGTCGCCGAATCGACCCCCTACACATCATTCGCCAGCCTCCTGGCCTCATACCACCACCAGTACTCGCAGCCAGGCCCGTCCAATGCGCCCCAGCAGCTCGACTCGCCTTTGCAGCTGGATGCTGTTTTGAATGAGGACGGGGGGCTTATCAATGCGCTGATAGGATCCCTTGAGCAGACGCGAGTACAGACCATATTAGGAGGACTTGTACTGACGAGAAAGCAGGATACGCTCGAAAACACCGACAAACAATTCGGCATTCGAGATGGACGCCGACGAGCAAGTCTCTGAGGAAGAATACAAAGCTCTCCTCTCCGAACACCGTGCTTGGCAACTGGTCAGGTCGATCTATGAGAACAAGATACATCGCGCAGACCCTGGGTATGAGCTGCCAGACTCGGCGAGGCAGATCGTGGAGAATCCGTATACGAGCCCGGAAGAGCTGGTGCAGAGCATGATTGTGGAAGACCCAGAGCTCTCTTTATGGGCGGTGAGCACGAGCTACTGTGTGAGGGACTGAGCTGATGACAGTAGACTCTCGTCGAACACCTCCAAACGAGACCTCTATTGACAGCTTCGCCATACCTCGAAATCCGCCACGGCTACCTCCCATCCACCCTCCGCCAAGCCCGCACCAACCCCCAACGACCCTCCTCCCTAGACCCCGACTTTACCCTCCGCGACTCCCAAGGTGCCGCCCTCGCCGGCGAAGACCAAACATACCAACCTCCCTTCCTCGACTTGCTATTCAACCTCGTGCGCTACGGCGAGCTGGAGAATGCTATCAAAGTGTGCGAACAATGTGGGGAGCCGTGGAGAGGCGCGAGCTTGATGGGTGTGCGGCGCTGGGCGATGGGGGGGATGGTGGAAGGGTCCGAGCCGGGGGGGATGACGGGTAATAGGTATCGCGCGCTGTGGAAAAAGTCGTGTCGGACGATAGCCAAGAACCATACCCTCCTTCCTGCTGAGCGTCATCTCTATGCGGCACTCATATCCGATCTCCCCACGCTGCTGCCGGCGTGTGAGAACTGGGAGGACTATCTCTGGGCGCATGTGCAGCATAGGATTGAGGCGAGGTTGGAGAAGCGGTGGCATGAGCTCGGCGGGTTTTGGGAGGGAGAGGCGGGGGTGGGGAAGGATCAGGCGGAGGAGGTGGAGATGGCGAGAGGAGGGTTGGAGGAGGTGTTTGAGAGTATGCGGGGAGTTGGGAAGGCGGGGATCGCGTAAGTGCATAAACGGTTTGGAAGGGGTGAGCTGATGAGGCGTAGGGATGAGATGACGGACCCGTATCATGTGGCTCAGCAGATGATCTTGCTTGGACGTACCGATGCGCTCTTCCACTCTTTCGCTGATCAGATCATTGACCTCGGAGAAGCCATGGCCCCAGAGTACGTCCTTCTTTCACAGTTTGGCAATTCTAACTTGCTTGTAGACTGTTCAGCTCTCTTCTTCGATTCTTCACCCACCTCGCTATCGTCCTTCGGACTCTCAACCAACCGGTACCCCCGTCCGCCGCCAATATCATCATCCAGGCATACCTCAGCGTGTTGGAAAAGGAAGGAAACGACAAGCTTGTGGCTATGTATGCTGCTTGCTTGAGAGAAGGTAGCGGTGAGGAGAGTTACGCGAGGTTCTTATGGTGTAAGTCGACTTTCCCAGGAGGATGGTTCAGGGCTGATGACAAGTAGCGATGGACCCGTCAGCGAGCAAAGAAGCGCGCTCCGAAGCGCTCCTTCGCGCTCAGACACATTCCCTCGACACCGCGCTCATCGCCCGAGAAACCGTCCGCCTTTCCCTTGAAGAAGCGATACCGACTTCTCTATCGACTGCTTTCGTCGAGCCGGACATCCTGCCGCTCTCAGTCGGCTTGACGGAGCGGGATGTGGGTTTGATCAGGTCGATCGAGTGGTTGACATTCATTGGCGAGACTGGAGAAGATGTTGTTGTTCTAGGTAATCAGCTTGTCAGATTCTTCCTGTCGCAAGGCCAGGCGAATGCTGCGCAGTCACTCTTACTCTCCCTGCCATCGCTTTCGCAGGAGATCGCCTCGGCTGCTCATCTGCGCACCCATCTCCTCGAACTCGCCTCGTACAACCGCCTCTTCACACTCTTCACCTCCTACACTTCCCTCTCCGACGTCATCCTCCGCAAACCTCTACCAACAGCTGGTAAAGTGCAAGTGCACAGTTGGCGGAAGGATGTCGGCGAAGCGGTTGAAGAAGTATGGAAGGGTACAGTCGGGCTCGTTGAAGACGGATGGCTCGAGCTGCCCCACGCTGAGACTGATGACGAAGAAGACGAGGGAGAAGGCGAAGAAGAACGTCAAAGACAGCTCAAACTCATCCGACACATATTCATCCCCGACCTCATCCTCCGCCTACATTCCACCCTCATCGCCCAATCGTCCCTCTTCCCAACGTATCTCCAGAAAGCGCTTCAGCTGGCGACTATTGTCGCGGACGCGAAGTACAGGGTGTATGAAGGGTTCTTGCCGCTTTCGGCCACCTCGCAAGGGGCGGGGGCGGGGGTGGGGAGGGAGAAGGTGCCGAGGCTGGAGGTGTACCTGGATAAGATGAGGGAGGTTGCTTTGGAGGCGTTGAAGTCGGGGAGTGGGAGTGCGTTCAGGGTGAATACTCTGTAGATGAGATGTTACTCAATTGCCTTCCATCACATGTCAATAATCGTGTTCGTGTGAGACACTTCTATGGTCTAGCATCATCTCATATGCATATCCGTACTCGTACTGCTCTCACATATTCCATCTCCATCCATGCTCTCGTTCAACGTCGCATTGTCGTCGTCGCTCACCGCCGCCCCCAGATGACGTAAGCAGAAGTAGAGCCCGACCGCACCATGGTCCATGAGCACTGTCAACCGTCTCAATTTGTTCTTTTGCATCTCCACCATCTACTTTTCTGCCTCCAGTCCTGTGCCCAGCGTACTGCAGGCCCACTAGACTGCCCCGCCCCGCCACTATCCACATCGCCGCCACCTACCCGACAGGCCTACCGGGCACTTGCCGCCATTACCGCCGTCACCCGAAGCAAGCGCTTCCTTCCGTCCCCTACACCGACTGCAAGCAGCGCCCAGCCTTCGCCCAACAAGAAGCTCAAGCCGTCCCATAAGAGTACAAAGCCGAAAGGGAAAAAGCCGGCAAAAGAGCCCACCCCGCCACCAGCACTACTAGAGGCAGCACCGCCGACTCCAAAGGAGCTTGACGTAGAAGAGAAGAACAGCATGTCGTCGGACGGAGAAAATGAAGACTTTGAACTTGAGGATGATGACTATGACGAGGATGGGTTTGGGACGGAGGACATGGGTGAGTGGGATGAACGGGATCTTGAGAGATGATGCTGATGACTGATAGACTCGGCTTCTGAGCCCGATGCGTTCGATGCTCTGTCCCCCAACGTTGATGGTGAGTAAATTGGAGACCCAGATGTGAGCTGGCACTGACATGATTACAGACGGACCCCCAAAGAAGCCTTACGACGTGGCTTACAAAATACTCGACCTCGACCAAATTACCGCTATGCAGCAAGGCATGATCGCCGATGTAGTCTCTCTTCTAGCTGTCCCTGTAAGCAAAGCGATACCTCATGGTCCCAAAAGCTGACAGTGTATAGATGTCCACCGCTTCCGCCCTCCTCCGTCATTTCAGCTGGAACCGGGAGAAGCTACAAGAAGCCTACTGGACCGACCCCGACTCTGCCCTCCTTGCCGCCGGCCTCGACGCCCCTTCCTCTCCTTCCCAATCTTCCAAATCTCTGCCCCGATCATCCCAGCTCCGGTCCTTTGAGTGTCCGATCTGCTTTTCGGATTACGAAGGCAAATCCGCTTCTCAAGACACGTTTTCCATGGGATGCGGTCATAGGTTCTGCAACACTTGTTGGAGCGAGTACTTGAAGGGAAAGGTGAAGGATGAGGGCGAGAGTGGTAGAATTCAGTGTATGGAGAGCGGGTGCAAGCATGTCATCAATGCCGAGATGGTAGACGCATTGTCTTCTGGGGATGTCTCTAGACGGTAAGTCCACTCTTTCTTCAATGGTTGCGTGTCTAATGATCGCGTAGGTACAAAGAACTCCTCGTCACCGCCTTTGTTACTGACTCCCCAGACCTCCGCTTTTGCCCCCACCCCGAATGCCAATACATCACCCAATGCACCCAAGCGCCTGCTCGCATGCTGACTCAGCTCGTCCCGACTGTCGAATGCCTGTGCAAACGCCCCCTCTGCTTTGGATGTGGCTACGCCGATAGCCACAGGCCTGTGATCTGCAAGATTGTAAAGTACTGGGAGAAGAAGTGCGCGGACGATAGTGAGACGTCGAATTGGTTGTCGGCGAATACGAAAGAGTGCCCAAAGTGTAATTCGATCATTGAGAAGAATGGTGGTTGCAAGTGAGTTCCCTTCCTCAATGTTTTGATGATCGTTAGCTGACGCCGTGACAGCCATATGACTTGTAAAAAGTGCAAGTGGGAATTCTGCTGGGTCTGTATGGGCCCATGGACTGAACATGGTACGGCATACTATCAGTGTAACCGATACGACGAGAAGAGCGGTCTGGATGCTCGAGACGCTCAAACGAGATCACGCGCAGACCTCGAGAGATACCTCCATGTACGTCCCCCTCTCCTCGCTTGCCGCTGTGCTGACGTCTGTGCCAGTACTTTAACCGTTGGGCAAACCACACCCAATCTGCCAAGCTCGACACTGAATTCTACGCCAAGACTGAACGCAAGATGGAGGTCATGCAGCATCAAGCCAACTTGTCGTGGATAGAAGTGCAGTTTGCCAAGGAGGCTATGGATGTTGTCGTCAAAGCGCGAATAACGCTCAAGTGGTCTTATTGCATGGCTTACTAGTACGTCCCGCTACTACTTTGGGTGTGGTGATTGGAGCTGACGATTTTGATAGTCTGCAGAGGAACAATCAGACTGAGCTCTTTGAGGACAATCAACGTGATTTGGAAGGTGCTGTCGAGAATCTGAGTTTCCTACTCGAATCAAACATCGGAGATGTAGAGGAGATTGCCAAGCTGAGGCTTGATGTCACGAACCAGGCGGTGAGTATCGTCTCTGAATCTTCCCAGGACAATGCTGATGGCGGATGACAGGCGTATGTGCAGAAGAGGCATGAGATCTTGTTGGATGATACTTTGAGAGGGTATATGGAGGTGAGTCTCATCACCCAGGTCGCTTGTGCCCAGCTGACGTCTTGCTAGCACCGATGGAAGTTTTCAGTCGACGTGTAGCTTTATATCTACATGTTTTGTATAATCAAACACGGCCTGTGGCGTATCGCATAGACAATCTCTCAACATATCTGATGACTTATCGGCTTCTATTCCTACCCTTTCCCGGACTTTCCAAGGACTTGATGGGGTATCATTTTTCTATCATCCAATGCATCGCTTACATGTGCAGCGTGACCAGGGCTACAGATACACGTAAAAGTCCATATGACAATCAACTCAGACCGGTCCCCCTGACCTTGAAAGAAGAGGTAAAAGGTACGAAGACCGTGAATCCAGCAACCCGATAACGAATTCTCTCCCACACCTTGCCATGCACTCACTACGATGTCCCCCGTCTCTGCGAATGCTCAGTAACCTGCCTATAGTCAGGTGGCAAAACCATGACGATATATAGGGGGACGAAGCGGAAAGACACAAGATCGAGCAATCTATGTATGGACGTTTCTACCGGGCAATGACTCACAACCTCACTCAACACATTTTCGCTTTCGACAAAGGCTTCACGTCTACGCAGTTCTGGGGAAGTGGCATGTACAGCAGAATGCATACAGCAGGAGTATAGTACGAACAAGTAAGTTGATGCTGGATCGAACAAGGTACATGAAGTGTTCTATACGGAGTGACGACGCATCGCGCGCTGTATAACAGTATGTATAAACCAATCGTCCACCGACCAAACAAGAACCCCATACACCTCTCCTCCCACCACCCCTCGCCCTTACCTCCCACCCCTACGTTAAACTCTCCTCTGCCCCGGCAACGGTTCCGTAGCTTGACTATAATCAGGCGGCAAAACCTCCTCCGACAGTGGCGCTTCATCAAACCCAGCTCCCAACGGCCCTATATCCTGTTCTCTCCCCGGCACATACATCCGACCCAGCGACGCTTGGCTATGCCTCGCATCTCCAGAAGTTGGGCTGGCGTATGGTTGGTGCGGGTTTGGCAAGTCCGCGCCCGGGGAAGACGCTTGGTGGGATGATGCTGGAGCGGGGTGAGGGTTGGGGTTGGTGTTGAGGGAGGAGGGAGGGGATTGGGATGGGGGGTGGGCAGTATAGGGCAGGGAGATGCCGGCGGACTTGAAGCTTTGCCCGGAAGAACTGTTGTTTGCTCCTTCCGAGCTGGGTAGTGGCGGCCACCCATCACCATTCGGCGGGACGTCACTCCTGGGATAACTCAAAGCATTACTCGGCGGTGGTGCAGGGATACCATTCAAGAATGGCGTGCGTTCCTCATGATCTTCTCGCCCCAAGGGACCTAGAGGGTAAGTATGATTATTGTTCGCAGGGTTATGCGGGGCGAGGGTGGTATAGTAAGCACCCATAGCAGCACCAGGATGCGCACGAGGAGCATGGGGATCGTTGCTCATGAACGGCTTGACCTCGTCCCCGTTCAAGTCCATACGCGAATCAAGCCTGCCCGGTTTGAGATACGGCGACTCTGCCTGGCCCGGCGCGCCTTTGTTACGCCGGAACAAAAACCATGCGAGAACGACGACTAGGGCGAGGCCGACGATACCGCCCACGACTGCGCCGGCGATAGCGCCAGAGGTCATGGATGAGGATGAATTGCCGGAAGCGGGGGAAGCGGTAGAGGTAGAGATTGAATCGCCTTCGGTATTGTTGCCACCAGACAAAGCGGGGTCGACGGTAGAGTTGACGACGATGTAGTCAATGTCGAGGTACTTGCCCTTGGGGCCTTGGCCGAGGTTGATGAGCTGGACGCTGTGGGGACCTTCATCCAGCCCGCTGGCCTGAAAGACTGATGACAATAAGCGCGCGCATGGCATACAAAAGTGGAAGAAGACTCACGACTGGCGCCAGGCTGCAGGTTGAAGAATGTTCCGTTGTAACTGGCAGCCTGGCCCCCGTCAAGTCTGTGCTGCTATCAGCACCATCATATATCTCGAACAATAGACTCACGATACAGAGTAGTTTCCATGGTCATTGTAAAGCCCTCCGAATACTTGCACACTCGAGCCGTTAAAGTCTAGCGATACCGAGTCGCCCACGGTCTGTGTGATGTACGCCGTACGGTTGAAATAGTCGGTGCCCGCACTAGTGTTGGGGTTCCACCCCGAGCCAATGTACTTTAGGGCTGGCGATGAATCGTCGTAGGTGGTAGTCCAGACCTTGCCTTGACTGGTACAACAATCAGCGACCGGGAGACGAGAGTGAGACGGGACACTCACGTAGAGGTCGTGATCACAGCAAAGTCGATATCCAGCCACCATTCCGTATTGTTCGTCCCACTAACGCTTGTCTGCGACGGCAAATTCTTCAAAATGATCGTATGTTCATCGTCGCTTGAGAGGGACTTGGCCGAAAAGATTGGTACTTGGAATTTGACATCGGCCAAGTAGCCTATCTGTAAGGTCGTGCTCCCACCGTCAAGCTGGGTCGAATAGGCACCATGGTTGGTCCGTTTGGCACCGTAGATGGTGATGGCCGTGCCGTTGAATGTGAGAGAAACATAGTCGCCGTCGGTGTGCGTCCCCATGAACGTCTTCTTGTAGTATCGGTCGACAGCTGGGTCTGACTTGGTGTCAGCACCCATGTATATTCGACGGCGGAGATTGATGGGACATGAGCTCACCAGCGGCGTGATTCTGGACCCAGGTGTTCCCAGAGGAAAAGTACCGGAACTGTGGCGAAGTGTCGTCGAGCTAAGCGCGTAGGACGCGTCAGTATATACCGAGCGGGCGAAGCGAGTACTCACTGTGATGTTCATGGCTGCGCCCTACGCAGAAGAAGAGGTTTAGAAGACAAAAGGATCATGGCTCTGGTTATGGGGGGCGTGGCTTGTCCATTCACAACAGGCCGAGCCCGAGAAAGGGTACAGCCTCCTGGTCCGACACACGCCTCAGGGATGTACCTGACAACCCGAATGGCCGTCGAGGCCGTCGACATCAATGCCCTTTGGGAATGCAGGCTATGGGGGTGTTGCATCGTTGAGATGGAGATGGATAAGTATTGTTGAGGGAGGAGATTGCTGGGCCCTGGGGGATGAACCATAATCATTCTCTCAGGGTAGGTATGCGCAGTCCTCGCGGGGAATCGCACGGTGCACACCCACGGGCAGTGATCCGACAACGGGGCCGGGAGCATTACGACCCTCCGGCATTGTCGCATTTGTATAATATAAGACTAGTGCATAGAGCTCATAGACATCCCATACTACATACATACAGCGATTGTCCCTCTTCGTCCCAAGTTCTCATTCAACGAGGCGGATGTGGCCGCTGACTGAGCTGTATGAAATCGTAAAAGAAGAAAGAGTCTAGCCACATGAAAACAAAGAGGAGATCAACTCCCTATAGCAAGTCCACCAAATGATACGTATACTATATGTACCACTCTTCCTCGAGCAGCATGCGCAAATCCTGCAGTCAAGCGTCTACCACCTAGGCCCGCCTCTATCTCGATGAAGGTCCAGTAGCCTGACTATAGTCGGGGGGTAAACGAGCCATCACAGCCACCGACTCTTGGAACTGAGCACCAGCCCGAAGTCCTGTTCTTTTCCCGGCACATACATCCTCCCAGGTGAAAACTGGGTCCTGCGCCCCATCTCCCGTGGCCGTCGGGCTTGTTTGAGGCAGGTGCAAGTTCGGGCTCGGCAAATCAACGCCGGGGGATGGAGTCTCAATTGTTGCGAGAGCGACTGGGGGGAACATACCATTTAGTGATGGAGGGTATGAAGATGAAGGTGATGGTGGTGAATGGGCGGTGTGATGATGGAGGTACATCTTTCGCAACCTCATATCTGCATACGCCGCATAGAAATAACAAAAACAGAGACAGTCCGCACAAACAGTGAACGGAAGACCAATCTACAGGCAAGAACACCTCCGCATATTGGCATCTACTACTCCCTACTTCCTAGCCCTCTGGCCCGGTAGAGGCTCCGTGGCCTGGTTGTAATCAGGCGGCAAAACAGCTGCCACCTCCGGCTCGACTTCCGCTCCAGCACCAAATGGCCCGACATCCTGCGCCCTCCCTGGCACGTACATTCTGCCAATCGATCCCTGGCTTCGCAGACCATCGCCTTCCCCGTGAGGGTTTGATATGTCTGCGCCGGGGGACGATGCTTGGTGTGAAGCGGGTACAGGAGGGATCGATGCGGTAGCAGTGTTGACCGACGTCGGCGACCGGGATGATGGAAGTCGAGCAGTATAAGGCAGTGGAACCCCAGCAGACTTTCCAGAGCCACGCGAATGCCCATCATCACTCGTCCCGCCACCTACGCCAAACGTTTGTGCACCCTCGCTCCTTGCCATTCCTTGCTCCCTAGGCGTGTTGAAAGGGTTTGTATAGCCTTCAGGTATGGGGGGCGGAGACCCGATACTGCTAGGCGGGTTGATACTCCGCGCGTAGCTCGTGGCGTTACTGGGAGGTGGACCGGGGACGACATTCAAGAATGACCCGCGTGCATTGGTATCGCGCCCTGTAGGCGATAGCTGATGAACAGAATGGCCAGTAGTAGTATTGGAAGACAATTCTCGGACGTGGCCGTTGTATGAGCTGGTGGGAGGATCATTGTGGACAGGTAGAGCACCGATGGGGAGGATATGGTGTTCTTGTTGGTTGCTAATGTATGGCTTGACCTCCGTACCGTTCAAGTCCATCGGGAAGTCCAGCTTGCCGGGTTTGAGATACGGCGACTCTTCACCGCCCAGCTTGGTCCTGTTACGCCGGAACAAGAACCAAGCCAAGACGACTACCAGTGCTAGGCCGAGGATGCCACCAACAACACCTCCAGCGATAGCTCCGGCATTCGAGGATGACTTGCCAGATAGAGGCACAGCGGTGGAGGTAGAGGTGCTATTGCCGTCGGTGCTATTATCAGAGGAAGAGTGGTCGACGGTGGAGTTGACCACGAAATAGTCAATGTCGAGAAATTTGCCCTTGCGGCCTTGGCCGAGATTGGTGATCTGAATGTTGTGGACCCCCTCCTCGAGACCAGTCGCCTGGTACACTAGGACAACATCAGTATACGGAAGAGAGGGTGGGTTCATTGGACTCACGAGTTGTGCCAGGCTGGAGCTCGAAGAACGTGCCGTTGTAATTCGAAGTCTTACCGCCATCAAGTCTAAGCCGCCATTAGCACCATCATGAACGCCAGAACATGACTCACGAGACAGAAAAATTTCCATGGTCAAAGTACAGTCCTCCAAAAACTTGCACACTTGAACCGTTGAAGCTCAGCGATACCGAGTCGCCAACAGTCTGGGTGACGTGCGCAGTGCGGTTAAAGTAGTCGGCTGGCTGGAGGGGCGCCGCATACGGGTCCCATCCCGAGCCGATATAGTTCAGTGCTGGAGACTGATCGTCGTAGGTGGTCGTCCAGACCTTGCCAGTACTGGCATCACAATAAGCAAAGGTCGACGAGATCGGAGAAAAAGACTCACGCAGACGTAGTGATCACAGCATAGTCCACATCCATCCACCACTCCGTATTGTTTGTCCCGCTCACAGTCGTCTGCGATGGCAGATTCTTCAAAAGAATCGTATGCTCCAGGTCTTCTGAAAGCGACATGGCTTGGAAAATTGGGACTTGAAACTGCGAAGTCGACGAATAACCGCTCTGGAAGGATTCGCTTCCCCCGTCAAGTTGAGTCGAGTACACGCCATGGTTTGGTCGTTTAGCGCCGTAGATAGTGATGGCGGTACCGTTGAAAGTGAGGGATACATAGTCGGCTTCGGTGTGGGTACCCATAAAGGTTTTCTTGAAGTACAGGTCGGTGGACGGGTCTAATGTGCCGGTAAGCGTTGTATAAGAGATGCAAGAATGCGACCTTACCGGTGGTATGATTAGCGATCCAGGTATTCCCAGAGGAAAAGTACCTGAACTGAGGGGAAGTGTCGTCAAGCTACGCCACAGACGTATAAGCAGAGTTGAGCCGATATACGAGTAGCTCACTGTGATGTTCATGATGACGGATGAGTTATTATATGCGAACGATGATGTACAGCTTGACCGTGGCCGAAGTGTGGAGTCGCTATACAGAGTCAGTACACGTGAGATCGACGGCGACTCGGACAGAGACTCACCGAGAGTTGACCAGCACTTGTCTCGCGGCGCAACGATCGTGATCAATCGGTGAAATGTACAAGGACAAGGCGATGAAAAGTCCGGCTTTTCGTCGTAGTGGACCTTCGGATAGTATGCGCAAGAGTTGAAGGCCAAAAGGAGAGAAGAGTTTGGGAATCGGGGGGCTGTAGTTGAAAGGCGCGTTAGGTGGCAGGCTGCTGTCGATCCCAAAGGTATGGCAGAATGTATGATGTCGCTTCGCGACGCCTCCGCTGTGAAGTCACCGATGGGGTTGAGAGGGTGCCTTCACTCCGGTCTCCTTGGGTCGGCAAGTTAGGGCAGGATTTGCGGATTGCATTTTGCGGCGGAAGCTTGCTGGGAAGAGAGTTGTGAAGAAGAAAGTGAGGTGTCGCGCTGTCTGTCGCGAGGTTGTTGAATATATAGCGAAAGCTTGTATAGGCTCCAGAATATTTTCCGGCTGATGTGTAGCGCCGGGACTATATCATTGACGTCTGTGAAGAGGATTGTGTGGTGGTGTATGTATGTCAGCCTCGACCCTCGGCCTCGAGATGCTGAACGTCCAGAGCAGCGCCGTTGTTTGCCGTTTTGAGGGACACTTTCGATGCTTGATCATCACGCAAATACCGCCATGATCTCTCAACTGGGAGAGAGGCGCTGAGAGGCCATGAAGGGGCATGATGGGATGCAGATTGGTGCTGTGTAGGTTAGTAGATTAATAGTTTTTGTAGGGGATGTGTAGATAAGTAGTGGCCATGAAATGCAAGAGGAGAGTGATCGCTTCGTGCCTCCCTATCAGGAGAAAGGGCCTTGGGCGCCTAACAAGACGGACATCGCCAAAGAGTAGCTCAGCGTTGGACAAGATGTCAATGTCATCCCAAAATCTACTAATCTACTAATCAATGTCAATTGCCAGCCGACCGATCTAGGAAGCCGTGCACTTGCACTACGTTACAGTGCAAGGCATCCTATACATGATAATAATATCTATATCTGACTGTGAGGTATGAAGAACATTGTGACCCTCAGAACAAAGCCTGATCAACGGTGCTGCGAATTCTTTGTGGAAGAAGGGTACAGAGCTTGATAATTCCCTATCTCTTCCTGAACGGCCAAAGTGCCATATCTTCTCGATGACATGCTATCATGCTCATAATGACCATCCTCAACATTCCTAGTCACCGGCAACTGTTTCTCGTCCGCTTGTGAAGCGGCGGTCATCCTACTACTACAAGTAGGGCAACCTCTCGTCACTTCTTCTGCTGCATCCAGCTTTCTTTTCAGATCACCGTAGCTGCGCAGCAGAGTTTGGATTGTCGTTGCCTGGCTATAGGCAAGCGTCCTGAGGTTTTCTTTCTCAGTCCCTTTCTGACGCTGGATTGTCTTCTTTTGATTGTTGTCTATCACATCATCATCCATATATCAGATCATGACTCAGATTGTATGAGAGGAAGGATCTCACGTTTGACCTGAGACTTTTTCAATCTGCTGTCAAGCTCGTTCTCTCTTGCACTCCAATCTTCGTCTTCCGTGTCATCGTCGCAGCCTTCTTCTTCCTCTGGCGATGTTTGATGAGTTTTCCCTTCTGACACTACTATGTTGCTGTGTATGCTACCAGCAGACGTCGACAAGCCTTGTACCATTGCAGAAGACTATGGGCGTGCTGGTCAGCACCAAGTTTTCTCTATCAATATCCGAGAAACCCATTAGAGAAGCAACCGTTCCTTACTCACCTTAGTCACACTACTAGGCCCGTCCATGTGTGCACCTTGCCCATCATCAGCTGTCTCCAGCTGCCATGCAGGTACAATTTGGCCCCAGCTGTCAAGGTTGTTGAATTCGTTAAAGTCATTTAGAGCACTCCCACCAACAGGGAAGGACGCATTCATCAACTGTGGATCAACGTACTGAGAAAAGTCGTGGTTGTGACTTCCTGGTATCCCTTCTTGGTGGTGGGTTGCCGAGGAGGGGACGTCGTGGTAAGGTGGCATGCCAAAGTCCGGCTCATACATGAGGTGGTGGTATCCTCCATCGTACTGGGGATAGTTTTGATAAGTGTGGTGTTGATCGTCGTCGTTCATCTTTGGGTGATGGTGGTGAGGGAAGAAGCTACAGGTCAGATGAGGAGAATGACTGATTGCTGAGTAAGCGGGTGTTGACGGAGCAGGTGAGTCTGGCGAAGTGATGGATTTTATTCATTCTGCTGCCTGGTTATGTAATTTGCACTTGACCAAGCAACTACACTCCGCTCAGATAGTCGCCATGTTCTCAGCGGCGTTAGACACACCACACTTCACCTCATCTGACGACGCGAAAGGAACATCCATTTCCCACCTTGTATCCCGTACGAGTACTCCTTTCGGATGACATTTGAACAGACGATGGGCATATCGCACGTAAGAGGAGGACTTGGAGCCTGGGAATATGAGATCGACGCGATAGTGACGGGACATGAAGAGTTTCAGATATCCGTTGTCACCTTTTCAAGGTTGCATGGGAGTACGAAAACGGTCAGGCGGGGTTTGCTATCACTCCCCCTCCTTGTAAGGGATTGGTACAGACTGGCTAGTAGGATGAGATGTGGTGACGTGTACTATGGAAGGCAGGGTTTGGTGACTAGGGTTGCCGCTATGGTCTCAGGGATGTGTAGGCGAGCTTGCGAGATGAGCATCGTGCCGCGTCTTCGTATCCTTTTTCCCACCGATGTATTCTCGTATAAATCTCCTCACCTATATCCATGTTTCATCCATCCAGTCTATTCAAGGTTGACATCTAGCGCCCCTAGCTAGATCCACCGCGTAACCGCCCCTAGGTCGCGCACCACCTCGCCAACCCGTACACTCCTCCTCTTCCTGCGCTCGTCTGGAAGTTGCGTACCCTGAACGCCATCCATTGAGCTCACTCTCGGCCAGTGCCAGCTTTCGAGTCAGCTCTAGATTTTGTGTCGTCAAGTTTGAGTTGGAGTCGTTCAGCTCGTCGATCAACTTTTCCTGATCAGCAAGTCGAGAGCGTAGCTGCGCATCTTTGATTTTCTTGTTTCTGCGCCATCGAACAGAGGCTGCGTTGGCTATAGAACGTCAGAACAATGAACCCTGTAGCTTAGAAGAGACCCCAGGGAATACGTGACAACGTGGATAAACTCACTTCGTTCTTTACGAAGACGCACCATTTCCTCTTCATCAGGATCATCATCCTCATGTTCTTCTGGCTCGGATCCGAGCGAGCTTTTCCCGTAGTGATCATCCGCCGTAGCTGTAGCGGATGCAAAACTAGAAAGACTTCTTGCGGGGAAATGAGATGTGGGTATCATGGTACCCCACGCGGGCTGAATGGTCAGCCACCACAGATTTCCCAACGCAGAGTCAGCTTACCTCCTGTGGCTTCGAGAATGGGTGGTAGCTGCTGGCATTCTGCTGGGGAATATGAAGGCTGGGGTCCACGAATGAAAGCAGACAGCGGGGACCGAGATTCTGATTCAGATCAGTCGTTGGAAGGAGAGAAGGAGGAGGCCCAACGGTCGCAGAGAAACCATCATTGACGTCCTCCAGGGGAACGGGTGGGTAGTAGTTCTTAATGCCTCTGGAGGTGACGGTCTACAGGGTCTTGGGATGAGCACATATGCTGATGTTGTTCCAGGGCTGATGACACACAGTGTATGGGGTGGAAAGGTCAACGGAGGCGTCGGTAGGTTGACTGGGGTGTTTATATGAGGGGTGGTAGGATCGGTTGTTGGAGTCGTCCATTGTGATGAAAGGTAGGAAAGAAGATGGAGTTATACTATTACTGCTTCTGTAGATCGTCCCTGATGCAGGCTGAGTGTTCGCGATGATAGTTCATGTAATCTATCGAACGGAAGACTTTATATCTGACCTGTCGTCTGAGTTTCAACTTCGCTTCTCACGACGGCACCCGAAAGTCATCATTGTATGCCCTCGTGTGTACAATGGAAGGCGGTCACTGCAGGACATCGATGCATATTTTTGTATCTGCCGCACAGAGGATGAACCATGGACGGACTGTGTAAATGTATATCAAGACTCCATCATCTATCCGGTCAAATCTAAGCTCTGTGGGTATCGACATCGCTGCTCCTTCAATTCGTCGTACGCAGCGATGCAAGCAAGCAACAAGGTTGTTGTGGACCAGGCGGCATGCTGTACCTCGCATGCATAGAGCTCTCGTGAGGACTTGTCATTTGTTCAAGCCATTCATCCAACGGACGCAAGTACTACAACTACGAAAGCCGCGAGGTAGTGTCATGGCCTAGCTGGGACGCAGCAGGGAAGGGACTGGAAAAGGTGTTTTTGGAGGGGAAAAGACCTTTTCGGTATTATCGCATGGAAAGACTAGAATAATATGATATGAACTACTGAATATCTACACGGCGCGTCCTTCAACCATCCACACAACTCAAGCGCCAATGTCACTTCAGGGAATTCCTACGTGTGACAGGTAGGTCTCACTACACCTCTAGTCTCCACGTCAAAAATCCATACGACCTCGATCAGATCAATATCACTGCGTAGCATTTTTTGACCATCTACCCACTCTTCATCTCCCCTCGCGCTCGCTGCTGAGGGCTCCCCTTCGGCCGTTGGTGCTTGTTCGTCGGTGAGCTGAGTGAGCTCGGATTGACGTTCTTCCTGGCTCGTTGGGTATTTGGTAGCAGCCGCCTTTACTGTAAGTTATATAATGAGCGAGGAGCTGGTAGGCTTCCTGGCCTGGCGCCCGGGCCGGCCGTAATCGAGCATGGGACTTACGTTTCTCACGACGACGAGAGCGGGCGTCTGGGTCCTCCTGTTCGTATTCGTCTTCTTCTCCTTCATCAGTCACAAAAGCAACCTTGCGCGAGTGCCTTGCGCGGCTCTGTTCAGAACCAGACATAGTCTGAGAATCCACCTTGTGATTAGGACCGCAGATTCGATAGGTTCAAGGGTTCGGAGACTTACCGAATGCTGAGCAGCATCGCTAATGGCGGAAGGCTCGGTGGGTTCGTGGTGGGGTTGGTCCTCTTTAGCCATTGTGAATATCGTGGGGGAAGAACTTCGATGGCCACCGAGAGTGCAGGCCAATATTTATAGCCCTCCGACTCTTAGTAGAAGACGTCATATGATCCACCTCACAGGTGTACAGGAAAGGAACAGGTTTGTTGGCTCCTCAGCTTCGCTCCCCATACCAGCGCCCGAGAGCAAATCAGGCATAAGAATAGCCATCGATGCCAGAAACAGTCCCAACTGAAATATAATAGGGCCTCGTAGACAAAGGACAGTTGATTGTCAACGGAAAATGATTGTGTCACTATAATCATACATGTATTAGCAAAGAAGATCTCCCTACTTCCTGCCTCCCCTTTGACCGCCCTTCTGCTGAGGCTTCTTCCCTCCCGTCGTAAACTTGTTCTTCTTCCTCGGCATACCAGCCTCCACAACATCATCATCCCTATCCCTATCATCCCCATCCCCTCGCCCCTTCCTCCCCCCATCCCTTCCTCTCTTCCCACCCGCACCCCCCGTCCCGGCTTCACGTATTTCCAAAGCCGCCTCCCTGTTTGCTCTCGCCACCGTCTCGGCCAAGAGGGCGACGGCTTCTTTGTCGGCTGTGAAGCCGGACATCTTTTTGCCGATGTGGGCTTCGATACGTTGCAGGATTTCGACGTCGTATTGGGTGACGAGGGTGATGGACTTGCCGGAACGGCCGGCACGGGCTGTACGGCCGACTCGGTGGACGTAGTCTTTGGAGTTTGTGGGCATGTCGTAGTTCTACATTTCGTCAGCGGGTTTCGAAACGGTAAGGGGTGGGCGTACGATGACAAGGTCTACGAGAGGGATATCCAAACCACGCGACGCAACATCGGTAGCCACTAAGATACTTCTTCCTCCGCTCTTGAACTTGTTCAAACTCGCCAATCGCAGGGATTGGGTCATTTGACCATGGAGCGGGATAGCAGGGAAACCCAATCTTCTCAAAACAATCGACAACCGTTGAGAGTCTGCGACAGTCCTCGTAAAGATGATCATCGAAGAGCTCGCCAGCTCATTCGCCAAATACAGCAAATAAGCATCTTTCAACTTGAGCGGCAAGAGCAGGTAGTGTTGAACCAGAGTGTCGACGGTAGAGTATTTGGAAGACACTTCGACACGGACGGGTTTGTTGAGGGAGGCACGTTGGAGCTTGGCGACTTTGGTGGTCATGGTAGCGGAGAAGAGGTAGGTGTTGCGTTCTTTGGGGATGACTTTGAGGATTTTGTCGATGATGGGTCCGAAATCGAGGTCGAGGAGACGATCGGCTTCGTCCATGACCTGTGAAATGGTTAGCTTGAGTAAATGAGATGAAGGCGTATGGCGTACCAGATACTTCAAGCTCTTCAATGAGAAACCCTTAGTGTTCTCGAGATGGTCCATGAGACGACCGGGTGTAGCAACAATAACATGGGGTCGTTTCGAGAGCGCAATGGATTGAGACATCATGTCCATACCACCGACCAGCACGGCTGTTCTGACGCCAATGCCGGATCCGAGGGAAGTGACCTGCTGAGAAATTTGATACGCAAGTTCTCTTATAGACTGTCAGCATCTTCAATATAATCAATGCAAAGATACACACCTCGTGGGCGCCATGACGAGCGCAAAGAACGGCTGCGGCTCTTCCCAAAGTGCCTGCAATATAGGCAGACTGAAAGCTGCAGTCTTACCCGAACCAGTCTGAGCAAGACCGATAATGTCCTTGCCTTGTAAAGCATGCGGGATAGACTCGGCTTGGATGTCGGAGGGCTTCTTGAAGCCCAATGAAGCACATGCCTGGCAGAGTTCTGGCGAGATACCGAGGTCGGCAAAGGTCTTGTTGTGGGAGGCTTCGGGGGCGTCGGGGTTAGAGGGGGCGGGGGATGGAGAGCGGGGAGCCTCGGAGGCGGAGCGAGAAGATGAGGCTTCTGATTCGGACATTGTGGATTGTATGGTGATTGTCAAGGCCAGGCCAAAATAATTGTTGTTGAAATCTCAAAAGGTGGAGGTCAGCGTGTACCTTGCGGTTTACGTAACTCTAAATATTGGTTTGTTTTTCTGCATTTCTCCTGAGTCATCCGCGCCTGACTTCTTGGTTGACTTTCTTTCATCAATCTCCAAACACAAACATCTCAGTTCGCATTTTGTTCTTCGCCCGCCACTCCCATTATTGGCATTCCATCGACTTCGACAGCCCGCCCGACCCCCTCGCCACTTCACATGTCCATATAGCCCCCACAGCAGTCCTTCAAGAAACAACACAAACAAACCGACAACTTCGCTTGTAGCCCCGACACAGCGTCAACATGGCTCTCCCTCGAGGGTCGGCAGCACCGCCTCCCATGGCCATGCCAATTACAGGCTACGCCGATGTATCAGAGCTGGACAAGTACAAGCTTGTCTCAAACATCGGGAAGGGAAGTTTCGGCGTCATCAGTAAAGTTCAAAGGGTTTCAGACGGCAAGGTTTGTTTTTGCCTTTTTTTGTTGAATGGGATGGGGCTGATGGAAGCTATAGGAGTTTGCTCTCAAGCAGCTGGACTATAGCAAGATGACGGACAAGGACCGCAAGCAGATTTTGGCCGAAGTGTAAGTTTGTTTACCCCGATATCGTATGGCATGTTTTGAGCGACGTCAAACTCACATCCATGTAGCGCTATTCTTGAATCACTGAAGCATCGCAACATTGTCCAGCTTATACAAAAGATCAAAGACCCAAAGAATGAACGAATCTACATCATCATGGAGGTACGTCATGTCTTGCGAAACATCGATACGGCTGACATTTTTGACAGTTTTGCACTTCAGGCGATCTCGGTACCCTGATTCGCAGAGCTCAGCGCAACAACTCGTCCATACCAGAGGACAAGATCTGGAACATTTTCCTCCAGATTGTGCTGGCCTTGCACCACTGCCATTGGCCCGCGGAGAGACAAGTGAAGTCAGGAGGCCGGACGAGTTCGGCGCCAGTTGTGCCGGATGGGGGCGCGAGATATCAGGTCTTGCATCGAGACTTGAAGCCTGAGAATGGTACGCTCCTCTTTCTCCTGCAACGACCTTTGCTCACCACCCCTAGTGTTCTTGTCTGACGAATTCGTCAAGCTGGGCGACTTTGGTCTCAGTAAAGACATGGGCACCGCCTCTTTCACCAGCACATACGTCGGTACCCCTCTTTACATGCCCCCGGAGATCTTAGCGGAGAATCGGTATGATACCAAGTCGGATATCTGGAGTCTGGGATGTTTGGTCTATGAGATGTGTGCTTTGAAGTAAGTCTCGCGTTTCATCTTCGAGGTCAATGTTGACGTAGCGTAGCTCGCCGTTTTCCAACGCGCAAACACAGCAAGAGTTGATCACGATGGTCAAATCTGGCAAGATCCCGTCACTCCCCTCGCACTATTCACCAGCGCTACGAAGTGTCATCAAGGCCATGCTCACGCTGAATGTGGGTACTCACCCTCCTGATATGTGCGACATTCTGACGATCGAATAGCCTGCGAAACGACCATCAACGAAAGATTTACTGGAAACATCCGAGATGAAGCTGCATCGCAAGCTCTTCACTGTTCAAAATCAGTGAGTTCTATCATATCAGTTGATGACATCAACTGACCGATCCGAGAACGTCTCTCCTGTTTGCCAAACGCGACGAGCTCAAACACTTTGAAGACCAAATCCGTTCCCGATCCCTTGCCCTCGACACTCGCGAAACCGACCTTGCCTCCCGTCTGGCCTCCCTTGAAGCTAGAGAAGAGCTCTGTGAAAAGAGAGAGGAAGAAGGAAAGGAAACGCAGAGGAGGTTGAACCTTGCAGCGGAGAGCTTGAGGGGCCAGTGGGAGCGATTTAGAGAGGAGAAGGAACAGCTGGAGAAGGAGATGAGAGAGAGAGAAGCGCGAGGGAGGACAGGGATGGGATTGGGCTTGGAGGATGTTCCGGATGAGAAGTGTCAACCCCGGCCAGGGTTGACTCAGGTGTCTCGGCCACCTTTAGAGGAGCGCAAGTGAGTGACGCCCTCGAGCCCTTTGGTTCCTACTGACACACTTGCAGCACCCTTCCAACTTCCGCTTCTGCCAGATTCTCCCGTCTATATATGGACACGCCCTCCAAAATCCCTCTTCCCACGGCTATCGCCTCTCCCACACCCATAGACGGCCGTTTCGGCGCTCTCAATCTCCAGCCCCGGCCAGCCACCCCTCTCCGCAGGGCGGCTACAAAGTCTATGGGCAACCTGGCCGCTGCTGCTCGCGCACAAGCTACGGAGCAAGAGGCACAATCACAGCAGCGAACTGGTGGAGCTAGTGGATGGAATGGTGCTTCTCAGGCAACGCCGGCGAGACAGCACAATTTCCAACGCAATCAGCGTACATCCATCGGCTCTCCATCCGAGCTTCAGAGCGTATACTGCGAAGACGTCTCTATGGCTTCTGCCGTCCCGTCTCCTTGGCTCGTTCGCCCTCGCCGATCGTCGATCGTTCCCCCCACGTTCCATTCCGAGCACAGCTCTGACTCTCTGGCAGAGGCGAATACGGCTACGAGACCGGCTCCGCCACCACCGACGTTGATCCCCGGTCCGTCTAGCGGGTTCGTGTGGAAAGAGGCGGCGACACCAGCCAAATGGCAAGCCGATGACCCAGATCTGCCGAGTCCCTTCATCCGGCGGCCAATCTCCGTGCCTGCTCAACCCCAACTCCTCCCTGCCACAACATCCGAAAGACAACCCCTGGGCGCTATCAGCCCTCAGCAAGCTACAGCCTCCGGTCCCACATCAGGTACAGCATCAGGCGGGCTGAAAAAGATCCCGAGGAGCAAGAGTGGCAATCTGCATCAACATGTGTTGAAGCACAATGCTGTGATGGCGGGGCGGACGAGTGGAGAAGGGGTGGGGCAGAAGACGAGGGTGGGGGGTAGTCGAGTTGGATGAACGCAGTGGGTAGCCGCGCGAGTAAGGTGGGGCTTGACAGGGCGAGAGGGTCAGGCGAAGAGTATAGATTAGTCCGCCGGTCAAGAGCTTGGCCTCTGGGCCTCTCCGTCATAACGACTCATGTTTGAGGAGATGATTCCTGTATTGTTGAACATGTATATCCTTCTTCATTTTCTGTATCCCCGCTGAGAGGTCAATTGAGTCACATACAAGCAACAGTCATACACTCACCAAGAATCAAAATCAGCCACGCCCGCTTGACTCATTTGCTCCCGGAAGACCGACTTATGGATCCTTTCTTTCTCTTTCTTTGTTGCTTCTCCCATTTCTTTTCTAAAAAGGGGTATCATGACAGACTTCACCCTCAATCTCCACCAATCCCACTCCCTCATCACCACTCTCCTAGCCCACATCCATGCTTTTCCGACAGAGCGCTTGCTGTACCATGCTCCCGTCCTCGACCGCATCTACATTCCCACTGCAGAGGAGAAGGATGCTGAGCGGGTGGAGGAAAGGAGGAGAGTATGGAGGCAAGATGAAGTGTTTGGATTGAGAAAGTTTGTGGATATTGTAGAGCATCATGAGAGTGTACTACGGAATGTCGGTATCTTTGATCTTATCCTTTGTCCGAACGCTGACAAGTCTGTAGATGATCGATCATGGCATACCTCCGCAAGAAGATCCTCTTCCCTCAGTCCAAGGCATGGAAACATTCTGGAAGATCCTCATTACTACCGAACCGCCTATAGTCGGGGTCAAAATGCCGATGGGCGGCAACGCCGGCGGGGCTTTGACACCCAAAGGTCAAGGAAAAGGGCAGCAGAAGAAGGGAGGAAAGAAGAATAAGGACTGTTGGGTGGATGTGATTGCTCGTGGTGGGAATGAGTGGGTCAGGGTGTACAGGTGCGTTGGTTTTGGAAGAAGATCGGAGGTATGCTGATCGAGTGGCAGCAAGAAGATCTCGCATCTCCTAGCAGAGTTCCGCGAACAAGATTCGTATGTCAACTCGGACTTTGACTCTTCGTCTGAAGATGAAGGAGGAGCCTCGGAGCCCAAGAAGACGAATGGCGACCACGACCCAGACCTCTCGAATTCCCTTATGCAAACCGCCCACGACCTTCTGCGTGCTTCCGCCTCCGCGCCGCGTATACCTGGCGCTTCGCAGCCTGCCTTAACGATTTGGCTTACAAGAATACCAGACTCTCCCGAAGAATGGCCCGACAGGCGGATCCCCAAGACTTTGCAAGCACTCGGGCATTTGGGCATCACGGTCCGCCACCTTTCACCACCTGCCCTCGACACCCTTACTGGATATCCAGTGCCAAAGCGGCTACAGCCGAGTATGAATATCAACTTTGATATCACCGCCCTCCTCGGTCTGACTTCCGACGTCTTGCACTATCCCCTCCCGAAATCGCGTGAAGAAGCTGGTGCGCGTTCGCTCCGACCTGCAGGCGAGCTTCTCGGGACAGGCTCCCTTGCTCGTGGTCGGGATGGGACTGGTAGAGGAAAAGGAAAGGGGAGAAAAGAAACGGACGCCGAAGGAGAGGAAGGCGAAGATGATGTGCTCAGAGGCCAAAGTCAGAATTCGCGCGAGCTGTATCGGTGTATACTCGAGGAGATGGGCCGCCCTTGGATCGAAGAGTTCAACTCTGTCATCCTCGCCGCCTGGCAATCGCACCCTTCCTACTCACCTTCCTCTTCGACCCCACCCCCCTGCGAATTTTGGGCGACGAAACAAGCCGCGCAGTATACTTTTGAAGCTCTTACGTCTGGGCCAGCTCATGGAGAGGGTATGGAGCAGAGGAGGATGAAAAGGATGTTGGGGTATGAGGAGGGGGATTGGCTGGAGGGCTCGAGGTATGAAGGCAAGGGTGGTATTTTGGAGGGACTGAAGATTAGGGTGTTTGATGACGAGGATGACACGGTTGGGGAGCAAGTGGACAAGACAGGTCTGCATAAAACGCTTGAAGCTATCTCGGGCGACTTTCTCCAAGACTATTACGCTTCCCTCGCCCCACCTCCTACGTCCAAATCGTCCAAACTTCCAACTCCTTCCCTCCCAAACTTCCTCCAGCCCAAGAAACTGCCCTCCCCGCCTGTCGCCAAGATCACCCTACCCTTCCCCGTCGTCTCCTTGCACGCCCTGCATAGAGGGGCAAAAGAAGGGATGACTACGGTGATGATGGGGACTGCTACGTTCAAGGAGGTGTGGGGCCAGGGGAGATGGAAAGTCCGAGGTTGGGAGCGGGGAAGCTATGACCTCGCAGCTGTTGACGATGGGGCAGGTGGAGAGGAAGTAGGGGAGGAGAGGAAAGAGAAGGGAAGTGCGGCGGTGATGATCTTTCCCTACAGGGTGTTTGGAGAGGGGAAGAGGGTGAGGTTTGAAAAGGGTGATTACGCTTACCCAGCGTATCCTAATGCTGAGTGACCGTGGCAAGATCATTTCAGCAGATGATCTAGCATCAGTGAGAACATAGATAGAAGCATACAGCATAACATCATTGTACAAGTACATTGCAACATGTAGTCAAACCAAACAAGTACTCTAAGGTCTCGGTAGCATTATTATAGTGGATCTACATGGTTTATCAGTACGGCATCTTGCAAGGTCAAGGCAGAGACATACCGTCATCAGTGTCCTCCTCCGTCGACTCATACCTCTGGCTGACAGGCTCCTTCTTCACCTTGATCTTTGCAGCAGGACCTAGAATCTCCTCCGCTGTTCGTTTTCTAGGATCGCTGTATGTGGGATTGTTTCGGGATTTGGTGGATTTGGAAGAGAAGGGGACGCGTTGGGCTGGAGGCTGGACTTGGCGAGATGGAGTCTGCTGAAAAGTCAGATCAGCCGGAATCTCCAATGGAAGTGAGTGAGACAAACCTGGTCAACAGGCTCTTGCTTGACACCCCTAGGAAGACTAGGAATATACTCCTCCGCCTGCTCTTCCTCATACTCGTCATCACTCTCCGCTATCCTCCTTCGCTTCTTGACCGCCTCTCTCACCGGCCGCTTTGGAGGGGAGGACGTATTCTGAAGGGAATGATATTGAGGCGACTCTGAGCTCGCTACAGGGGGATGGGTGGACTTTGATCCTGAGGGCCGAGAAGCCGAGGATGATGTGGTGTTTGGTTGACGAGGTTTCTTTGAGCTGCTTGATATTGCACCATTCGCAGCAGGTATATGTTTCTTTCCCCTCTCTTTCGGCAGAGAAGAAGGGACAGAGGGGAGAGCCCCTCTCGAGCCGAAAACATCCAGCTCTGCGTACTCCCCTCTTGCTTTCCTGATTTGCGTGCAGTACTGGTCCGTCAGAACTGCGAGCTCGGCATAACGTCTTTCCCAGTACTCTCTTCCACGTCTCTCCCCATCCAGCTCCCTGACAGCTTCATCCCTCTCCTTCTCCGCCGTCTCTCTCCTCTCTATAGCCTGCCCCACATCAGCCTCCATACGTTCTCTCTGCTCCTCGCCCCTCTCGACCTCCGCCCTCAAATCCTCCATCTCCTTCTCCCGTTCTTCCAAGAAATCCTCCATATCACCAAGTTTCCCCTCAGCAGTACGCAGAATGGCATTCTCAGATTCGAGTTCGCCAATCCGGAGCTTGTATTCAGTGTTGGTTTGGAGGATGCCCTTGTTGAGAAAGGTGGCGAGCTCGAGTTCGTGTGTTGCGGTGGAGAGCTGGGCTTCGAGGGAGGAGAGCTGGGAGCGGTGGGACATGGTGGGATGAGTTGGGGGATGGCCTAGGGAGGGATGAGGGGGAGCACGACGCTCCCAAGATGTGGATGGTGGAGATGCAAATCAGAGACGAGCTTTCGGAAAACAGAAAAGTCAGAATGCGTGAGCGCGGATTTCTATCCTTCTCTTTCATTTCACTTCAATCCAAAAAACTAATCTATATCATCCCACCAAGCCATCCTCAAGCCATGCCAGCATCACCTTCACACCGCCGCCCATCCTCTCGCTCCCCTCGCCGAGACCAAGACCGCGGGGACCGAGACTCGTACAGGCGCCGCTCTCCCGATCGTAGACCCAAAGACAGTGGCTACGCCGACCGCGATAGGATACGAGACCGCGAGCATAGTAGGGGATCCAGAGAGCCCAGAATGAATGGGGAAAGAGACGGGGGATATAGGGGAGGTGTGAAGAGGGAGAAGGATGGGTCGTATGGTGCGCGAGAGAGGGAAGGCGAGAGGTCGAAAGATAGGAAGCGGTATGATGAAGATGCTGGGCGGGATGTGAGTCTCTCTCTTTTGTGTATCTCAGCTCTTCTGACGCACATGCGTAGGGCCCCGATGGACCAGCTGTGGAACCGGAGAAGCCCAACTTTGGTACTTCGGGACTCTTGGCGAAAGAGACAAATACGGTGAAAGGCGTGGTGGTCAAGTACAACGAACCGCCTGAGGCGAGGAAGCCGACAAAGAACTGGCGTTTGTATGTTTTCAAGGGGGAGGAACAGATTGGTGAGCTTGTTAGGTACTTGGAGGGGCGAGAGCTGACACCAAGGCAAGACTTGATACATATCTATCGGCAGTCTTGTTACCTCATCGGCAGGGATGAAGTGGTAAGTCTTCACTTGTATTACCCGGCGTAGGGAGCAACAATACTGATACAGTCACAGGTTACAGACATACCGATAGCGCACCCATCATGCTCCAAGCAGCATGCTGCCATCCAGTTCCGTCAGATGACTGAGCGTAATGAGTATGGAGATGTCACGAGTACCGTCAAGTAAGCTCACTTTCCTTCTTCTTGGCATCCCTTTATTGCCCGATCTAATTTGTCCGTAGGCCTTTTTTGATTGATCTGGAGTCGACGAATGGCAGTTTTGTGAACGAGACGGAGATTCCCAAAACGAGGTGAGTCTTTACTCGTTTTCATGTCAGAGTTGCCTAGCTCATCTCATCGATAGATACTACGAGCTGAGAAGCAGTGACGGTAAGCCTCCATGTATACCTCGCGCTATGCAGAAGCTAAAAGCTATTGGTAGTCATCAAGTTTGGTACTTCGTCGAGAGAGTATGTGTTGCTTCACGAGAATGCTTCATCCGCTTCGTAATGGCATGTAGCCATGTCAAAGGTGGTAATGGGCCGCTCCACATCCGGTTGTCTTTCTGGATATATGCAACTCCCCAGATATGAAGTAGACTCGCGATCAATCATCGTCGGAGCAATCAATGACACAGGAGAAGACTCCTGGCGCGTACCATCATCAGTCGAGCTGATTCGATTCATTTCATTCTTCACAGAATATGTTTGATGTACTGAATAGATGTCCTTACATGGCCCAAGGGCAGTGATGAATGCATACGAGCGCTGCAATCTGCATATATAGCCGGCCCGGCCGTATTGACGGGCGGAGATGTCCGCTTGTTGTGTTCCTCCCGCTGGTTGCCGACCGTAATCTGCTATCTCTTTTATTTCTGTTTCTTCAGATATTCAAAGTATTCCACCCAGCCTCAATATCTCGCCAGAGATGACCACGCCCCCCGTTCCGAAAGAACTCGCCGCCCTTAAACGCGAACTGCAACTATCCCACATCACCGCCGACGCCCTCCTCACCGCCGTTCAAGACCTGGAAGAGAAACAGAGTAAACTCGAGACGGAGCTTCGGGAAGTGAAAGATGAGAGGGATGTGCTGAGGGGGGAGAATAAAGAGCTGACGGGGAGGTTTGCGATTTTGAAGGGTAAGATGAAGGGGATTGCTAGTGAGTGACAAGAGCAGCGCGGGGTGTGGGGTGTTTTGCTGATGTTTGGTGTAGAGGAGATGAATGGGTTGTTAAGGGATCCCGTGCCGCCAGTCGTGAGATTACTAGGCGACGGAACCGAGTACTGTATGGAAGGCAAGCCAACCGCTTCACAGACAGCAAAGTCTACACCTTCCAAGAAACGAGTGGTCGGAGTCGTCATAGGTAGGCCCCTACGGAAACTTCACCTCGACAGCACTGACACTCTGGACCAGAGTCGAAATCGAAAGCGTCACCAGCCCTCTCCTCTTCATCCGACGTACACCTAAAGCATGGAACAGCAACATCAACAGCAACAGACCCTTCGCAACCTTTGCCGAGAGCGGGCAAGCTGGAAGGTATCGAGAAAAGAAGGACGTCGGGAAAGCGATTCTTGGAGCAAATCGAACAAGACTCGGAATTGGATGCGAGGGAACGATCAGGAGGCAAGAAGAGCAAAGGTGATCGGACTCGCATCACTTGTGCTGGTCATACAGTAAGGAGCTGATTATTATGTCAGTTTATGATTCAATAAAATACCGAAATCTCAATCAAGCATGTCTGTTAGAATCGTACAGTAAGGGTAGCTTTATCCTGTAGCTTTTGTCAAAATGCTCATGTATAACTGTAGACAAGGCTATCGGCCATGCCCACGAGATGCGAGGGCAGTCGATACCATTACCCGCTGGGAACATACAATGGAGACCGGAGGTAGCGGCCAAACGACACGTACGGTTGGTCATCTTACCAGGAGCTGGCGTGAATGCGGACATGCTGCCTGCTTTCCAACAGAATTCGATGCCGCACGTTCGGGCGGTGGCAAGTGCCATATCGAAGAATTTGGTGTATTTCGAGCCGATACCTTTGTCAGAGACGATATCGGTGGGGGGAGCAGATAATGGGGCGGACATGAAGGAGGCGGATGAGCTAGATAAGAACGTGGAAATGGCGCTCAGCAATGAATCACAGGCAGACAGTCTGGTAGAGCTTGGTGAAAGTGCGAGCAGCGATGAGGAGATGTGAGAAGAGGCGACGTTGTGGTGTTGCGATGAGAGTGTGTATGTCCAAGACGATGATGATGATATAATATTTCATGCCCCCTTGATGTCAATTTCTTTAATGCATTGCATTTTGGATCTACCTCGCTATTACGACTGTACGATTATGACCTTGGAGAAGACTATATCTGCTGTTTGAGCGCCTTCTCGGCGTCTTCTTTGTCGTTCTTGGGGAGTGGTACCACTTTGGGTACAGTCTCTGCATTGAACTTTCTCATCCACTAGAATACGCCATGTTAGTAAAGTGTCCTGGATAGAGAGGACAAACAGGGGAACGTACATTCAACAGCGCAAAATCCGGGATATTCTCCTTCGGCCTATCCTGCAACCTCACAATCTTCCCCCCTTCCTCATCCTTACTCGAATATATCTCCAGCTTACTGTCCATGGTGATGCTCTTCAGCTTGGAAGGTAAGAGCGGGACTTTGAATTCAAAAGTGTGTTTGATGGGGATGGAGATAAGGTCGGTGGAGAGGGTACGGCCGGTACCGTCTGTGGTGGATGTGTTGGGGGTGATTTGTGAGACGGTGTAGGATTGGGTGGTGGCGGATGATAACACAGTAGGCAGATGTAAAAGCTGGCCTCCTTCCGCCCCTTTATCAGCACCGATGATCCACGAGTCCCGCCGACAGTGACGCACCGACTTCTTCCCGCGTCTTGCACGAAGCAAACAAATCCTCATAAACAGCGTTTTTGGTAAAGTTGTCGTCGAGCTTGGCTTTGGTGCCCTTGGCTTGGAAGAGGTCGAGGACGACGGCGATGTGTTGGCGTTGGAGATCGGTCGGCTGTACGCCGGGGGAGAGGGTGAGGGTGGAGGGGTCGTTGGTGAGGGAGTGGAGGGAGGAGGCTGTGACTGACATGTTGAATAATGTTTGGATAGCAAGACGAATACAATGGAGATAGATATGCAAGGAAATTGTGATACTTGAGCAGCGGGAAGATAGCAAATCGTCATCGAACTGAGAATCGCCGCGGACCGCCGAGATCGTTTTGTTTGGTTCTCCGCTGTGACATCAGGAACAGCGGCATATGATGTTTTTACGTGATAAGGATGAGGTCCTCTACATTTGCTCAGAACGAAGGAGATGAATGGCAGTAACGCACCGTATGGGCCTGTACAAGCCAATGCACGAGCCACATTTTGCCCCAAATAGGTAATTCTGCCTACTGCCAGTGACCTGCCACTCTGCCAGTCTGCCACTCTTGTGAGTCGTGACTCTTGACTCTTGAGGTGCGCCGACTGGGTGCCGATTCTACCGAAGATTCAAATCCTTCCATTCTCTTCTTCCTTGAACAGCCTACGTACAGTTACTGCAACTATTGCACTTATCAAAGCAGGATGGCGGCATCCAACGACTACCTTGAAACTACATGCAAGTGACCTAGAACCTCACATGAAGAGTTCATCGAGTTGACAGCATGGGATGTACAAGTTCATCCCTTAATAGATCTGCTGTTTCCCACCCTGGAAGAACTTGACATCGATCGGCGCATTATTCGCCGGCACGTCGATCCCGTTCCCATACTTCTTGGTCTCCTCATTATACTCCCAATAGATCAACCCTTCTTGTTCCGCCGGCAGCTCGCTGGAGAATCGATATTTGAAAAAGGCAAGATCACCGCCGAAAAGAATCTGGTGCGCCCAGAATGCTGTACGGGCCCAGAAACTGATGAACGCACGAGTTTCCTGGACAATAGTCAGCAAGAGATATGGAGCAGAAAAGGGAGGAGATGCGTACAGTAGAGACCGGCTTTATTCTTGAGAACGATTTGACGGGATAGAGGAGGTCTTTGACGAGACTGTCGTCTCCAGCACATATACGCTCGAGAAGTCTGCCGTGCGACATCCGTTCGTCCGCCGACGACCATACACATCCATTCGCTTCCATGGCGTCCTTCATCGCCTAGAGTTCAACGTCAGTTTTGTATTTTGAAAAGACAAGGTGAAACTCACCTGGATAGCCTTGCGCCTGTCGAGCAGGAGCCAAGCCGCCATCAACATCTTCCTAGTCTCCACCAGATCACCTCGCATCCACTTGTTTGAATCCGCATACGTCGACATCAACTTTCTCTCCATCTGCATCCAAACTTTGACCCATTCTTTCCCCTTATTCCACCCGGACGGGGTGCCCGTATCCATCTTTGCCATGAGCATTGTGTGAAAGTCGGCTTTGAGTTTCGGGACGACTTCTTCAAGGAGCCGGAAGCGGAGGTCGTATTCTGTCTTAGCGTCGGACCGGCAGAGGGAGCAAGAGCATTTAAAGCCTTTTTCAAAAGCGACTTCGGAGCGGGGGGTGTATGTGAGGGAGGTGTCGAATTTGTTTGAGCAGAGCTCGGTGCCCTTGGGCATGTTGTAGAGTGCGCGCACTACGGCAACCTGCAGCCAGATTAGCTGGAGTAATAGCAAGAAAAGGAAAAAAAAAAATCACATCGCCCCAGACTTTGATCGACACGTTCGGCCGGCAAGAATGCACCATCACGCCCGGCATCCCGAACACCATCAACGGCCACTCCCTGCTCTCCTCATTCGTCGTGCTCCGCGGTATCACCGTCGCCTTGAGGGAAACAGGCGAATCGTGCACCTTGATATCCCTAATCACGTTCCTAATCCGCCTCAAGTCAATGTCCGACACCGGCTTGAACAGTTCTTCCAGCCGCTTGGCTTCCGCGCACTGCCAAGTCGGGAGCATGGAGAGAGCGCCGTGTTCGTAGAAATCACAGGAAGAGAAGATCTGGGCTGAGAAGGGGTCGTCGAGATATTGGTGTACGGCACGGGAGATGGCAGAGTAGGAGGAGGGTTTGATGTAGTCTTCGTTGAGGTGGTCTATGCAGGGAGTGATTGCGTTGCCGGCATCGCCCGAGTACGACGTAAGGAGCGATTTGGAAACGAGAAGCAGTTCGCCAGCTCGCACAGCCCGGGTTGAAACGAGACCCCGGGTGTTCCTTTTCGGGATGATGCGGATGTCGACGGGGCCTTGGTAGTCGGCAACGTCGATACAAGGGGCATTGGAACGCTGGACATCTTGCAAGATGGACGTCCAGTTGTAGTGCCCATACTGCCTCTCAATCTTTCTCGTCTCCAGCTTGGCCTTCATAGCTGTCAAAGGCTCGAGAACTTCAGAGTAGACGTGGCACTTGTCGAGGAGTCTTTCGGCAGTAGACCAGAGACGGAGGCCGTACGCCGCGTTGGCCATCCGCCAGTACAGCTTGGCCAGCTGCGCGTATGTAGCCGGCGCATCCGGATCGCACACAAACCTCTCGGCGTGGAAACAATCTCTATAGGCGGTACCGTAGAGTTTCTGGTCGAGGTGGGCTTGGGCTCGGTTGAGATAGAGAGTCAACTGTCGGCTAGGGTCCGAGGTGACTTCGGGGTATCTGAGAGCGGTGGTATAGTGTTTGGCGGCGATGATGGGGTTTTTCGCTTTTAAAGCCTTGTTCCCCAAGTCCTTCACTTCCTCCCAAGTCAACTCGTGGATCAGTGCCGCCGGTGCCACTCCCTTGAACATTTGCGCTAGAGGGTGAGAGCGATGCAGCTCCTGTATATCCGTGGGCACGTCGACGATGATGACATAGCCTCCCTTCATCCCTGTTCGGACCTCGGGTTCGCGAATAGCGAGGATAGCGCCGACAGGGTAGATTTCTTGCAGGGTGGAGCGGAGGTTGAGGGCGTAGCAGGGGGTGGCGGTGGGGAATTTGACTTGGACGGGGAGGACACGGCCTTGGGGATCTTCTACTTGACTACGAGGGGTCTCAGTGTATGCTGGAAATTGAGATCTGGAAATTGAGATAGATCCACTCACAAGACGATACCATCCTCAACTTTTGCTTTCGTCAACACTCGGCAGACGTAGACACAATCTGTAACAGACAATTAAATAACTGTCAGAACAAAACTAACCAGACTCACCGAGGTGCTTGTCAGGGCACTTTAGAGATGTCATCTCCACTAGCTTCAAACTTTCTAGCTTGCGGGTAGAGCACATAGCTACTTCATCCAGGGTGACGATCCTAACCCTCATGCCCTCCTTGTCCCACGAAAACTCGTCCTGGCGGAATGATTTGTCCCAGTTCAAGGCGGCTGAGCGTGTCGGAATGCGCTTCTTTTCCAGACATCGCGGTGTTTCGGCTTCATTCGTCTGTCTATGCCGTCAGTACTCCATATATCTCGTTGATCCAATCCCGCGTCATGTCCTTCTCGATCCACTCCATAAAGACAGACCAGTCACTGCGAAAAGTAAACTCACCGCTGCGACCAACAGGGCATTCTGCAACGCCTTGACGATACGATCCTCTACCAGATAGTGATCTTCGTTGTGGGGCGTCCTGCAAGTACACATGAAGAGTCCATCTTTGACCGTCCACAGTGCGTCGGAGAGCAGGGACGGGCTGACAATACTGGGGCCGGACCAGGACGTGGGGATGCGAAGGGTCTGGGCGACTTTGTTGGTCTTTGTCTTCCAGGTTTCGGATGGGATTTCCATGGCGGTGGGATGCTTTCGATGAGCAAGAGATGGAGAAGCCGGCGTCTGTGTTGTCGGTTGCGATTGATGCCAACTTCGAAGAGAGAAAGCGGGCAAGAGTGCAGGCGCGCGACGCCCGCAATGATCGTTCGGGACACCCCGACGAGATGGCGGTCTTGCAAAGTCAATGCAAAGTCCAAGTTGAAACTGTTGATGGGTCATGTCTGGGAACTGGTCCATTGCAGAAATACAACCCAATCACCAGGGGAGGAACTAGAACCTACATAGGGGGCTGATAGCGCCACAGTAGTTCCGTCCAGATTCCGTCTGGGCTCCGTCGTGCGCCTGAGCGCCCGTGCCGGGTGTTCTTCTGTTGTCGAACTGTATATGTGTCCTTCATACATGTTGCATCACGACTTTCTACCTTTCTAACTAGCTGATTCACAGTGGAGCATATTCCTGTTGCCAAATCCGGGCCTCAATCAGTCACACGGCCGCACCCATCTCATCCAATGCATAATTCAACGTGTCAATCACGACATTAGCTCTGAGGGAAAGGATTGTCAGTCATTGTGGCGTCTTAAAACTACACCACCTGGCCACTCCACGAAGGATCAGCCACGGCAGACTCGAATCACTCACATAGGTGTGGGCACTTTTTGCAGGGTGATTGCAAAGCCCATTGGGTAGGCTGTATTTCCTCAGCTGGGTCCGACGCGTAAGATATGACCTTCCAAGTTGTTCGGCGGTGTCCGTGACAGGTACACTTGTGTAGCGAGTAAAGGTGATGATACGGATGGCGGACGGCTGGGCTGCCTGAAGCCTACATGCCGCCCCCTGTCAGTCATAATACAGTACTTGCACTGAATCTCATCCTAGACCTGCCCTGGTAGTAGCAGTTGTTATGGGCCAACCCCTTCACAGATTCCAAGAGATCCAACTTACTCTGCTTCAATGTGGCAGCCCTCAGCCCCCCATTCGGCCTCATTGTCTCTCACAAAATAGTCGACATTGACATTTGGAAGGGTCTCCTGGATAACGGTCATTTCAAAGTTCATCTTCTCCCAGGAGCCTTCGGCGTACTTCTTGGGATCATGAAGATGGTCTCCATCTAGGACGTCACCGGTCTTGTCCTCCATTTCTGACATCAGATTTCCTCTTGGATGTACCTTTCGACTACTTCTTGTATGACCAAAAGAAGGGACTGGCTTGACATGAGGATAGTGCTGGTCACTACTAGTCAAAACCAGGGCCATCTTGAGCGTAGCCGTTACTATTCATGGACGCTTTTCTTTCCTTGCGGCTGCGACCTCGGCATCTGTGCTTGTGCTTCGGTCCGCCAGAACGGATCCGGAGAAACGACCGGAACGAAAACAAGGGACGGTAGTAAGTCATTTAGCGGCGATTGTTGGTCGTCATCAGAAGAGCGATGGCAAACCAAGCTAGCGCATCACATCCCGCTCGATCATCACACCTTCTCGAATGGATCTGGGAGAAGACCATGTTCAAGGGGAAGAGTCGAGTCTTGTACCTACAACCTTCCTCCAGTCTTCTTGTACCTGTTCTATGAGAGATCCAGGGCACCCAGCGGAAGTTGGATTGGTACTCAGAGTCGTAATTTGTGCTGCGCAAAGGGCGGCGTTTCTTTGCTCGCGTGCTCCATACTCATAGGATGCGACCTCATTGTCTATATGTCATATCACTTACGAAGGGCCGCTGCTCATCTGGGCAAAGGGCATGATAAGCTCGGAGTTTGTACGACGCGGCCGTTCAGAGTTCCCGAATAGCCTTCGTTCCAGCAGCACTTGAATGTATCATACTACGCTGCACGGTACATGTGTCTATACGACGGCTTTCCACAATATCAGCATCCCTTGAGCTCTCTTTGAGCATCCTACGACCCCGCATGTTATGCATATCACACTTCGGCAACCGACATATCTCGGGAAATGTCTTCGATGATGTACTCAGCTCTGCAGAAAGGACATCCATAAAGTCAGCGTCTCTCTCTCCTTCGATCACTCAGATGGTAGTACAGCACTGCCCGGTCGTCACTCACAATTCCGTAGGCACTAGTCGAAGAGTGCAATCTGGCTTTTCACAGATGCAGAGCTGGCTCCAGTTGGTGATCTTGATTTCTTCAGGAGCGCCGCCGGTAACATAAGACAGTGCCTTCCAAGTCTGCTCGTCGTCTTCTGTGCCGGGTACACTCTGGTAGCGAGTAAGACTGGTGATACTCACAGCAGACTCATCTACGCCCTGAACCCTGATGGTCAAATCGGGTCAGTCACAAGTATTCTATGTTGCAGTGTGCTGACGTGATGAAGACAGTCTCGCTCTGATCTGTAATCGATCTCTTCTACTCACTCTGCTTCAGACTTCCGAGCATCATCACCAGGCTCGGCATCCTTGTCATCGACAAAGTGGTAGATGGCGTCATCTGTAAAGGGTTCTTCCCCCTCCACGCTGATCTCAAACTTCAACTTCTCCCAGGGGCCGTAGGCGTACTTGGAATTGTGGCCGCCTTCGCCGACGGAACCGGCTTTGTTCTCAATGGTGATGTTTTCGGTGTGCGACATTGTAGCTTGGTGGTGTCAATGAGTGTTGAGGGGAAAGTGATGACCTGAGATAGAGACTTGGGTGATTCTGGGCAACATTTTATGTACCCTGCTGGTCGGCAAGTCTGCAAAATTCACATCCATGCTATTAGCTCGCTTTCCGCTCGGGGATTGACCAGGGGCGATGAGAAAGGTGAGGAAACTTCTGGAGTGAAAAAGTCTCATGGTATGACTGTTGCTCACACAAGCTGGCGGCCCATTTCCATTGATGTCTTTTATCATCAGCCAATGACATTTTACTCCCTACGGCTCTGGTACTAGTATAGAGATAAAAAGAGAGGCCAACATTTGTTCACACTTTGCATTGCTGAGAGGTGGTCGTCGTCATGTGATCTTCTCATAGATCGCCATGCACAGCTCTTTGATTGTGCGGTTTCGTAGACCAGACTGGAAGGACAGCAGACTTGAAATCAGGGTTGAAGTGTACCTTTGAGACCATCCTTTTCTTTCAATGGACGACGTGCACCAGGTTGGTGCACTCCTCATCATGTCACCTATCTACATCTTACTCTTTTCCATGTCTGGGGGATAATGTTACGCCATATACCACTATGTTGCCAGGATGAAGCAGCTGCAATGTCAACCAGACCATACCCATTTACAAAACAGAAGATGCCATATGCACGAGGGACAAAACACCACAATAGTACGTAGGCTACGCGCGACTAGGATATTTCGAGATCCAAATCAGATCTCGAGAAAAATGAAGATGTCTGTCAACTTCCCATCTCTCTACAAGTCTTTTACAGTGACCTGGTGGGGACTTCTTCCTCGTGCCTCACTGGCACGGTTGGGAAGACAGCTGTACCATTTGAAGGTTTATCTTCTTCGGAAGTCCTGCTGACATCAGTGTGTGACCAGCCGAAGCTTTCTTTCTGGAACGTTTCTTCGACGTCCGTTATAATGTCGGCTGTATTCTCTTTCAATAGATCTCCTACAATTACAGGGGCACTTTTGACAATATTGTCAGTCAGAGCCGATGCGAGCACCACCAATGATGGAGGCGACGAGTACTCACAGTTCGCTCGGAACACTGCTGTTGGGACACTTCTCGTCCATGAACTCGTAGTGATTATGGTAGGAGCAGAGGCTATCGCCTGGAGGTGGGGATCTCTCGTTATCGAGCAAACCAGTAAGGTATGAGCAAAGATTGACTCTCTTGCCACTGGGACACATCTGGCTGTTAATTACATTCTCGTCCCAGCGGCCTTCTTTCGAGTTTGCTTCGTACTCAATCATCAGTTGTGCTTTGACGTCGCTAGCCGCTATTTCAAGTCGTCTGAAGACATGATGCTGTCAGTTTCGATACTGATTTGGCACTAGTGGTGTCTCGACGACTTACTCGGCCACCTCCTTGTGATACTCTTCTGGTGCTGTAGAGGCGTCACTTGTAAAGTCAACTCCAGGACCAACGTTCTCCACGGACAGTTCATAACGCCTCCAAAAGTGTGCGGCACCTTCTGATTGGACGGATGATGACGTGTCAGACATGGTTGGGCTATGATACGAATGGGTGGTTGAGATGGGTTGTGGCATCGATGATCCTGGAACAGCATCCTTATAGCCCGGCCAAGCTACCTTCCTTACATTTTGGCATGTATCCGAATCTCACAATTTGTTTTCAATCTCAGCCCGACCGCTCACAGGACCATTCATGACATGATGTACGAGGCCCACAAGGATGCTCGCGAGTGTCAGAGAATGCTCACAAGTGAATAGACCGTCTGTCTGTTTGTGGCTAATACGCAGCGTACAATGCGATACTGCTTTTGGCACCACAAACGCCTGCTGCAAGGTAACGTGTAAACACCACCCCCGCGAAGTTGAGTGCCATGTCTCGAAACGTCCCCCTGGTATCCTTCTCACAATTTGGCGCGAAAACAACTTGCCTTCCTTTCAATGACTGTCTGAGCTCCTCCCCGTATAAACTGCTTGACCTTTTTGGAGGGGCAGCAGGATGGTTGGTACTATGACAACGGAATGGCCTTCGAAGAGCGTAATCAGTATCATGGTAATCCTGGGATCGCCTCACAACAACAACTGCTTCAGTATGATCATTCTGGATCTGGGACTGCATATCAACAGGCTCACCATGGCTACTATTCTGGATCGGGGCCATCCTTTTAGCAGCGATCTCATTACACCGACAGCACAACAATGATTGCCCAACAACAACCTCCTTCGTCAGCCAACAACGACTCCGGAATGGACGAAAACGCCTTGTTCGATGAGATATGGCAAGGAAGTTGGGAGCAGCAGCATCGACAGCAACCAGGTTAGTCTCATAGATAAAATCATTGATGCAGACAGGAATAACATTACCACTCTGGATGGGTGTCATGGTATTGACCTCATTATGCTAGGATTTCTCGGGCATGTCGGAGCCTTTTTCTTATCATGGTGGTAGAAGTATCTTGCAAGGCGTATGTTTGGTAACGATCATTGCCGCTGTAATAGGAGGGGGGGGGGGGGGGTAAATTCCTGTAAGCGACTATGCAGTACTCCTACTCTTCGAGTGCTGTACGAGGTTGACAAATGGTATGGTTGCGAACGGAACTTGACTAACGCGGTGGTGTGAAAGCTACTGCATGGTCCGCTTCCTACGAGTACTTCTTCTTCTTGCGCCACTCGAGGTCCAGGGATCATCCGACCAAGCTGTCCTATATGAGTTTGATGCCATATCGAGGATCTGTCACATGCGGACAATAGTCGTTTTAGCCAGATGTACTCCAGCAAATCAAGAAAGAAGATGATGGTAGATACCTCCTCGGAGGTTATGTTGCGCGGCATAATAGATGACACCTGTATTGGTGAGAAGTTGTGACTGTCGACGATTGAGTCACCTGTCACGTCCAACAAGCTTAACGGCTCGAATGCCACGGCGGTGGTGATGTTGTTGAGGATGTGACTGGCTGTGAAGTATTCGAGTCCTTGTACATGATCACTGAGAAGACATTCTGATAGTGCCCTACTAGCTATAGCCATAACACAGCGTCGAACTCGAGACGAAGTATGAAGTATGAGGCAGCACTTCACCAGCAAGGACTTATGTCCCGTCGTCGTGAGTGTCTTCTACCGACCAGCTGAAGGCATCTTTCAAGTATTTCTCCCCAACATTCATTTGTAGACGGTCCGGTGAGTCTCCTTCTAGTAAGTCTACAACGATTGTTGGGATACTTGAGCCATTACGGTCAGCCCGTATAGTAGTCTCCAGCTTGTCAAGAAGACCTTTCCACTCACAGTTCGCTTGGGACATCATCATTGGGGCACTTGAAGTTTCTGGTCTCGTAATCAGAGTGATAGGCGCAGAGGCTGCTGGCGGATCCGGGTGGTTGATGTTCCCCGGCATTTGCAACAACCTCATTATAGTATGAGCAGAGACTGACACTCTTACCGCTGGGTTGTATCCCATTATCAATGACCTTCTCATCCCATCGACCTTTTTCAAAATTTGCTTCGTACTCTACGGTGAGCTTCACAGAGACGTCTTCAGGTGGTGCCTCAAATTGCCTATGGATGGGCGTCAGCTCAAAACGCTATCTCTTCCAGTGATCCCAAAACGTACTCGGCCAGCTGAAGACGATACTCGTCAGCCGTCAAGGTTTCATCGTTCGAGAAACAAACCCCTGCCCCGACCTCGGGCGCGGTCACTTCATAACGCCTCCAGAATTGAGGCACATCTTCGTCCGAGTGATTCGATGACGTGTCGGACATTGTTGTTGATCTATGAGGGAGCTTGTTACTCGGCATGGGGTTGCGACGCTGTTATATCTTTGACTCTGCTGGGTCGTGTTCCTTACATGACACACGAGACAAAGGGCTCCTCAAGAACGATAGTAGTCACCTCCGACCGTTGATGAGAACTATTATCGATAAGAATTCCTTCGTACTGCGCTGCGCATGCGCAACTCATCAGGCGAGATTGATTTTGATACTCCGGCTTTTCAGTGCAGCTTTCAATCGGGGTGTATTGGTAATTTCGGCCCATAAATCTCAAAGGGGTAGTAGTAAGGTCTTCGGTTGCGGCGGCGCCGCTACTACGATCAGACTCGACCCGCCCAACGGAACAGTCTATCTCGCTCCCCGGAATAGCGCTTTGCATCCTGCGAAAAGAGCTCATGTGATTACCACACGCCCATCTATAGCTATGCATTCTACATCCTACAAATCTCATGGGCTCACGCCGCAATGATGTGTCTATAGATAACGCATGTGGCAATACAGTACGAGTATGAGCTCGCAGGAAAAAGCGGCACCGCAACAGTCTCAGCAAGTCATATCTGTGTCCGTTCATCATTTTCACCATTCAATCACCAGTCTCGATTGCCGTATGCAGCGATTCAGCACTAGCACAAACATCAGCATCTGTGTCCGTCGAATCCGACGACAGTATCATCATGTAGTGTGAATAGCAAAAGACACTCACATTTCAGACGGCACATCCGCCAGCGTACACCTCGGATTAGGACAATCACAAAGCCTGCTCCTCGCCACCTCCTCCGCACCCTGCCCTCGCTCGTACAGGGAGAATGTTTCTATGTACCATGAACGTAAGGCTGGGTAGGGTGTGTATCGAGCGAGGGTGGTGGCGTATACGTCATCTGGAGAGACGTCATGCACGCTTATCCATCATTGTCAGCATTCTTCTGCTCGACGTGAAGAACGAGAGGAGGACGAACTCGGCAGCATTGTCTCTTGCAGCATTCTCCGGATCATCTCGATACCCCACTGTCGAAAAGATGACGCCTGATTCGGTATAGAACGTCCCATCTGGTTTGGTCACGATAATGTCGGCTTTCTCCCAGGGTAATTTAGTGAAAAGGGAGCGATGGTGGCCAGCAGGTCGGGGCTCGCAAAGTTCAGTGTCGTGCAATGTATCCGTGTTTATTGAGTTTACCAATTCTCTCGCTCTTGCACTGACGTGAGCGTCTGAATTATAACAGCAGATCGAAAACTGATTGGAAGGATCAAAATGACTTACAGCTCTGTTGGGACACTTTGGAGCACGCATTCCGGTTGATCGCAGTCGCACAGACCACTCCACAGTCCTGATAAGGGGTGGGGACCGCCGAGCTGACTAAATTCGGCAATGTCCCAGGTACGCAGTTCTGGGTTGGGTGTGTACCGGGAGAGTAAGGTATAGCTCACTGCCGAGGGTTCGACGTCATGGATACTGGTACTCGTCCATCAGCCTCCATGATTTCATTAGAAAGGGGCGATATAATGTCGCCGAACTTACATGGCATTGTGTTCTTGAATCCTAGTCGCAGGAGGGGCGGATTGCTGACCTACGCCTTTAAAATTGAAAACATCATACTCGTAATGTGGTGCATCCCCGCCCTTATCGATGGCCAGATGCATTCGCTCCCAAGGGCCGAAAGCGAATGATGACCCATGACCGCCTGCTCGGACGCTGTCAGCGGCGAGAAGGACATCCTGATAGTGCTCATCGGTCCAGAAATCAGACATTTCCGGTGCGGTCAGACAATTGTTTGAAGATACGAATGAGTAAGACACGCGCTTTGGAATATCAAGGTCCTTTCTTCTGACGCTCTTCCCGCCGCCGACCCTGGAGGAAGATTACTCTTTTCATCTTTACCATTCGGGGTTGAGGCAAGGTCACGCATAAAGGTATGAAGATTCAGGTCACATCATTATCCATCAGGGATATCCGTGAGAAATCAATGATGAAACGATGTCTCAGGAAGCTGGTGCTGTGGAAAGATCAACCATGTTGGGTGACGTGAGATGCTGGACGCCGGGACAAACAAGAGGGCGGCGAGATCCGCTTACCCACGTGGCACGCGAGTGACGCGACGCGGGCGCCTCTTCCGTCAGCCCTATTGTTCTCTATCTTTTGTGCATTCATCTTTTTCGTTTTCGGCTGTCTATACGCCTGCAATACCCAGTATTCCAAGTGGAATTACGACGCCTGTCGCCCGTCGCCACTCTCAACTGGGCCTACCACCCCCGCCTTGGCTAGCGACAAAGGAGCGACTGCAGGGACCTACCGAGGGACTGAGGGTCGTCAACGATCATGGCTACTCATGTCCTAGACTCTGGCCCATTGACCGAGTACTTCAGAGGTGAGTCTTGAATCTCGTAAATGGTCCAAAGACCCTCTTGTTGCATCTTGCATTTTGTCGGCGGCCGGACGAATACGATATGTCGCGTCGCGAAAAGTGGAATGCACAGGGAGCTGATTACTTGTATAGATGAGCTCGAGAACAACCAGAACTCAAGCCAGTCGCTAGAGGGAGAACTTGGAGTACTAGAGCCTGTGTCTGAAGATACAGAGGAACAAAATCCAGGGCGCTCAGTAAGTCTCCCGCGTAAACACAATATGCGCAGCAACTGACATTCACCTACAGCTACACAAATCACATTCTAATCTCACTCTGAAAATAAATGACTCTATGCTTTCACCATCGCCTATCCCTGGGCTGTTCCCAATACCAGAATCAGCGCCAGACTCTTTCGCCGAGCAGTTCAAGTACCTCATCTGTTCGTCCGGTCTGCTGGAGAAGGACTATGTGCTCGGTGTCAGCGGTGGAGTATCGGAGGCTGATGCGGGGTTGGAAAAGTCGGAGCTGTGGATAAAAGCTAGGCAGGTTGTTGAAGTGGCGAAAGAGAGGCTTGATTTGATGGCCGCTGGGGCGTGCTTGGTGGTCGGTTTGACGGTGGTTTTGGGAGTCTGGGTATTCGCAGCGATACTCCTCCTTGGTGGGTTAGCAGCGGTTGGCTATGAGAGATATGGGAATGGGTCAGGTTCAGTAAGTGCCCTTCGCCTCTCATTTCATTGTATCTGACATCCCTGTAGATATCAGCACCTCTGACCTCCTCGCCGTCGTCTACCCCAAAAGCCCAAGCGCTTGCATCTTTGACCACTTTCCTTACCCGATCCCACACCCTCAACAGCACTCTGGCCGCATCGCTAGGCATACTACAGTCCGAGCCCAACTCTCGCACTTCGCATCAAGAGCTCCGCGTGACTCTACATCGTCTGACAGACAACATGACGGATCACATTGCGACAGCGACCTCAAGCTTGCTGGAAATGGCAGACAAAAGCGAATTGGCAGTGCTTGGGGAGATGTACGATATCCCCGTTGTTGGGAGCTTCTTCTACTCCCGAAGGCGAGGACAAGAGATATCGTCGAGCGAGGACGAGTTCCGCGAGCAGTCCGTCCCATCCCCAAGGCGCTATTCATCTCTCCGACCCCTCTCCACCCCTTCCCCGCGGCGCACAGCCATCCCCCAATTCTCCTCCCAATCCTTCCCCCGCCGGCACACAAACAACCTCTCCATCATGTCCCTCCCCGCCGACCCGAACGACCGCTTCACACAGATCCCCGAACGTACCCCGCGCCTTCCCAAGCGCGCGAGCTATGATCGGCTGTCGAGTCGTCGTTCGTGGGGCAGCCAGAGCGCGGCAATGATGTATGAGAGGCGGATATCGGAGGATGGGACGGGAGGGGAGGAGGGGGATGGGAGTTTTGGATCGGGCGAGTCGAGTGAGGAGGGGGATAGGACGATGTTGAGGGCTTTCAAGGGTGGGCGGTCGCCGGATTCGTCGACGTCGCCAGAGATGGAAGGGTTTAGGTCGCCGACGATGCCGGTCACGCCACTGTCCAAACTTCGGCCTGCTGCGTCCCCTTTTCGACATATCCCTTCTCCTCTCTCACGCAAGCCTGCTCATCTCGGAGAAGGTGGCATGAAACCCCTTCGCACAGCGCCACTTGCTACGCAAACCGGCAGCTCATCCCTCCTCCCTTCCCCATTCGAAGCGGACATCTTCCCCACCTCTGCTTCTGCTTCTGCCTCGCCTCGTCCAACGGAGCCCTTCACCCGAGCGTTCCAGGACGAAACCGACCCGGGCAAGAAGAGACGCAGTCTACAGAACATGCCTTATATATCTTCCGACGACGATCGGCCAGGGGCGGATTTGACAAGGACGAGGAGTATGCCGATTTCTGATCTACAGGCTTTGCGAGAGGCGAGGGCGGTTGTAGGGGATAGCTCGAGGAGGTCGTCCCTCAACCCGAGTAACGCGGGTTCAGCGTCGACTGGGCTAGGACTTGGGTTGCCGTCGACCTACCCTCCTGATAGGAGATCGTCTTTGATCTCGGTCCCTTCTCCCCTCACCCGAGCGTCTATACAACGGCATAACTCTGTATCACCCCTCACCACCCCCGCTCTCACTGCTTCAGCCCTTGGTATCCACCTGAAACGACGCCGGATGGCGTGCTGCCTTCTCGGACTCCGCTTTGTCGAGACCGAAGGAAGGTATTGGGAAGAAGTGAGAGATGAGCTGGATGAGTTGGTGAGAAGGATGAATGAAGAGAGGGAGAATGTGCAGGAGGTGTTGAGGAAGGTTATGAAGGAGCTGGCTGTGCGCGAAACGCTGGATGATCTTGTTTTGGGTCAAGCGCAGGGGGCGGCACAGATGGGCCAGTCGCCTGTCGGTTCTTCATTCCCTATCGCCTCGACCTTCCTGGACTCGCAAAGAGATTTCGCCCCTCGGACGAGCAACGAACAGAAGCTCGGGGAGAGTGTGGAAAAGATGATGGAGAGTATGGTCCGCGCTTGGGGAGAACTCGCTTCTATCAAAAAAGACATAAGCGAGCAAGACGGGGAAGGGCAAAAGATGGAGAGATGGTTGAAAGTCAGGGAGAGATTGGGCGATGCTGTGCGTGAGTGGGAACGGGGCAAAGAGGTCATCTCGGACATGTCTCAGAAGAGCAAGGATGGGGAGGAGGACGATCTGCGAGAAGCCGACCACCCTGCCGACCTGCCCGAATTCACTCGCTCGTGGGATACGTCTCAGACCTCTCGGAGCGTTTCGCTAGAGACGGACAGACAGTCGTTCAATGACAAAGTCCGGCTTGCCGAGTATCCTTCCAACTCACCCTCCCCAGATGGGCTTGAACCTCTTCTGGAAGACCTTCCTCCTGCGGGGATTGATACCGTTTTTGAAGATATCTCGGCGCCGGCACTGTCAAAATCCAAGGCTTTGCTCAATACCATGTCGAGGGAAGAACGGATAGCGCTGGTCAAGCAAGCTCGGGAACGAGGGGTGAAGGTTGAAGATCTACTGGGAGTTGGGCACGGACAAGGAGAGAAGGTAGGGGAGGATGTGAGGATGAGGGGTGGGGAGATTGTGAATGAGCTGGAAGGGGTGATTGATGCGATACGGCGGATGAAACAACCAGCCACCGATCGGTCAACCGAGAGGGAGGGAGAGAAGGAGGTTGAGGAAATCTCACGGTCGTCTGCGCGTGCCCCTTCTCGCCCTCTTCCTCCTCCTCCGCAATCTACCCCGTCATCCCCTTCTCATCCTTCCAACCCCTCTCTACCTTCTTCACACTCGCATCTCGAATTCGATCTAGCCGAGCTTAGGAAGAGCTTCAGGGCACCAATGCTCGAGGCGAAGGTGGGGCGCGAGGATCATGTGTTGGGTTAATCTTCTGGGTCTATCTGGACAATCATCTGTTCTGTGGTGTTCTCACGTTGCATTATTCTGTATGCGGGTGGATTTGCATATAGTGTCTAGGGACGATTAGTTGACGTACTGCTATGAATAAACGTTATCACGAGGCGATGCGCAAATCATCTATGTTCACATGCTGTCCCTTTTGACTAGCTGCGCCAGGAGTCCTTTCAGCACTGGAGAACATGCACATCTTCCGCCTTGAAAGGGACTGTTGAAGTAGGCTTCTTCCTTCACATGACATAGCTCGACAAAAATACGACATGGCTTCAGTCTTCTGTCATATTTCTCACTAGGTCTTCAACCACGAAAAGGCAAATTGGTGAATATAGATCTCTCTCTCAATCGCGCAATATAGTTCAGAGAGCAAGCATCTCAATGTCAACATACAAAACGAGCCCTCAACAGCAAAACCCTTCCAACAAAAGCTATCAAGTCAAAAGCACCACGCCTGGCAACACCTTCACCGGAAGCCAAAGCTTGGGACCCGGGACCTTTTATAGACGGTATCTGATCTCTGTGGACGGTCGAGGCAGCTTTGATCTATTCTCTGCTCAAGAACAAGTAGACCCTGAGACTTATCCGAAAGTATCAGCGGCGTAAGTCACGCATCCTTCACACAAACATTATTATGGGTATCGGACTTATGCTTTCTTCTACCGCAGACGGCTCGACCGAGCGCTCAGCGATGTATCCGTCTCTGTCCTCGCAGAGTATCGAGCCAACCCGAAGGAGGGACGATGGGATTGCACTTATTTCGGCGACGACGATGAGGATTACCCAAGAGGCGGTGGTAGGACATGCTTATGCTCGTCGCCTTCTGACCCGAATGCCAGTGTACCTGACGAGCTGTAAGTAGCCAGCTCATCATTTTTCAGTAAAGAGTGAGCTGATCAGCTCGAGCCAGTGTTCCCACTATTGCAGAGTATCTAGATCACGCGAGGACGGCAGATAGTAAGGCGGAAGGGGGAGGGGAGAATATCGAGAAACAACACACTGGCCGGTTATACAGCTGGCTCAGCGGATTTCGTTCAGGCAGGGGAAAGCCGTCCAAGAATTGAAATAGAGCTCATCCGTCGTAACCCAAAATTATTTTTCGTGCATACATTCTTAACGTAGAGACTGTTAGACCATTTGGTGCTTGCTGGGTACTCTTCAAGAGGATAGCACAGCCTCTAACCCTTCGCCTTGCCACTCTAGAAAGCTCTCCTTTTTCTAACAGTCCCAATCCCAATCCCCATCCCCTGCACTACACCACCCCAAACCAGTCCTTTCCTTTCGCCACTGGTATCCTTCGTCCTCAATGGAAGGCTGGGATCGACAAAGGATGTGCGCACTACTTGGAGTTAGGGGCAGGAGGGTGGTGGCAGATTGAGAGGAGATGAAGCTTGTCGTTATCATTTCTTTGTCATTTGCATCTCCCGCCCGCCCGTGATCTTATCCTAATCAGCAGGACTGCAGTCATCCTCCTCTCCGACCATCGAGACCCTGGCCACCCTTGCCACCCTCGTCCTTATCAGTTTCATTGTTCACTCTTTCACGCGCGTTTGTCTACTATATCTTCTTCAACCACTAATCTTACCTCGCCACCATGCCCTCCAGCCGCTCCAATACCAGAACCAAAACCAAACCTCGCCCCCTCTCCTCTCTCACCCGCTCAACCCCACTCCTCCTCCTCCTCGTTCTCGCCAAAAGAGCCACAGGACAGTACATCCCACCGCAGGCGGCTGGGCTGCGCCGGGCGGCGGGGTTTGGGAGGGATGATAGTGGGGAGAGGTGGGTGGAGGGCATGGGTAGAGACCTAGAGGAAAGAGACGACGGCGGTGATGATGTGAGTTGCTCCTTTCCCAGTTACAAAAAGAAAAAAAGAAAGGCCAATCTGACTTTTTTTTCGTTCGTAGACACAGTCGTCAACCTCCCGATCCCTCTACCTCGTATCCTCCTCCGACTTCTGCCTCTTCGGCCCCCCCTCCACCTCCTCCAAAATATCGGAAACAGGGGGTAACGTTGTTTCGTGGTGTACGAGGGAGCAACATGGGAATCGATTGATACCTGATGGGACGTTGAGGGGGGTTACTTATGTGAAGGCGCCGGGGTGGGTACAGGTTAGTGGGACGTGAGTCGACTTTCTTTTCAACTTTTTTGTTTTTGGATGAGAAGAAGAGGAGAGCAGAGGAGGGAGAAGATGAATGCTGACGAGGTTCGTTGGGTGTAGGGGCGATTTCACGCAGATCAATATAGCAGAAGGCGATTATGGAGGACAGTTTGATAGCGGGGACAACACCCCGGACGGTGCTGTGTTGTATACGACAGACGACAATCAAGCCGCCGATTCTTGGATCGTAAGCATCCTCTCCTTTTCCCCTTTCTCCCTGTCCCCCTCTCTTCTCTCCCTCTCCCCCTCACCCCTGCCTTTAAACACAGTACTGACTCCACCCGCGCACAGACGATGATATCAGCCGACACATTCTGCCTCCGCGCCTGTTCCGACCCCACCTACTGCCCCCTAGGCTACGACGAGATGGGCTGTTACTTTTACACCTCCAATGGCGTAGGGTGGGATGGGGTGTATCAGGATTGTGCGGGGGATGATGGGGATCCGCCTGGGGTTGTTGATGGGGTGACTTATACACAGGTAGGCCCTTTTTTCTTTTCTTTTGTGTGATGAAGAAGGAGGAGGAGGAGGGAGGGTGGGAAGAAGAAGAAGAAGAAGAAGAAGAAGACGAAGGGCTGATGGGATTCTAGGGTAATGATCCAACTCCAACACCATCGACGCCGGCGGTAAGTAATTGCAACCCCGGATCGTCTGTGGCGAACGGGCAATCTGCCACCGCTGCTGCTGCTGCTGCGTCTTCCGATTCGTCCGAATCTGGATCTTCTAGCGACTCTTCCGGAGACGCCAGCGAAAGCGGAGGGGGTTCGACGAGCTGGGTCCCAGTCCAGACGTGTGTGCCTTGTACGGATACGGCGAGTGCTAGTGGGAGTGAAGAGACGGGCTCTGGAGGCGCGTCGTCCGCCGCCGGAGGAGCAAGTTCTGGGGCAGAGTCTGGGGAGAGTAGTGCTGCAAGCTCTTCAGCGAAGAGTGGTTCCAGCGCATCAGGGTCGTCTGGGTCGTCTGCAGCAGGCTCCGCTTCAGGCTCCGGATCGGAGGCAGGCGGCGAGAACGGAGGTACCCAGCAAGTCGGTATCACCCAACTTTCCGGCGGGAGCGTCGCTGCCGTGCAGATATCCGCTGCAAGCTCTGTCAACGCTTCCACCTACAGCGGCTCCCTCCCATCTCCATCCAATAGTGCATCAGAATCAAGTGGGTCGAGTGGAGGAAGCAGTACCATCACCTCAGCACCAGCTTCCACCGGCACCTCAGCCGCTGGAGGCGAGAATGGTGGGGACGCGCTGGGGGCTAGGGGGTGGCTTGTCAAGAAGGATGAGGAGACGACGACGAGTGATGGAAAGTGCTGCTTTACGACGTGGACGCCGTCTGTCGTCGGCGGGGCGCAAGAAACCGGCGCCGCGTCGAGCGGGGGCGGCAGCTCTTCTTCAAAAGGAAATTCGTCAGGCTCAGGCTCGGTGGTGCTTTCGGGTGCCAAGACTGCTGGATCGTCGTCAACTGGGGTCAAGGATGTCTCTGAAAGCAGTACGTCCGGATCTGTTAGGGCTAGTGGTACGCTTGGGTCGGAGAGCAGCACGGCCAGTGGGAATACGAGTGGGAATGGTACGAATGACACGAGCGGTGCTTTGCGGCTCGAGATCACGGGTATCGGGAGTGGCATGGGCATGCTGCTATGGACGGCTGGGGTGGTGGTGATGGGGACAGTAGTAGGGGGCTCGATGGTACTGTAATGATAATATAGTGTGATGTACATATGGGTCAACAGTAACGTAAGCAAAGGCAGTCGCGTCGGGGTTACGGGGTTACAGGCGTGGCGCGCTAAGCGATTGTTATGATGCGGTGTCCCTGCCCACAGTCTGCTTTCTCTTTCTTCTCTTTCTTCTGCTTCTTCTGTTTCTCAAATAATACTCCCTCCAAGACCCCCCCCTTACCCCTCCGACCTCGCTCTGCACACCGCCACCACCTCCAAACCGCGCCTCCTTTCATCCCCGCATACAACACCCGCTTTCTCTTACCGTCCTCCCCGCGTTCCCCTCCCCGATCTCACCACTACGACAATGCTCTCATCATTAGTCGCCATCCCGCTCGCCCTCCTGTCCATAACAGGCGTCAGCGCGCAGGGCGATCTGAGTGTGGCCAACAATGTGACGGATCTTGAAGGGACATGGAGTAGTAACTCTGCGGTGTCTACTGGTGGGGTGAGTAGTGTTTTTTTCATGCGTCGTAAAATTTCCCAGTGGATAGATGGGGGTGAGGGAGGGTATGGGTGGTCGGTGGGGTGGAATGGGGGTGGTGTTGTCGGGTGGCGTCGTTGAGACTTCCCGGTGGCGCGTGCCAAAAATTGAAGCATTGCCGCCGCGCGTTGTTGATAGGATGTACCACGCGGTAAGACCCAGCGCTGACGATGCCCAGAACGTTGTCATCCCCTCAGAGATGACCTTCAACTACCCCAACAACAGCGGTATCTCTTACTCCTTGTACGTCTTATCGCCCCCCAAAACCCGAACGGGACTGACCCTGCCCCCTAGCACCAACGATGGCTACTTTGAAGAACTCGTATACCAATACAACTCCAACTCGTCCAACCCCGCCTGTATCCAAGCCTACATCTACTGGCAACACGGTACATACGAACTCAACAACAACGGGTCTATGACCCTCTACCCCTTCTCTTCAGACGGCCGTATCCAGGTGCAAGACCCTTGTGCTGCTACCACCAACATCATCACGTATTACAGCAACCAGGTCATGTTTACCGATTGGGGAATCACTGTGGACCCTAGCAATGGGCGATACGTTTTGCAGATGAATGCTTTCGACCAGGCCAAGATAGCTCGTGTATGTCCCCCTCTTCTTCTCCTATGTTGTGTCCAAGCTGATGACTTTTGGTAAGATGTACCTCATCGCCAAACCCCCCAACATGCTCCCCACCCAATACATTACCGGTACCAACGCTACCGGCCAGACCAACTCGCGAAAGCGAGACCTCACCGCCCCCGTCCGAGACTTCTTCAAGCGCTCCGCTGCTGAGCCGAGGATGGTGCTCGGGAACGGGCAGATCCTGGGTATGGTCGGTGCGGTGGGGACGGTTGTTGTTGGTATGATGGCGTTGTTCTAGAGTAGATAAGCGCGGAATGGACTATGGGAGGAGTTTAGAGATGGGAAAGGGCGGGGGCTTGGGGTGAGGAGCGAAGATTCGCGTGACTGCGGTTATACCCTTTTTTTGACCTTTTTTAGAATTTCAATTCCTGTGGCTATACTCCCTTTCGACTCTTTTTCTTTTTGATGTACGAGTACTACACCCGCCTTCTCGTATACTCGTAAGGACGCGTCTGTGGGCGCCTCTTTTGCTTCATCTCCTCTAGCGTCAGATTGGCTCGTTCTATTCTTTCTCCTATTTTCTTTTCTCAACGGACAGTTCTTCGGACCACATTCATCTTTTGTTTCAATGAGTATACCCCCAACGATCTTATGCATGTTTGACTTTACGACCCCAAATCAGCCTCGACGTGATTCGTACCCATAACAACTCTTGCATGCCCACTACCTTCTCTTCTTCTCTTGCAATCCTTAATCAAGAAACCTCCCATCAACCCAATTAACCCTCCCAACCCCAACCCCCGTCCCACTAGCACACCACCCCGCCTGCCCCAGCCCCCCCGCACAATTCCACCTAACAGCCCCTACACCCACACTCGCATCCCACGCCGGATGCTTGACGTTGTAAGCGGGCTCGCCTTCGCCTTTGGGGGCTTTGCCGGTGAGGTTGGCGAGAGGGGTGGAGGCGGGGAGGTGGTCGTCGGTTAGGCGGTAGGCATTTAGGAGGGGGGAGTGGGAGAGGGTGTAGATTGTGTGGGATTCCAATTGCTACATCACATACAAATCAGATCTGAACTTTGGGAAGAGAAGGAAGGGGAAAGGGGGGAGGGAGAAGACTTACACGACCGCCTTTAACAACACGCCTGAGGGGATCAAACTGGTTCGTCATCATGACAGACCCATCTGCCGAACCCGACATGACCATCGGATGGAATACCGACGCTGACAAACTCTACATCACCCCCATCGCCCCGTTAGCTTTCAGACCCCTTGCTTTGCCTGAAGCAGGTGTGTCGGTGGAGGGGGACGTACCAGAACAGTGCCCTTGTGCCCACCAAGGACGGTACCGCGACCTTTATTCATCAACCGCGATTTCGTACCGAGCGTGGTGATCTCGACGTTGTAGTCGAGGTTGCCCATCATGGGGCCGGGGAGGAAGGTGGACCAGCCGGTACACATTATCGGTACTGCACTCACGTCAGATCCCATCCGCTTCTTTTTGAAAACAGTAGAGGCAGAAATGGAGGTAAACAAGAAGGGACGCACGATTCTGCCGCCGAACAAGCATACCCAACCCCCCATCCCGGGTATCCAAAAGCACGAAACTCCCATCCCACCCGCCTACCGACATCATCGTAGCTGGTGAACCTAGCTGGGTGGGGTGGGGAGGGTGGCGGGAGGCGGTAAGGGAGGAGAGGGCGGAGGAGGATACGGAGGTGTAGAGGATTGGGAGGGGAGGGTTGGGGTTGGGGTTGGGGGAGGCGACGAGAGGGAGAATGTCGTATACTGCTACACTTCCTACCACCTCTTATCAGCCCGAGTTGAGAGAAGAGAAGAGGGGCGAGGGACGTACCGTTATCCAAGCCAGCACCGATCGTGGAACCGGATAACCAATCGAAACAGGTAAACATGGCGTCTTCTAGCTGAAGCTTATATAATGGTTTGTCGAGTTCCACTAGCACAAGAATCAGTCATCTTGTCCATCTCGTCCACACGCTCAAATAGAGAACAGACTTACGGTAAAGAGGTTCCCCGGATTCCCCCAGCGCAAGAGCTCTAGGATGAGGTACAGCATAAAACGAGATACTCCCATCCACCTGCACCGCTCCCAATACACCCAACTTTGGTAACACTTCACCGTATCCACCTTGAGCGACGGTCTCTGGGTCGTACTATGTCTATCGTCAGTGACAAAGTCCAAGGAGGAAAGAAGAAGGGAAAAGATAAAAACGTACATCGTCCCAAGCACCTATAGGCATCCACTTGATATCCAACGCGCTACCACCTCGAATACAAAGTGTGAGCACGCATTTTAGGGACCCGTCCATCTCTCCTTTTGACCCTTGTCCAGAACTACCTCCTTCTTTCATGGTGGTATCCTCGTCACCATCTTGTCCTTGTCCCGAAAAGACATCAAGAGGGTCGGAATCAGCAGGGGTATGATGACTAGGAGGCACCAAAGCCCAGATCTGGATCGACCCTCGACTGTCTGGTGGGGCACGCTCGTACATCCTCGGACTGTTGTTGACATGGGGTAGGGTGGATATCGCGAGGTATTGGGTGTTTTTGAAATCTATTTTTACAAAACGGGTAAAACGTCAGCCCGTATCTGGAGGTAAGACCGAGTGGGTGGATGGATGGGAAGGAACGGAGAGGGAAGGCGAGAGAAGGAAAGACAAGGGAGAAGAAGGAGTTGAGTTGAGAACTTACGAGCAGCTTTGGAAGCAGGCATAGGACACCAATCGATACTCGTCACAGGCCCGCCGGCGTAGAATGTAAATGCTGGTTGGGGCACTATCGGGTTGGTTTCCACTGCGTATTGTGTTAGCTTTCATCCTCGATATCCTCGATCTCTTCGGGAGAAGAAGGCCCGGAGGAGATATGAGAGAGAGGGAACTCACCGATGGGAAGGACGTCGAAAGCTTTCATCTCTACAATTGATTGTGTCGTACGCGGGCCGACGTGGATGGTGATAGATGGTTCATCGGGGGAGGGGAGGTATGCTTTTGCTTGTCTACACCCATCATCAGCTTTCACACTGATAAAGCGGTTGGAGAGACCTACTCGGAGTTGAGGAAGGTCAAGTCTTCTTTCTTCTTTCTACCAACGTTCTGGAGGCCAAGGGTGACATCATCAAAAGCCAACCAGTCCCCCTCCTTCCCCTTCCCATTCTTCCCGCCAGAACCCACAACAAACATCTCAGGCCACCAAACATCCCCACGCCACATCTCCCACGGCACCCCCAATGCCAACCTCCCCGCCTCTTTATTAAACCTCGCTCTCTGCTGCTTCTCCGTCCCTCCCTCTCCGTCTCTCTGACCGACCACCCGGCCCACGGGGGGGTTCGGGAGACTGCCAAATTTGGGATCGGTTTCTAAGAAGGTAGAGTATGGGAGTGGGTGGGGGAAGGGGAGAGCGCCGAGTTTACTGTAATTGCCTTTGGGTTTACTTTGCCCTTTCGCAGAGTCGTCCGCGGCGGCGTCTTGGGGTTTACGCGCCAGTAGCTCGGACATCAAGGATATTTCTTTGATATAAGCTGCCGGTACGCCAGCGAGGATCTCGGTATTGCTGCTATTGGATTCTCCCATGGAAAGAGTCTGGGGGAGGGTGATGACGCCTTTACCGCCGTTGGCTTTTGTCGACCTGCTCTTGGGCCCCTTGGCAGTACTTTCTCTTGCGCGTTTATTGCCTTTTGCAGGGGCGGATGGGGGGAGGAGAGAACCAATTGAGCGGAGGGGGGGTTCACTTGGATCTCTTGCGAACCCGTCCTCCGACCCTTCTCCGTCTCCAGAGCCAGATGCGGATGCAGAGCTGGGGTCGCTTTCCTCTTTGACGGCTTCGGCATCACTCATGTCGGGTTCGAACGCACTCCCGTCGCCAGAATCCATACTCTCGTCACTATCCACCTTCGCCTTCCCCTTGCCTTTCCCCTTTCCCTTTCCATTGGCCTTGGCCTTACCGCGGGCTTGGGATTCGGGCCGGGCACTAGGCCCAGCGCTGTCGTCAGAGTCTTCGTCTTCGTCGTCGGAGAAGGCAGGTGGGGGGGCGTATACGGCTTTGGTGGATGCTCTTCGGCGGGGAGGCATGTTGAGTGATGGATGGATGAGAAAGTGAATTGAAAGAGAGACAAACAATGACAAGGATGGGATGCGCGAAAGTGGAGGTTGTGAGTTATTTGGTCCCGCTGCAGGAAAGACATCTGGAGGCATGTTGAACGACCGTTCGTCCAGGATTGGCCCGATGTCTGATTGATACAGGCAATTGGGATGGACTACCCAGTGATATGCAGATGGAGTCCTAGGGGATTCTTAGTGTAGGATCGTAGCAGGTCTCATCGAGGAAACCCCCGAGAGACCTCTGCGCGCCGACTGAACGAACCTGCGTGCGTCGCCCTCGCCGCCACATTCGAGCATACATCTCTAACAGTCTGTTCTAACGTATAACCCCTGCCATGCATACCCTCTACACGTATCCCCCATGCATCCAACGAGATACGTCTGCTGCACTGGCCATAGACCGAGGATGTCATTACGTAATGCACTCACCGGCTATTGACACTTTCGACGAACCGCATGTTCTCTTGCTTCTCTGACGTTTCACAATCTGCTATACAAATCTGGGACATCCTGCGCTGGCAAACGATGCCTGGTCCTCGCTCGAATAGACCCCTCCATGCCCAAGTCGAACCCCTCCTCATCGCCCAATCACCCGCCGGCCCATTCAGACACCACATCGCCCAGGCGAGCCTTCCTCTCTGGGAATTACTACAAAGCGCTTCTCCCAAGTCAAAAAGAGGGGATGAACAGATAGCAGTCTCTATAGATTGGCCTCAGGACGGAAGGCTAGGGAAGGGGAAGACGAGGAACTTGGTAGTTTGGGTGGAGGGTGGTAACGACGTATGTCCCTTGCAGCCGGATGGATACTGAGCTCACTATGATACAGGCTGATGAGAAGAGGACGTTGTTGATACATCCTTCACTGTTACCGCCAGTATGCCCAAGTCCACTGCCAGTGACGCTCCATATCCATCAGCCGGTCCCTCTAAACTTGGCTATCCTCCAGCCAGTGTACGCTTCTCCTGAAGATACGCCGTCGACGATACCGTCAGAAGATGACTTTTCGGCATTGTATCTGGAAGATTCTGGCTACCCCATAATACGGCAAAACGACATCATATCACTACATACTTCAAACAGACGGTATCGTCTCCTCCTCCTCGAACCCGTCCAACAAGGCCACATCACCCCGGAAACCAACATCATCCTCTCCTCCACCCCTTTCTACGATCACCCTTCTTTCCTAGATGATGAATTTGAAGGGGGAGAAGGCATGAGTGAGAGCAGTTTCAACAGAACACATATCTCGTTGGCCAACTTTGACCCTGACGCCTTCCTGTCGGGTTCTTTGTCCCTCTCGCTTCCGAGGGAAGATCTGCCTGATGGCGATTCTTTCCCCTCATCTGATATAGAATCAGAAGAGGATCGCTTGACGATTTCTTCCACCACATCCGGCTCTATCACCCCCCGGCCCAACTATCTCAACGCTTTGACGCGTCAATCAACACCGCCCGCGCCGGTGGATCAAGTCCTCGGGCGTCAATTAGACAGCCTTGGGGGGGATGATGATGAAGCTGAAGAAAGGGGGGTGAGGTTTGATGCTGTTTGGGCGGGAGGCAAGGGTGTCGAAATTGGAGAAGGGGAAGGGAGTGGGAGTGGGGAAGATGTTTGTTGGCTCGGTGTGGGCGGGCTGGGAAGAGCAGGGATATTTGAAGGTGATTGGGTATGTTCCTCTTTCTCTTTTTCTCTTTCTCTCTATCTTTTACCTGAGTGGGGTAAGGCTGACGATTGGGTAGGTGGTCATAAAACCCGTAGGAGAAGGACAAGGGAATAGTAGGCTTGTGAAAGCGTTAGCTTGGGAGAGGTTGGATCAGGTCATACCTGATGATGGATTGTACGTCTCCTCCGTCATTATCTCCTCCTTTGACGATGATGTTGATGATGATGGGGATGATGATTATTTACTGACCAAGAACAGACCTGCAAATCCTATTTTACTCCCACCATTACTCTACCGATCCCTCCTCCCCTCACTCCCTTCCTCCAGTTACAGCTCCAGCGCCTCTTCCTCCCCGTCCTCAACCTCCAAACAGCTCATAGTCCTCCCAACACCCTTCGCAGCCCGCACCCCAACCCTGCCAATTGCCAAGAGTATAACGATAGCGAGGATAGCTACGGCGGAGGGGGTTGATAAGCGGTATGAACGGTCTTGGCTGGATGGGCAGGGGGACGTTTTTGGGGTCCGGGCCAATGGAAGGGGTTGGGAGGGAGAGCGGAAAGGAGAGGAAGGGAACAAGGAGGGGAAGGAAGAGGGGATGAGGGTGGTTAGGAGAGGAGATATCCTCGCCGTACCTGGGTGGATCGGCAAACCCCTAACGGAAGAAGAACGTCAATCATACCCCCTCCTCCTCCCTCCATCTTCTTCCAACCCGTACCAAACCCACCAAAAACCCAGACCATCCACTCTCATCTACTTTATAATAACATCCATAGCCTACGACCCCCTCGTGCCCATCGAAGAAGATTTCCGCTCGTCGGTGGTTTCAAAAGCGAGAGCGGGGGAGCTTGGGTGTTGGGCCGGAGGAGAAGGAGAGGGGAGGGTGGTTTGGAGTGGGTTGGACAGGGCCACAGTTGGGGGGAGGGGCAGGGATGGGGGGTGGTTTGGGATGCGTATGTGCTTTATTGACTCTTTGGTCCATGTGGATATAGAGTGGACAGGAGCTGATGGGAAGAGTAGCGCCGAGTCCACCACCGTTTTCCAAACAGGCACTTTTGAAGTTGAACGACCTGCTCAGCTCGACTGTTGCTCATCCGGCCCTCGTTTATGGTATACAACTATCCATCCTCATCAAAGGCGCAAGAGGCGCCGGAAAACGGAGTCTCATAAGACATACCGCCGATACACTGGGTTTCAACGTTGTCGATGTAAGTCCTCTCTTTGTTTGTGGTAGAATCAAACAAGCTGATATGGGGGTAAGGTGGAATGTTATGATATAGTGGGAGATACCCCGGCGGTTACGGCTGGGACGCTGCAAGCCCGGCTTTCGAAAGCGCAATCCTGCGCACCGTCGATTCTCGTGCTTCATCATATTGAAGCGTTGGCTTCCAAGTCGGAATCGCCCCTCGGCAGACCGCCGCCGGTAGTCAAAATCATTCAAGATCTTCTCGCCGATGCCAAAAGCCCGCCGGGCATTTCAAGCGGAGAAGAAACATGGCCCGTAGTCGTCATGGCCACCACCTCCGACCCCGACAACGTCCCCTCCGCCCTCCTCGCTTGCTTCAAACAAGATCTCTCCCTCCTTTCCCCGTCCGAATCGGAACGGCGAGATATCATCGAATTTGCTCTAAGGCAGTATGATGTTGCAAGGGATGTGGATGTGAAGAGTTTGGCGAGGCAGACGGCAGCGCTGAATGCGGGGGATATCGAGTCTCTCGTACTCTGCGCTTGGGATTATGCTCTCAAGCGCGCTTCGAGCACCAACTCGCTTCCGCGCGCGCTCCAAGCCGGGGTATCCCTCACAGCGGCCGATATCACAAAAGCAATCGATACGGCGAGGATGGCATACTCGGATAGCATCGGCGCGCCAAAGATCCCGAATGTGTCGTGGTCGGATGTGGGCGGGCTTGCGGATGTCAAGCAGGATATTTTGGATACGATTCAACTCCCTCTCGACCGGCCTGACTTGTTCGCATCAGGGCTAAAGAAGCGCTCGGGTATTCTTCTGTATGGACCGCCTGGGACAGGCAAGACGCTGTTGGCGAAGGCTGTCGCCACATCCTGCTCGCTCAACTTTTTTTCTGTCAAAGGTCCAGAGCTCTTGAACATGTACATTGGCGAGTCGGAAGCCAACGTACGACGAGTATTCGAAAGAGCGAGGGAAGCGAAACCTTGTGTGATCTTTATGGATGAGCTGGACTCGCTAGCGCCGAAGAGGGGGCAGCAGGGCGATTCGGGTGGAGTTATGGATCGGATTGTGAGCCAGCTGCTTGCAGAGCTCGATGGCATGTCGGGTGGGAAAGACGGAGGGGAAGGAGTGTTTGTCATGGGCGCTACGAATAGGCCGGACTTGCTTGACCCGGCATTGCTAAGGCCTGGACGGTTTGACAAGATGCTCTACCTTTCCATGCCGACAACGCACACCGCACAAGCCGACATACTCAAGGCTCTGACGAGGAAGTTCAGGTTGGATGAAGGGTTGGATTTGAAAGAGGTGGCAGAAGGGTGTGGGCTGAATTATACGGGGGCAGACTTGTACGCCCTCTGTGCCGACGCCATGCTCAATGCGATGACCCGGCAAGCCACCGCTATCGACACCACCATCGCCCGCCTCACTTCCCTTGCCCATTCATCGCCATCCTCCAAAACATGGCCCGGCTTCGTCCTCACCCCGCAATACTACCTTGCCAAGATGGCAAAGGAGGAAGAGATTCAAGTCGTCGTGAAAACGGAAGACTTCTTGGAGGCGAGAGGAAAGTTGGTGGGAAGTGTGAGCGAAGAAGAGCTGGGGCATTATGAGAGGGTGAGGAAGGAGTTTCAGGGATATGATATTGGGGGGAAGAAAGGTGGCGGGGAGCACGATACGGTGGACGTTGGGAGGAAGGGGAAGGTAGGGCGGAGTCGATAGAGGAGGCAACATTAGCATATCACTTGTATGAGTTATATCCTGTTGAAAGGTTGAATCACAACATATCCTCTATGCTGGTGTATCTTTCAATCAGGACCAGTCGCAGTATGATCATGACCTTTAATCGAAGGTTGAATCACAACATATCCTCTATGCTGGTGTATCTTTCAATCAGGACTAGTCGCAGTATGATCGTGACCTTTAATCGCCGGCCAAACGCCCGTCATACCCCCGAGTCCCGACAGTCGTGTGCTTAAGGAACAACCAGCATACAATAGCCGTCAGCTTCAGAGGCGCGACGCCCGATGCATAGTGCAACAGGCGAGTATTGTGCAAGCACGCGCGGAGGTAGCCCTATTGGTATGCATTGCGCTGCAGGGGCTCAAAAGATCGGTATGATGGCGAGAGAATTGGCATTGAGAAGATGGCAAAAATTAGCAGAAAAGAGAGATGTCTGATACTCGATCTAGCTCCATTCATGATTCATGCCAGCGGCTCAGCAACCACTGGCTTCTTGCTGCCAGGGGAAGCTTTCACACTCATACAGGGGAAATTTCTCCCACAGCACAAAGTGCGCTAGCCGCATGATGCTATACCCCTCATGTGACTACGAGCTCTTCTGTTTCACGAGGATTCAAAGCCGTCAACGTACATCTCTCATATCGACGAGGCTAGACACCCTCATAGAGCTCCCTGCAGCAGTACATCATCAATCGCTGAACAATGAAGCCAGACACCAGCACTGAAGCCAGTTCGAAACCAGAGTCTACTGGCACCGCAACGCAAACGTCTTTCTCAAACCCACCCGGTGCCACCACCAATGATCGGTCTCGTATGGCCCCTTTCTGGAGCCAGTACCGTCTGCAGATCCCTGGCCAGCCTGAAGAGATTCAATTTCTACCCAGTGACAGATTGGACGTGGCCGAGACGGTCAGGGATATCTCACGGTAAGTGTTGGGGCGGTTGTGCTTTGCGGTTCAGTAACTCATAAGCTCTTCTTGTCCTCCTCGTCGTGCTGCTGGTAAAAGTATTCGAAATATGTCGCCCTCCCAGTTCAAATTGACTCTCTTGTCAACGTATAAGGCTGATCCAAAGAATGGTGGCTGGAATGCCTCATATTTTGTTGATCAGAAAGAGCAAGGGTTCACCAGGCTTTGTGTATCAGACTGTACAAGCCGAGGTGAATATTGCACAGGGGAGCGAGTGCCCACAGAACTGTAGATCCACCCTCCTTCTTCCTGCAAAGCAGTTGAACTCATCATGACATAACAGGGCTCCTTATGTTGTGAGGGAGCTGGCTTTCAACTTAGACATAGACCTCTCAGAGGAATATCTTGTGGGAAAGGACCTGGCTTCTATCACATACCAGCTTGCGAGCCAAGCGACCGCGGACAGTGCGTCCAGCAATCCTTCATCGTCTAAAGACGAGTGACCTGGCAGTGTCAAACGAGGAAGCTTTGATTAGTGATGCATCAATTATTACGTTCCAAGAGGTCTCTCCCCGGGCCATGTGAACAAAGAGAATAAGCCTTCCACGCACACCGGCCGCAAAACCTGACATACACGCGGCAGCCTCAAGATCTCGTTGTCTTCTTTCTTCCAAATGGATACCTTCACAGGCCATGCTCCTTTCATTCCTCCATTGATACGTGCGATACATGCCATGTACAGAGACTGAGACAAACAGCCTTGTCCTTTATCTGCGTCGTGTTGCTGCGCAGTGTGTTCTCAGCTGTTTTCTCAGCGAGCTGTTGTGTTGACTCTTTCCCACACCCGGCATTAGATACGTGGATCATTGGTGTTGATACAAAAACCCACCGTGATTATCTCAGCACTCTTATTTCTTCTCACCCGAACACCATAACAACAAGAAGAACAATCATCATCATGTCAAACCCAGATGATACAGAGTTCTACACGTTCCCGGCTGATGACACTTTCTCGCTACCGGACCTATATCCTCTCAGCACAACATGGAAAGGATATGAGATTGAGGCTCCTGGAACTCGCCTCCACAAAATGACATACTTTATACCCCATGAAGTTGAATCCGGGCCCCAAAACGTAGAGCTAGAGTTATCTCTGTGAGTGATGATGAGGACCGACCTCAGGTACAAATTATGACATTGGCAGGTGACTGACGTTGGTGGCGGCTCTGTGATATAGACAAGTGAACGTGCCAATCTCTCAAGTCAAAGCCACTCTGGTTTCGCAATACAGCAAGGAAGATGATACTTGGAACAGTCAATATTTCGGAAACGCACAAGCTAGAGGGTCCACTACTATCTACACGGGCTACGCACGCACAAATCCAAACGAAGAGGTAACTACCACTAGTATGGAAGTCCCATTGGAGCTGTGAGTCCAATTCTCATGATAGAGTCACTTGGCTTTTGCGAAGGGGCAATCTAACAATATCATACTAGTGCTCCGTCCATCCTGGAGGAAATGTCATTCTTTGTCAATGTCAAGATACCGCCCGTTTTGCAGGGACGAGTACAGGATCTGACTGCAGTCTCGCAAGACATTGTGAGAGCTCAATTCACCAAAGGTGCAGCCGAAAAGACATGGAATACAATGACATCTTCGGCCTCGCGATGAGACTGCCTTTGATCTTCCAGCAAGTCTGCGTGGCTATTGAGAGAGCAGTGCATACAAATCATGAATGAAGTTTGAGCCACCGGAATGTGTAAATGCCTCTTGTCCTTGAAGTCTAGCGTCAATCTACCTGACGCACGAAAATTTGGTACAGTACTGGTACTGTACGTGGCGGCTTCTTATATGACAATGATTATCGCTATTTCCCACGAGACACATCGTCATCGTGTCTTCTTCTCACCAGCCGTTTCCGGACGAGTACTGTTCACATCTGTCACAAGCGACAAACCTGTCACCATGATTTGCTCCGGCACCAATAACCCGCTTCGGCGACACCACGATGTCGCTTCTCATTGACTTTAGGCAAGGGAGGACAGCTGACAATGATCCTTTGAATTGTATTCGCGTAAATGCATAGACATATCGATCGAATGCTAGAGACATTGTACTCATTATATTGCAAATACTTCCAGACATATCACGAGGTCATGATATACACACTCATATCTTCACTGGCTGACGCTGCATTATTCAGAACAAGACAGACTCAATGCTACCGCCGTTCACATTCGACCTTGTCTGGACCCAAATTGGAGGATGTTCGCATCCCTTGCACATCAGCCCCCTTTGGTATACGATGGGGAACCGTTACATTGAGGGTGATTCGGGGGACTTTCCTTTGATGACAGTTTCCCATCGTTCTCATCATCAACAACAATAAGACTATCCTTCGTCATTCATACAAGTATCGAGCGTCAAATGGCTGCATTTATCTCTTTACTCAGCACATCATCACAGCAAGACCTTCTTATACACCATGTCCAATCCAAATGACTTAACGATCTACGCTCTCCCGGCTGATGATACATTCTCGATCCCGGACATGTATCCGCTGAGCACTACTTGGAAACAATATAAGATAGAAGCTCCCGGCACGACGCTACACAATCAGCCTTACTTCATACCAGGTGAAGAGAACTCTGAAGCTCAAGACGTGAGGCAAATGGTCTCTGCGTGAGTCTCGGGGATCTCTGTCATGTATTAAACATGGTCAATCTTGCTGACGTTGGCGATACTCGAACCTTTTTTTAGAGATGTGGAACTACCTATTTCTCAAGTCAAAGCCACGTTGATCTCACGCTACAGCAGAGACAATAGTACTTGGAATAGCCAATACTTTGAAGGCGGACAGGCGCGAGGATCTACCACTATTTACACAGGCTATGAACGTAGAAGCCCAAACGACGAGCAGCCTACCATCACCAGCATGGTAGTGCCAACTGAGCTGTAGGTCCGAGCGTTGTCATATGTCTGGGCTGCTGATAACTTGCTACTTCAGTGCACCTTCTGTATTGACAGAGATGGCGTTCTATGTTGGGTCAGATCTATGTTGCTCCCTGTCGGAGATAGCAAGGAGCAATATGTCCAAGATGTCGGAGAGTGTTGTGCAAGCTCAATTCACAAAGATCGCAGCAGAGAAAATGTTTGGCTCACTCACAGGAACGTAGAGCCCCAGGGGAAATAGGATTACTTGAGGATTATACAATATGGAGAAGAATGAATGGAATGATGTGATGCGCTGTGTTGAACTGTCAGATGCACAGAAGATTATCCTGCTGAGCAAACCGTGCAGAATATGTGCGTTGCCCAACATTGTTGAGTGTAAAATACAATGATCATACAGTACAAGTATGCAATAACTCCATAACTATGATACATATGCACTACAAGTCTCACAAAGTCCTAGCTGGGCTCTGTAGGCATGCTTCCTGCTCGTTTGACTGCGCCCCGGCTCGTCGATTACAAGCTCGCTTTGCCCGATCCCCCCTGTTCTTCTCTTCTTTCTCTTTCCTCTTCTCCAGCGCTTCACGGTAGTCAACCCTATACTTGGGATCATATAGACCCCCACCCGGATTCTGAACTGCCTTGCGACCTCCCCTGGGGCCCTTTACAGTAATTTCGAGCTGACAAAGAAATTAGCAACATGTTACTTTTGAATAATGGTGACTTGCCGCCATGTGGAATTTGCTTTTCATTCGGCGGTAGTACTTGTAAATGAACTTTGTCAGCAGGGTGGGCGCTTGAGACTGCAGAGGCATGTCCGGAACTGTCGAAGACTGGTATACAGTCTTTAGCGCTTCACACCTGGTAAGATGAAGAAGCAGACATGTACGCCCACTTGACTATTGAAAGAACCTCGGGCTGTCATAAGGAGTGTCAAGGGTATACACACAGTAAAGCTGCTTGCTGAAACAATCGAGACTCACTTTGATCTCCTGGGTGAGGGGGATGGCAACATAGTTGGTAAGCGCCTCAATCTTGGCGTTCAAGTCCTTGGTTTTACTTTGCGCCTCCAAAGATTCGAGGATTGAGGACACCAAAAGCTCTCGATGCGACATCTGCGCCATTATTGAGAATTGGACATCACAAGGACTGCCAAAGCGGAGACTTACTTTTGCCAATTGTGCGAGGGTTTCCCGAGGTGACGCATCGAGCTTCAACCTCTTGCCGCTTTTGAATCCAACACTGCGGCAGTCATGGGCTTTGGAGGAAGCTTTCGACTTGCTCTTTCTGGCGAGAAGTATGTGGCAGTGGGCGGTGTGGGAGTCTGAAGATACCTAAGCACTAACCCAAACACTTGCTACGGCCAATGATGCAGTTAAAGAGTGCATACCTGAAGATTCCTAAGCACTAACCCAAACACTTGCTACGGCCAATGATGCAGTTAAAGAGTGACAAAGAAAGAGAAGAAGCTATCAACGCGCAGAATAACATGTGTATTGATTTTAATTACGAATCCCGTATAACGGCTGATTCTGACAGGCGGCTTTGCCTGCAATGACCCGCACGCTTGACACCTCTGTCCATGAGATAGCCCTGCCGGAGAAGGCAAGATGGTCAGCGGGGCAAGTCATGCTAGACAAGACATGGATCAACTCACTTCAATGTTGAAGGCTACCGAGACGACGACGTCGTCGGGAAGATATTGGAGCGAGTGGAAGCCCATTGACTTTGCCGAGGATGATTTCAGCGCTGAGAGGCCAGGTCCATGCCTCTTGATGCCAGGCCCAAAATGTAACGAAATCTCTGTTGACGGGCTCGGACTCCACCGTACCATGGATGTTGATCACCAAGGGACGATGGATCGGGACCATACCGTAGTATGCGTCGCCTAGTTAGAGCGTTAGATCCAGAACATCATACGAGAGAAGAGGGAAGACACACTATTAGGTTCCGCCCAAGACCTGAACCTCTCCATCTCCCCTGGGTAGACACGGATGGGAGACTAATGGAGTGTGGCGGCAGGCTCCCTACATCACCCCCCCGCTCGAAGAAGACCGCGTCCCGAGGGCTAATATGGAGAAACGTCACACAAGGAGGCCGTAGGAACAACGACGATGCGATAGCAACAACAAGGAAACCAAAACGTCACACAAGGAGGCCGTGGGGACGACGACGATGCGATAGCAGCACACGAGGAGGCCCGGACAGGGCCGAGGTTTGCCGTCATGAACTATGGAGGCCCAAGTGGCGCCGATGGCCTCGTCGACCGAATAGGGGGGGTTGGTTTCGTTTGGATCGACGTAAAGAGACATCACCACAGCAAAAAGGTTGGGCTTGGACTTAAGATCATAGGACGCTTCGAACACCATGCCCCCCTACCGTGGGCGGCAACTTGGCGAGGGCCCGTTCCTTGTATGGAAGGACGCCCAGAATTCGCGCATGGCGGGGACGACGTAGGCGGGGAGTCCCACCTAGTGGAGCTGGAGGAGGAGGACAGGGGGAAAGGAAGGGAGGAGAAAGGACGGGGGGGAGGAGATGCGCGTCGTCAACGGGGGGACGGTGCGCGTCGTCAACGGGGGGACGGTGCGCACGTCCCCATCCTGGGGGTGGAACGCGGAAGGGGGACGAACGGAAGAAGGAAAATGCGGAGCGCGGGTTAATATTAAAAGTGTGGAGGGCGGTGACTACCGGTGACTACCTTGTTATCGTTGTTTGTCTACAGTTACACCGCGGACTCAGACATTATCGTCTCATTCTAAAGCACAACTTACGTCTGCGTACCATCCACTGCAATGCCCTGCCCGTGTATAGACACCCGCCTACCCACCGGCAACATCACATCCCTCTTCCCTCTCCCACCCGAAATCCAACTCATTATCTATCCCCATCTCTTTGACAACCTGTGCTCCTCGCATCGCGCTCGCTACTCTATACTGTTCCCGCCAAAGGATTACAAGAAACTGATCACCCCAGCATACCGAAACGTGACTTTAACCGACGAGAACTGGAAGAAATTCTTCCGCGGAATCGAACGTCCTGGGCCAGATACCCCCAAGGGAGAGGCTGCCCCCTTCTCTTTCGAGGAGACCAACAAGACCAAAAACAACCTGAAGCCCAGTTCCCTGCCGATGAAAATAGATCTCATCTATGACTGTCAGTCCCTGCGAATTGATCATCCCAGTGTCTTGGTCGGTCTCTTGCAGCTGCGTTCCGCCTGGGGTCATCTATGGGGCTGGGCCCATCCCAGACACGGAAGGACTTTCAACCAGAAGCCTCCTCCCATGTCTGGTAGTCATCGCCCTTGCATTTTTGAGTGGCTGAGGGACATCGAGTTCACCAGCAACTTCTGCCGCGAATTCCTCAAGAACTCAAAAGGGTGGTGCGACGAGTATATGACTATAAGCAGATTTTGGGGTGGTCTTCCTGAACATCCTGAAGATTTCCTGTTTACAAACCCAGATCTGACGTTGGTATGCCTTCAGATTCCTGAGAGCGAGGAGTTTGCCGGTGTTCGAATGCCCTCATTTGTCGAGCTTGGACCGCTCTGCAACCTCGTCGATAAACTCATCTGGGGTCCGATCCTCACAATCCACATCCCTGATTCTCTGGTCTATTATCCATGGTTCAACGACGAGGATTACCCGAGCAATCTCACCTACATGCTACCCCCGCGGCCTTCGGGTGCATTCGAAGAGGAGGACGACGGCGACACGGCACGATATGAAGCCGAGATTGTCGCGTGGTGTCAGAATACCTATCTCAGGTGGGGGCCGGAAGACAGGTGAGTCTTCTTCTTCTTCTTTCGAGCGTAATCGCTCAAAGCTCATGATACTTGTGAGATCTGAAAAACTTCCTGAAAAAATCATCCTCGGCAATCTAGGCAGCCGCATCTCGCCTACCGGCCAGATCACTTCTGTTTCGGACGAGGCTTTCGAAAAGATGACAATGTCAATGACGGCTTGCCTCAACAAGATACCCATGTCGGAAGATGACCGAGTCTGCTTCTCGTTTTTGAAGGGAAAGCCCGTCTACAATTACTGTCAACATTAGAGTATGAAGGTCGACCTCAAGACAGATGTCTGATTCCCATTCATGATATGAATATTACTTGCATGTGGTAGATAACACAGATTGATCTCTGGAGAGACTTACATCTCCCCCAGTTTCCGACAAACCTCCTCTTCAATAGGCCACTGCATGACCTGCCCATCCGGCATACTCTTCCCCAAAGCCCTCCATGGTAACAACCACCCCCAACCCTTGGAACCCAGCACCAACTTCCAGTTCCTCGTTTCTCCAAAATCATACAGCTCCATCTCAAGTTTCGGTTGGACGATATGTCCTTCTCCCTCGCTTTCGGGATTCGGGATGTAGAAGGCTGGCCCGCCGAACCGTTTGAGGCCGTCGGCGATGTGCTGAGGCAAGGGCTCAGAGGGGAAGAGGGTAGAGTGCCCGGACGCTGCTCGGCTGGCGATGTGATATGATTTTCGGCGTTCAGTATCGATAGTGAGGTCGCCTTTCTTGATGGTCTGTAGCGTCGAGTATGCTAGCCCCTGTAGTATCATCAGCCAGCAATTCGAGGTCTCGTAAACGGGTGCATACCGATGTGATCAGTGCCAACACAATACCAACAACAACCATGACCCCTACTCCCAGCCGTTCGATCCCAGGCCCACCAACGCTCATCCGATCCAATTGCATCCATCCCAATACTACGCCGCCTACCCACCGCCCGACTGGCCCGCCAGCAACTATCCAGCTCCAAGGCCAGTCCCACCATCCTTTGATCGAATCAGAGACGCGCGCGAGATGATATGCTGCCGAGGCGCGCCGCAGGAGGAGAGGGTAGAGCGGCAAGGAGAGGAGTATGGTCGTTGGAGGGGTGTAGAGCAGGAGGGCTAGGAAAGCGGGGACGTAGGGGGCGGTCAGGCAGTTGGCGAACTTTGAGGTGTCAGTACAAGTCTTCGATTATGCAGGATATGGCACTAACGAAGGGACAGTGATGGTCGAAACCCATTCTGCATACCCCACACTGCGAGCAATGCCGAGCTCTAGCAGGCTTCCACGCTCCCCGGCATTTTCCCTTGTAACATTTTTCTACCATCGGTTCTTCTTTCAATCTCTCCACTTCTTCATCTTCCAAGCCCTCTTTGCTTCTAATTTCCGAAGCCTCGTCAGTTGAGAGGCATGCAAAGGGAGTCTTCTTGTTAATTATAACGGCAGGAGGATTGAAGGGCGGTCTGGATGGATTGAGAAAGTAGAGGCGGAGATAGAATGTCGTTATGGGGGCGATAAGAATGCTTGGTAGGATCGTGTAGGCAGCTATTCAGTACTATCAGTGAGCAACATACATCTTACATCCTGAACGCTCTCTTACCTCCAAGAAGAGGTTTGTCCTCAGCAAGAAACCGAGCTAGATTTCAGTCAGACAATTGTCGACCGACTCATTACCACCACATCACTCACGCCCAACCTCGAAAGTGCATATCTTCCAAGACAAGCTGCATACTCTATCAGCCCGGATACACGTACATATTGACTCCATAAAAGCCGGATGGACGTACTAGAAATAGGACAGAAACGCCGGAGGGAGGAGCTGCTGGGATAGCCAGACAAGAGTCTTGAGCATAGAGTTGGATACTGGGAAGCTCCAAGGCTTCTTATAGGGATCCTCCTGTCGTACAACTGAGTTTGTCGAAGCCAAAGATATCGAAAGACGAGGAATTACTCTGGTCGACGCCAGCACCGCGTCGACCTCTCATCAGTCGTCGCTTAGCGCCCTAAGCGCCGAGGGCAGCTGTACTCTTGTTGACACCCGGAGGACATGTAGTCGGCTTCCAACATGACAAGATGATTCATAATAATAGTGGCGCACATGTATAGTAGATCTTCAAACACTGCTCATGCCTCTTCTGATAGCCTTCCCAATCACTCATCGTCGTTCGCAAAGATGCTCTCCACTCCAAGACTTTCCCAGTTCTTCTTCTCTCTCTCATGCCAGAACGCTACCTCTCCATCGGTGGCCCTCTTTGGCTCCCAAAGCCTTTCTTGCGTATCGTCGTCGATCGTCGACACAAACCATTGAGGTTCGTGAGGGGGCAATTTGCCCTGGGTTCGGAGATTTCGGGTGTTGCGTTGTTTCTCTTCGTTGAGAGTCTTCAGCCTGGTCAAGCATGAGTCAGCACATGATCAAGAATGGGAGCGAGGACTGCGACGTACCCCTGAGCACGGTCGTACTCGGCATTCTCGAAGGCTCGCTGATCCGTACGCATCCTACAATCTGTTGGAGCGACATACTTCTCCAGCCCTTGCGGGATATCGTTCTGCACAGAAAAGTCAGCACCACTTGGATTGATCATTGTCAGAAGGCTTACAAGGGTGATGGCGTAGGGCGTCAAGTTGAAAGGCGCTTTAGGCTTCTCCGAGTTTCTCCACAAGAGGATATACTCCTTCTGCGTAGGACTGACCGTCGCGTCGACTGCGAGTGGCACAGATTCCACACCGTGCTCGCGCGCAATCAGTTGAGTGTCCCATCCTTGACTCTAGTCAGCACTGCTCTTGCATGTTGAGCCAAAGCACTCACGACCAGCGATATCCCATCGCACAGCGCCATCGGCGTCCTGCACTTTACCCTGGATCTCGAACGCATCCTTCCCTCTCCATCCTCGTGGCTTGAACGTAAGCGTACAGGTCTCGCCCGTCCTATGGTTCGCTATGTTTTTATCAGTACAGCCCTTCAACTCTGACCTAAGAGTACTCACTGACAACAAGGTCGCCGTAATGGTCGATAATAGGATTACCCATGATGAAATTCGACACATTCGTCGTTACCTTCTTCCAACTATAATGCTCGCTCACATACCCCTCCCCATACTCGGGTCCCGCATCAGGATAGTCCAAACCGGGCACGACTTGAGATTTAGGAATAATAAGCTCGGCATGGGCAACACCCGTGGGCCTAATCTCGAACGATCGACCCTGGAACTTGTTCTGCGCGTCCACTTCGCCATAATACTTCCACGTCGGCGCTTCCGAGTAACAAGCAGAGATCGGAGGGTGGTGCGAGACTTGCTCCGAGACGTATCGGTACCTATTGGGGATGGCGTACTCGAATGACTGGCTTAGGAGCGGGTTGAAGGGCTTGGCGATACGGCCGATGGTGGAGGAATAGTTGGACATGGCGAAAGCACCGACAAAGGCGATACGGCGGAGACTGTCTTTTTCGGAGGCAGCGACGGTCAAGCAGGCGTCGTATTCCATGTCTTCAGCTGCGAAAGTGTCAGTTGAGGTACATGGAGAAAGGTGCAATACTTACCCATGCGCTGCAGCATAGAGGTACACTCGTTGAAGCTGACAGGGAAAGAGATCTTGGTAAGATCCTTGCCAACTGAGCTCTTCAAGATACTCCACACTACCACCCTAGATCAGCTTTTGCAGCCAAGAACCAAATGAGCAACTTACAGCTGACAGACGGCCTCTTGTCATCATCAATAGGCAGCTTGCTTCGCACATGCAAATACGGCTCCAAACTCTGCCTTGCCAGATACTCCTTCACAGTCCCCTTCGTCACAGCCTCACTCTCTTTCACTCCAACGTCCAAACTCCCCGCTCGACTAGCAGACGGCGTCCCCGGCCTCTCCGGATGAGCGATGCTCTGATGAAGTCTGAGATTCGGCAGCTGGTTCTGCTCGATAGCGTCAAAGAACTCGTCGGCGTCGTCTTCTTCGTCGTCCGAGTCGGCAGCGACGATGGCGGCGTGGGCGTTCTGGACGTCTTGGATGTTGGAGATTGAAGGTTGGTTGACGAGCGCTGGAGGAGAAGCGAGAGCGCCTTTTGGGGCAGGGGCAGTCTTCGGCGGAGCGTACGAATCCGAGACGCCCGTAACAGGTGCAGAATCAAGAATCCCCTGCCCACCCACTTCAACCCCCACCGGCGTCCCCGGCAAACTCCCCCCAGCACTCAGCCCAGCCAACACCCCCTTCGCCTGCCTCAACGCCCGCCTCTTCTTCTCATTATCCTTTGCCGCCGCGTTCAGCTCCTTCTCATACTCTGCCTGCTGGGTCGCTATCGTCAACATGTTTTCTTCCCACAACTGGCGCGCTTGGACCTCCCGCTGGATGCGGGAAGTGAAAAAGCGCTCTCGGTCGGCAGACATGCTGGACAGCTTCTTCATTAGTATCTGGATGGTGGAGAGGGATTCGCGGATGGCGTCTTTGACGGCAGCTTGACGGGAGGCGGTTGTCGTGTTGGGAGAAGCGTTTCCGGGAGATGGAGGATTGGGTGAGACTACGATGGAATCCACAAGCTGCTCAGTCATCTCCAGCTGTTCCTTGATATTGATCAACCCAAGGTCGAACGTGGCCTCATGCGGGATCGTATCCGCACTTTGCTGATCATCCTCATCATCACTCCGTTCACTCGCATTATCATTGTCGTACCGGATGCTCGACGCGTGGGTGCCTGTGACTCTGGAGCTGGTGCTAGCAGACTTGCTTAGAGGGTTGACACCGCTCAGACCAGGCGCAGTCTGCAAAGTGGGGCTGAGGAAAGTGTCGCCCGAGGGAAGTTGGCTGACAACAGACGCCGCTCGCCTATCGGGCCTCTGCAAGCTCCCACTTCGTCTCGGCGCAACAGAAGGCGACATTGACGGCCTGGACGCGTCCTTCCCAGCACCATGCTGGTAGTATTCAATATTAAGCTTGAGCGTCTGTACCCAGCGAGCAATCTCGGCGCGGTGCACCGACTTGACCATAAACTTTGGTACAGCCGACGACACTTGGGAGGAGAGGTCAAACTTGGTGCCGTCGGAGGAGGCGTGGAGGGTCGCAACGGCCATGGCGATAGAGCCGCGGCAGGCGATAGCTTCGTCGTCGCGGTTGCGGTAGTAGCTGAGGATACCGTTTTCGAGGACGAACCAGCGCGTACGCCAGCCTTGGCGGTAGTTGACCCACTTACTGAGGAAGCCGCGCAGGTCTGGAGGTCGGCCGTCGGATCTGGCTTCGATGAGACTGTCTTGATTATTGACTGTAGCTAAATCAGCAAAGGGACGCGTTAAGACTCGGGTACACTTACACTGGCGCAAGAACAGCTTGATCCTCTCGTCGGGACTCTTCTCCCCATCCAGAACCCTCCTGTTACGCTTATCACGCACAAAGACGTCGGCACCCCCCTTGACAGCCAACTCAACAAGCTTCAAATCACGTCTCCTCGCAGCCTCATGCAACAAACTCGTCCCCGTCCTCTCATCCAGCGCACTCAAATTCACAGCCCCAATTCTGTGACTCTCCAAAAACGCTCCCAGAACTGCACCTTCCTCGGCAGAGTTCAGAGGACTGGCAATGTAGAGCGAAAGCAAGTTGGCGTAGTGTGCTTGGATCTGAGCGCGGGACTCTTCGATAGCTGAAGCGACGTCGGCGGTGGAAGCGCATTCGAGGGCGGTTCGGGAACGGTCGTCTTTGATGGTATCGTCGATACGAGGATCTTGCAGTAGCAGCCTGACTGTAAGGTTTCAAGCGTTAGAATGTGAATCTACCGTAACAGCGCGCCGAAGATGACGTACCGATGTCAACTCTTCCCAGCTCGCTGGCAACGTGGAGAGACGTTTCGGAGCTGTTAGGGGCTACGGGAAGATTGGGAGAGGGGACAGATGCCAGAATAAGAGATACGATTGGCACTACGGGACGGTCATCAGCTTGATGAAATGCCTGAGAATCTCAACTGTGCTCACCATTGGCCACTCGTACCGCCATCCCAAGCAGCTGCCCAGCTTTGTCAAGATCCTCTCCATTAGGGCCGGCCTTGATCTGGTTCAAAAAAGGCTGTATCTGTGCTGGATCTTCCGAGCGGAGCGCGGCGAGGAGGCGAAAGTTGTAGAGAGCGGAGGGAGGGGCGTTGGTGGAGAGGGCAGAAAGGTTGGAGTGCACTGAGGGATTAGGGGATACACCTGGAGTACCAGATATGAGTATGGCTGATAAACCGACAGGGGAGACATACGGGGCTGTTTCTCGGGGGAGGGCTGCCGAGGGGCAATGTGCTGGCCGCTCATTCTCGTGGAAACGGCGATGGACGTCTCTTCGGCAGGGTGGCCTGGGGATAAGAATCACCAATACCGGCCGAGGGGATGTAATATGCAAGGAGTCGAAAAGGTCACGCGTAGATGATAGAGGAGATGGTCGGTGCTGGTGGATATTTGGCTTGGGATTAGCGCAGGATTAGCTTCCGCTAATGGCGATTACAGCTCCACTTGAATCACTTTTCCTAATTGGGCAAGTTGAATAGTCCACGGTCCATACATACTCGTCTGCGATGTATCTGCCACAACACTACTGCTATTGGTACAGCTACATGACGTTCTCCTTGCACTTGCTCACTACCATACACTCGATTTAAGAACATATTTCCAAATAAAGATCCGCAAAACCACAACAGCCCCCATCAACGAATACCTGAATGGAGTGTAGTCGGTGTGGGAAAGCTGCTGGTTCCAAACGCATGGTCACACGAGTTTGAGGTGGCAGCTCCGCAAGAGGTCTGAAAGGAGGTTCCAACCTACCTGGGGAGATGATGGTAAAGGAATGAATGACGGAACGAGCGAAATTTCGATATAGAAATGCAGCCATTGTCAGTGATTTTACTACCCGCCAACCCCTTCTTCAAAACACCACAAACAGCCCCTAATCACCACGCACAAAACATATACTCTGAGATATCTGCTCCAAAGCTAACTATCATGACCCAATCCATACTACAAAGCATTGCTTCCTTCGCCAGCCGCCAGTGGAACAGCTCCAAAGCATCTTCCGAAGCCGCGTCGTCATACCCCTCATCTTCGTCCTCCGCTGCCCAGTCTGCAATCTCTTTCAAATCTACATCATCCTGCGTCAACATCTTCAGTAGATTATCGTCTTTTAATGAGACCGGAGGGGACGAGGAGGGGATCTTTGATGAGAGGCGGGCAAATGATATTATCAAGCAGTATTATCCTGCCTGGAACGGCGGTAGAAGTCAGCCATCGGAAACTTAGATTGCTATATAGATTGCGGACTATATACGCCACATAAAAGTAAATAGTTATACAGTTGGTTGCCGATGTCAAGCAGTAGATTACTCTAGTAGATTAGCAGACGTGAGCAAACTACCCCGTTGAAAGATCAAAGATAGGCGCGCGTGGCTCAGTCAGGTCCGTCCGGAAGCCGAATTGACGACTCTCGGCAAACTCTCGGAAGCCCTCTTGCAACCCTCTTGAGTTGCTCTTGAGACTTTCCACAAACTTCAAATCCATCTCGACAACCATTCAAAATGATCTCTCGCGTCCCAATACGCGCTGTCAAATACGCTCGCCCATTATCAAGGCGCTCCCCAATCTGCTTGAGGTTTGCCAGCTCCCAGAACGGCTCTCCATCGAGCAAAATCACCACCGCGCCCTTCCGACTTTCTCCTGGTGAGGCTTTGGAGAAGATGCACATTAATGCCCTCCTCGCTTCAGGCAAGTTCTCCATTCGAACCATTGCTCAATATTCTAACAGATCAGATTAGCTTCAATACCAAACATTGTATATGCCTTTTTCCTCCGTTTCTTCGGCCCATCGGTGACACCCATCGCCCGCGAATTTGGTTTTGGCGAGAAGCTAGAATTGAAGGATATGAAGGCGGCGTTATATCCTGTCTGGAGAGTAGATGGTGTGGCGGAAGGAAAGGTTGATATTGTGCACGGAGAGGGACAGAACCAGCTGAAATCGCCAAGCCCGACACTGAGTATGAGCGTTACGGAAGGTTATGTGCCAGGTATGTTCATAAGTGTCTATTTGTTGGAAAACTGACTTTGGTTCAGGCAATCCATTCGCACCACTGTCGTATCTCTCCTTCGCCGTCCCGCCCCTCTACTCCGACCTCCCCGAGTACGACCCCTCCAAAGACCACGACCAACTCAAAGACTACGGCCTCGACATCGTCCCCATCCCATTCACCGTCTCTCCCCTCGGCCTCGTCAACCACATCCGTCGTCTGATAGACAAAAGGACGTGGGATCATTGGAAGATTGACGAGAAGAAGATTGAAGAAAAGATGCTCGCATGTTATCCGATCATGTTTCCCATCTACATTGCCGAATTTGAATACGACCAAGGCGAGGATGGGAAGAGGAGGTTCAACGTTTTCATGGATGCGCATGATGAGAGTGTCAAGACCTGCCGAGTGAGCTGGCCACCACCACCGCACCTTATTGAAGAGTAAGCCACCCCGCTTTTCGTGCACGTATGCTGATGTTATGGCTTGTAGGGGACGCTTCGACCGAAATTACTTTGTCAACCCGGCCCCCTTCATGCCCGTATCAACAATCGGCCTCTACCCCCTCCCCCCCACCCCCAGATCAGCACTCATAGCCGCCCAACGCACCAGGCTCCCGGAATTGTACGGCAATTTCATGTCGCCCCCTCCCGACCTCGACGACCCCTCACAAATCCCTCCTTCACCCATGTATGCTGCACAGCAAGCAGCTTCGGAAGGCGAGGGGATAGATTGGGAGGATGAAAGGATTATGAGCTGGAGTGGGGTGGGGAGGGAGGAAAATGGGGATTGGATAGAGTTGTATGAGAAGACGCAGAAGGGGATCGAAACTCTGGAGGTAAATCTTGTTCTGTCATTCGCTTGTGATGTGGTGCTGATCCAGTATAGACGATGCGCTCTTTCTCATCCAACAATCCTCACCCAGAAGACCTCAAAGGCCTTGTCATCACATCCCCTCTCGAACGCCGCGCCGGCCACTCCATGATAGAACGAAAATCGCTCAAAGACATGGAAGATCAACTGGAACGAGATGTGAAGCGGATGAAGAGGGAGCTCGAAGAGTCGAAGCCTGCTTGGCTGAGGGCTTGGATGCAGAAGCAGAAAGGGAATAGCAAGTGAGAAGATTGTGGATTGAACGGTACTCCTGTATGTACTGTTAGGTTGGCGTCCAAGCAAGGATCCCTTCCCCATGCATCCACTATAACAAAAGTCATACTACTATTTGACCGTCACCTGACTATTACCCCGCTTCCTCCCCTTGCGTCCATTCATGGATAGCTTCCTTCAGAAGAGGCGCCCTACGAATACTTTTACTCAGAACGAATGGCACAATCGTCGCCAAGAACTTGACTTACAATTCATTCGGGACACTTCTCAACGCACAATTTTCTTCATCCGCGCATCCACAGATTGATGATCGACCGGTATTAGGTTGATCATCCGTGTGGTGTTCCACTGACCATCGGTTCTCTTCTTTGATCGGGCGATATGTCGATAGATGAGTGAACACTATATGTGTATCATCCTCGTCAACAATGTTAAAATGCCTGGCATTGCTCAATAGTATCAGATCAAACGTTCCAGACAGATAGACCAGATAGACGGACTTACCTTGCCACGTCTTGCCTCATTGAGGCAGCAGGATCCGCGCAGCTACACCAAGAGAAAACTTGCTCCACGGACTGACCGTCTATGGTCACCGCGTAGCGACGCCAGGGATCGTCCGGGGCGCAATTGGCATGTTCGTCGACGTTTGTGTTGTTGTCTTGAGAAGGCATCGTGGGTTTTGTCTCTTCTCGAGTGCAAGATTTGGAAAAGTATTTTGTAAGGATCATTTTCTTTTTACTTGCTTTCCTGCATGCAAAGTATTGTAGGAATCGGCCTGGAAGGCCGGGTGTCCTCCATTATTATGGTGGTCATGATTTAGCATCAGTAGCGATAAAACAACACTACCAGCCACGAGAGATTCAAGCAGTGATAAATCTGTCGGGGCTATTGCTAGATGAATCGGAGTTCGTATTGGATTTTGAAGCACAGCATCAAATGCGATCATTTGGCTGTTTGTATTCGACCCCATGCGCAGGCCGGGCAGGCGAAGGCTAGAGAATTCTGGTCAACAAAGGATCCACATTCGTTTCTCAGATCTTTTTCAGTCCAACTCCGAGCGCGTGAGAAGACATGACTATTGGTACTGTACTCTACTCGTACTGGAAACGAGCAATGTGTTTGGCAAAGAGGCTCCCCACACAAAGAGCTTGCTGTCATGGAGGTTGTGTGTTTTGCAATTGCAACAGAGAGTGGAAAGGATCAGCATGAGTGCCAGTGTTTGCATGAGTGATCCCTGCCGTCGTTTCGTCTCGATGGGCTGCATTGGATCTCATGGCTCATCAGACAATACCTCGGTAAACAATGGTCTCAATGTTCTTTGCGTCCGGGCATATTTCGCGTTCACCATTTCAGATACAAAATCAGATCATTTTAGTCTGTACCCGGAGCCAATGCAGCGACGATCTGTTCTACCATGTTCGCTTGTAGCATCCTGCATGGTGTAAAGGCTATCGATCGATTTACCCCCTTTCGGCGTCCAGTTGCCCGTTGTTGCTGACATCTTCGGTCCCTGTCGTCATCGTCTCCTCAAATTCTTCTCTCATGAGTTCAATCTGGTCCCTTTCTGCTTGAATGTGGGCGACACTATACGACCAGCATCGTCAGTAGCCACAACAAGATGAAAAAAACTTTCTCTAGATACTGGCAAGGTGACTCACAGCTCCTCCGGGATACTCCCGTATGGACAAAGACGGTCAGAACTGGTATCTAGTGCATGCGGCGAAAGAGAGCAGAGACTAGTCCTTCGGCGAGCCGTTTCTTCGTGTCCAAAGTATGTAGAGTTCCATCGCCCTTGCTGAAAGTCGGCATCGTAGCTCGACAGAACCTCAACTGATACATCATCGAGGGGTATTTGCATTACACTATTAATGTCAAGTCAGGGGTGTCTTCACGTTATTGACGATGTCTGTTACACTTGGACTTACCTGGAGATCCCAGATCGGAAGGCTTCCTTGTCTTGGTCGGTGGCGACAAAGGTCTTTCGCGTCTGTTGACCCTTAATCGATAGCTTGTACTGAGTCCAGTGTGTGGCAGAAAAAAACCCCGAAAGGTCTGTGGAACCGTGATAGTCCGTTGTTGATACACGCTCTTCTGTATCTGTCGGTGCTGTCATCTTTCTTCCCGTAAGAAGTATAGGTCCTGTTGACTATGTGTGTGGTGGCGCTGGTATTTCTATCAGCTACTATGATGGTTACTGGAAAGACTGCAATCGAAGAACCTACCGTCGTTGTTCCGTTTCATGATCATTATATATACATTCCTCGTAGTTCACAGCACTTGTCCAATGACACTGTACTTCGCAGATAGACAAATCACATTAAAGAAACAAAAGAAAGGAAATCCGATGATGTGTGAGAGTTTCACGAGTGTCTGACATTACACAGATATATATGGATCTGAATCAAGGGAAGTCAGAAGATACTTTAGTAATGGGCCGCGACGTCTTTACATGTCAGTAGCATGTCTCCATCTCCACATTGACATAACAGAGAAGAACACTTGTATATTTTGGACATTGTGCTGAGGATCGTTACACCTTCTGACAATATTATGTTTGCTAGAAAGAACTGGGGTCTCATCAATAATACACGATCAATCAAGGACAGCGGCTTGATGGGGTTCCATCGATGTAATTCCCCCTCCAACGATGCTAGAAGCTCTTCATTGTTGTAGTTGGGGTAAAGTGGGGTTGGTTCATCTCATCTTCTACGCTACTCCCCGCGCCTTATATACCTTGCGCCCCCCCTATGAAAGTACTAGAATACCTATCCTGTAACCTGTGCTTAGTAAGCACTCCTCTTGTAGTATATACTGGAAGTATCTACCGTCTTCCCCCGCTTACTAATACCACTACAAGGACTCCCTTATTCCTATATACTAGTAGAATATACTAGAACTACCTGTGAACTTTATGAAGTGTCGGTCATCACCGAGTGAGGAATGACATTTGATGATCCCATTCGCATGACTTTCCTATTCTGTATACGAGTACAATACTCGCACCGAAGTACATCGTATACTGATTCACTTCACTAGGCCTTTTACGTCGCCATCGTTCCAGCTCCTCCCGTCAGCTCCCCCATCCTGGCTGTCATCAGAAAGCCTTCCAGCCGCAATCATTCTCTGAACCACTGCTTTCCCTCCAGCATCCCCTTTTCCGCTTGAAGGTGAGTGACACTATCAAATTGTACGTCAGTCTTGGGGACACATTGACCTCCAAACTGAACGAGTACGTGTTCCGTTTGTTTACTTACAGCTCATCGGGAACACTGCCTAATGGACATCGCCGACCAGAGCCGTCTTCCAGCTCATGTCGCGACGACGGAGAGGAGCACATAGTCGTCCTCCCCTGAGCAGTCTCGTTCCCAAAGTACTCAGCGCCCCAGCGGCCTTGCACGAAGTCAGCTTTGTAGCTGGCCACTTTCGTAGCCGATACAGCATCAAGAGGCTGGGCCATCATACTAGAGTCGCACCACTTTAGCCCCTCTATCCGCCTAAGCTCGCCCAACGACGATGCCAGCTATGTTCAAACCTACCTGGCTACTTCACTTCGAAATGTCTGGACATCCTTGTCTCCGTAGGTGAATATTCTGCGTGTCTTATCTCCGACTGTGAGCTCAAATTGAGTCCACTCAGTATGGGAGGTCACTGTAAAGTCTATAGTCGTAAAGCCCTGACGGTCTGTGTTTGAGGAACCACTCGCTGTACCGGTCGATTCTGCCATGGTGCGTGATAAGAGATGATGTTTGGTATAGTCGACTCTGCACTTTCGCTAGCAATTGAAGTCATTATATGTAGCAGTGGATTATGACGATATTTCACCCCATGTGAAGTATCTGTGAGCATTTCACAGCCATCTCAACACTTTATGAGAAGGATATCTACTTGATGAAATATAAAATAGGAAGTACAAGTGTCGTTCTCACCAAGAAGCAGAATGCATTGCGACAGAAGGCCAGAAACAATACAGAACCGAAGGGTATTGACGGTGTGAAAATGCTTGTTCTGTTTCGACTTGTCCGGTCCTTTCTCTCTATTAAACTTTCCCATGGCGAAGATGTACCCTTTTGGGGACGAAGCAGGTAGCATTGCCAACTGTCAAAGTATTGTAGGAATCTGCCTGGAAGGCGGGGTGTACTCCATTATTATGGTGGTCATGATTTAGCGTCAGTAGCGATAAGAAAACACTACCTGCCACAAGAAGAATCAGGCAGTGATGAAGCTGTCGGGCTATTGCTAGACGAATCGGGGTTCGTATTGTATTATGTAGTACAGCATCGAAGGATCAACACTTTATGAAAGGGATATCTACTAAAATAGGAAGAACAAGCGTCGTTCTCACCAAGAAGCAGGGTGCATTGCGATACAGAACCGAAGGGATCTTGACGTTACGGTGGTGTGAAAATGCTTGTTTTGTTTTCGACTGGCCCGGTCCTTTCTCTCCCAACTTTCCCATGGCAAAGGAGTACCGGCCTGGGGACGTAGCAGGCAGCTTTGCCAACTGTCATACTGAGAAAACAGGGAAGAAGAGCCCAAGAAGTTAGTAATGCGAATCAGAGGATGCAGGGGAAGGAGTTGATGGAAAGACATCGGCAGGGATGGATTCCACGTGTCGACTGGGTATCTCCAATCTTGTGCTCTAGAGCGAAGAGATATGGTTGCCACTATGATACATCACCTATGCTCAATTACCGTTCTATGCACCTCGTCTCTAGTACTCAGTTGGGTATCCTCCCTCTGTACCTCACTCGTCTCCATAACCTCTCCCGTCTTCTCGACCTCTTCGTTGTCTTTCCCCTACCCCTCGTGCTTCTCCTTCGCCGTGTCACTGCCTTCCCCCACGTCCTTCCCCTCATCTGTCTCCTTCTCTTCCGTCTCCTTCTCCTCTGACATGTCTTTCTCAACTGCCGTTTTCCAAACGTTTGCCGCCTCTGTCTCTCCAACATCCCTCGTCTCCACACTTTCCGGAGGCGGCACTGCCTCAAAGTATACAAGCCCCTGATCCAGCGCATCTTTCATCCTCTTGATCAGATCCAATTTCTGACCCCCAGGCTTTCCCAGCTCACTCTCATCCACCGCTGACCCTGGGAGGTTGACAAAACGCACCATGAGCTCCGCGAGTCTTTCTTTCTTCCAAGACAGCTGTGCGAATTCGGATTTGGGTGATCGAAGGGGACGGAGGGAGAGAGCTTGTCGGTGGGCCGAGTCTGCTGACGGTATCAGTATGGTGCTGGGTCAATTTGGGATGGTGACTTACTGAATGAAGCAAGGAGCCGGGCAGTGTTCTCTTTTTGGCTCGTTATCCAGCCACCCGGCACTGAAGAAAGAATGAGCTTTGTTTACTCCATCAGCCACCACGATAAGAGACATCACTGACCACGTTTCGCTTTCTTCGAGTCAACCTCAACATCATCACCGTAATACACGAAATTATCATCCTTGACATCGTCATCTTGACCTCCTGAACTTTCGGCGTCGCTAATCTCGGGGATGTCATCGTATTGTACGAGGGCTCGGGCGGAAGGGACGGAGTGACGACGGTAAGAAGGTTTTGTCGGCTTGGGTTTGTGAGGTGGAGTCAGGGGAGTCGGGTGGTCTAATCCCAATGAGACGCGGAGTTTCTTGTTGGGCATCTGTGTGTTGTGCTTGGATTTTGAAGGGGAGCCACTGCCGCCTGAAGGGAGATACATAAGCGTCGGCGCAGGTTGCTTTGAGGCAATGCTTACCAGAAAGCGCATCGATACCTCTCTTCAAGGCCCTGTATTTTGTTTCCCACTCCTTTCCTTCCTCTAATGCCCTGCACTCCGTCTCCTTCGTCTTCATCTCATTCTTCAGCTGCTCGATCTTCCACTCCAGCCTGTCCACTTGCATCTCGAGAGCCCGCCCTCGCCTCTCTGCCCGCTCTTTCTCGCCCTTCTCAACGTGGTACTTGGTGACCATTGACTCCAGGTTTTTTATAGTACTCTGGGCTTCGGAAAGGGAGTGTCGGACCGAGATGTTGGAGAAAAGAGCATTGTCAAGTTCGGATTGAAGTGAGTTGATTTGGGTCTGAAGGGCGATTTCGCGTGAGGATGGCTCGGAGGTCTTGGAAGGGGAGACAGTCGGGGTTGTAGAAGGTGGAGAATGTGTCCGTAGAGGGGCCGATGTAGTGCCGTCGATATCAGCGTCCATGATTTCAAAAGTGAGGGGTATAGAAAAGAAAGAGGAAATGAAAGAGACGCGTCGAACAGCAGCTCCCTCACGACCATCACCGACGGCCACACCCGCCGCGCGTGTTTGTGGCAAATCCGGGTCGGTTGTTGAACGACCGCTATCCGTCCGCCACGCAGCGTATGTCCACATGCATACACAGATCTTTTGGACCGAAATCCAGCCACATTCTTCCAGTGTCCGATGGGAACGTCCTTTTCGAACATACACGCACCGTGTCCGTTGATCTGGGCCTCGTGAATAACGCGAGGAAAACAGGCGCTGAACATGCGTATTGAGAAGGGGAGCTGGCGCGTGACACTAAGACTGCATAGGGCTATATAAGCTTAAAGGACTACGTTGTATTGCTATGGCAACCGCTACGAGACTACCATGGTATGTCTTCACTCTGTGAGGGTTGCATGGTGCTGACGCTATCAACAGGCTTCGCACGATCTTGATACCCCTGGCGACCTTCACGCTACTGCCTGGGGAGACGAGAGTTCTACCCTCTCCACCACCTGTTCTCCCCCCGCCAATTTGGCATATACTAAGGTGGAAGAACAAGCGCTCGACCAGGAGCTCTGCGATCCTCTGCCGAACGCCACGCTTTCCGGCAAAAAGCATGCTGGATCCGAGCTCAACAACTCTGTGAGATGGTCTCTTCCAGTGCAATATTGTAGGGGTGTACTGATACAAGATATGCAGGGAATCAAGAAACGGATCGACCGGATTCTCTCCATTCTTGAGAAGCACGAGGGCATTGCCAAATTCAAATCTGAACACTCTTCTTCTTCTTCTTCTTCTTCATCCTCCTCATCCTCTTCTTCCTCGTCCTCCCGGTCAGCACACAGCTCGGCGTATAATCGTCATGGCCTCCCACACATCAACCGAATAGGCCCTCCTCCCGATGCAAGGCACTTTGACGACATCTCCTCCCAACCCTTCCCCTTCTCCTCACCATCCCACCAAACATTCACCCGCGTCCTCCAACGTATCGTCGCTCGCCTGACCTTACCCTCCGAGCTTCCCCCACCCTTCCAACCCGTCCACCAAGATTTCAAGACCTTCGTCTCTGTTGAGCTCGGGCAGGGCCTCCTCTCTTTCGATGACTATACCGCCGACCCCGCTCAGAGCGCTATCGCCTCCGTGCTGGGCCAGATGGAAGCTTGGGAGCTTCTCCTTGGCTCGACTGTTATCCATCGTCCGGGGTGGGCGAATCCAGGAGGTGATCTCACTGAAAATGAGGGAGCGGCGAAGCAGGATGAGAGCAAACATGCTATCCTCGCGAATTTGGTGGGAAGGAGCTGGAAGGAGCTTGACAATTTTGTCGTGTACCCTCAGCCGGATGAGGGACATCAGGCGGTGTATAGGTCTATCACTGCTCGAAAATTCTTGGGCCATCCTCACATGAGGCATGGAGGGGGCTGCTGTTAGGACTTGTAGCGGTGTAGACGAGCAATCGTCGCTTGCGAAGTGTTTAGAAGTGTCGCAGTTGGATTGAATTGTATCATGCATCATGTGATCTTATTGTTTGGCTGCGACTATCGTATGCACTGGGATGGTGTGTATTCGTACAGAGACCGACTGGATACCCGCGTGGCATGTACATGTAGAGAATGCATGCAGATCGGTCTTGGCCGTCTTCTGCTGATCATCAATCTCCTCGAGGCGCAAAACGACAAACCTCGCAGGTAGTAGGGAGTGAGTGGCCAAGCGTTTTCGAGACAAAGTATAAGAGCTGGCTATTTCTCCATTCCAGAAGATACCACAAGCCTTCTAATAACCTTGCGATGGTGAGTCTACATATTCCAATTCGTGTAGAATGCGCATGTCAGGCAAGACGTACTCACAAATCTACAGCCTCAGCCAAATTCCTCCACCCGAGCCCGAGTAGGCTCGCCACCCCTCTCATCCCCCAACAGCCCTCAAAGCTCCAACCGCACCCTCGTCAGAGGCAGCGCCAGAACCTACACACCCGAAGACACCCCCTCGCTTTCAGATGCGTACCTCACCGCATCATCTCATATTGACCTCCCTGCATCATCTCAGAGAGAAGGAGCAGGGTCCCCCTCGAGGACGCGAACGACGGGGACGACGATGGCGGCGCACCCGACTGGTTCAGGTTTCCATATCTGGCACAAGCCTGCCGTCGGACGTCCTCGGGTATCGACATCGTCGTCGGATGAGTCTATCAAAGGCAATCCATTTGCATTCCACCACCCAGTCCACCAACAACCAGTCTACCAACAGTCACACCCTCCACCCGTCTTCCAGACACAAACGAGGCCCTCCCACGCTACTTTCCGAAAAACCTTCACCCGCATTCTCGGCCGCCTCGCTGTCCCCCACAGTGTCTCCATCTCTTTCCGCCCCCCCGAAGAATTCGAGCAATACGTCCAAGACGTCATGGGCAGCTTTCTCCACACTTTTGACGATTATACGACACAAGAAGCGCAGGAGGGTATCGCCTTGATGGCTGGACAGCTTGAAGCTTGGCAAGGTGTGCTGGCGACGCCTGCACCGTATTTGATGAGTTATATGAAGGGTGAGGAGGGGGAGAGGAAGGAAGGGGAGAGACATGAGCCACTGGCGGGGTTGATTGAGAAGAGCTGGATGGAGTTGGATGGGTTTGTGTTGGTTGAGGGATATCCTCGTGAAGTGCCGAGGCCATTTCAATGAATCCCTCGTCGTGCTTACGTCGACGTGGAAGGATTTCCCCTGGATTGTTGAGAGATGGTTGCTGAGGAAAGACAGCGTAGTATCGAAAATGCATTCATACAGGTCATGAATCTTTGAACTCTTCACATCTCCAGAGCCCACCCCTCAAGCCTTCTTGCCCGTGAATACGCTCAACCCCAAGCCACCCTTATAAGGAAGCACAACATTGCTATACCCATTCTCCGGGTCATTCATATACGCAAACAACTCCTGATAGCCCTTCTTCCCCGCCGAGGATGTGACGTTGTCGGTGATGATGGTGGTGCCGGTCTTGAAGTGTGGTTCGAGGATCGTAAGCGTGGGTAGGGCCATGTCTACCCAGACTATCATTGCTTTGTCAGCATTACTTTCGCGTAGCAGTGGAAGAAAGGAAAGACGTACTGTCAAGTAGCAAGACATCCACCCCCTCGGATGGTATCCCCTGCTTCAAAGTTTCCCTCAAATCACCCTCTCTCAGGTCTATGACGCCCTCCACATCAGGGCCTGCCTCGCGCCAATACGCGCGGGCTTGGGAAGCCTTGGTGGGTTCATTCTCCGTCGCTATTACCGTGGGCGAGATTGATGGGGTGTCGCGTTGGTTATTGAGGACTGCGAGAGCGAGGTAGATCGTACTGACTCCAAAACTCGTTCCAGCCTATTTCCACCATCAGCCACTACCTTGCAAGAAAGACAGGCGGTACGAGTACTCACTTCGACGACGACGCTAGCATTCTTTGCCCTCAAAAGCTGGTATACGAACCAACACTTGTCTTCATCCAAGGCTATGAACTTGTCTTGCATGAGAGCGTCGAAAAAGTCAGCCCTGTAGGGACCGAAGGAAGCACGGGAAAGTTGAGATTCTTGTTCGAGAGAGAGGGCGTGGAGGGAAGATAGCAGAGGGGCGATGTGGGCTTGGGAGGGGGTGTATGTGATGGGGTTTTCGGAGAGCGACATCTTGTTGCAGTTTGTAATGGACAAGTGTTTGGATTGTACAACTACTTTTATACTACAGCAATATAGATTGAGTAGAAACAGCTCAGTCAAATTCGAGTCACAAGCGCGAGCACGACTCGGCATCCAAGACGGAAGCCCGAAGGCGAATTTAGCGGAGAGGCAGTCCATGTCCGTCTTGGTCAAGTTGAACGAGAAACTCGGAAAACATCCTGCCACAGTCCCACCATCTCCGTGGCGCGCTGCAACTTTCCGGCCCAGCGAGCATGAATCCAGAGCACTCTAGAGCATTCCCTCAAAGAAAGGATCACTTACAGATAAGCTCTTTGGTAAGATCTAGAACGGCCAGATATAGCTCACCACGCAGCAGCTGACTACAGATGTAACCTTCCTTTTACTGGTGACTTTACGTGATTCAAAGGATCCAAACCTCTTTTGTCTACTCTCCTGGTCCCAGAGTTTGTCATGCACTACACCGAGGTGATTACAAAGTACTGAAGTGAGATCTATCGGCCGACGCCCAACAAGACCTTTCTTAAACAAGACAAACAAGCCACAAGCCACCAATCTTTCAAGATGTCTTCCTCAGCAGACCACGAAAAGGCCAAAAAAGCCGCCGCCGAAAAAGAAAAAGAGAAGAAGGAAAAGAAGAAAGCCGAAGAAGAACTCAAAGCCGCACGCAAAAAGTACATGGACAAGGCGAACCCCAAGACGGTAGACCAGTTGTTGGGTGAGAAGGATTTGGAGAAGGATTATTTCAAGGAAGGGGAGTGGAGGCCGAGTTGGGCGTATGTTGAGTTTGTAAGTCCACAGCGAGATGAAGGGGGTGTTCGGCATGGAGAGGTGAGAAGCTGATGTGGTGGTGGTAGAATGGGGATGCCTGCTTGGCGGATGTGTTGGAGAAGAAAGTAGAAGGGTTCTATGTCCCGGCAGGGACGATGCTCCCCCTGGGCGCACAAATGTTCGAGATGACTGTCGTGAAATACGGAGGATACTTTCCGGAAGGGACGTCGTTCCCCGGCGGGGTGATGGTGCCGATGCATGCTCGTATGGTCAATGTAAGTTTTCTTTCGCGCTGGGATGGCCCTAGAAGCTGATGTAAAGCAGTTGTTACCAAAAGAGACGAAAAAGGGCGCTGCAAAGATGGAAGAATCGCTATGCCTCGTTCAGTAACCCCCCGCACATACTGTAGATACCCATGCAAAATGCATAATTGTAATGCTTCTATCCCATTCCCTCCTTCTACGCCTTGATCTCCTCAACATAACTCCCCCTCTCATCAATATCCAACACCTTCCAATCAACCTTTACATTCTCCGCCCCAAAGATGCTCTCAATCTCTTGCGCGATGGCGTCAAAGTTGTGGGTGGCGAGTGCGAGGATGGTGGGGCCGGCGCCTGAGAGGCAGATACCGAGGAGGCCGGGGTGGGATGTGGGGGTGAGGGTGGACAGGATTTTGGGAAGGCCGGGGATCTGCCAGAGAGTCAACGGATGAACTGGTTGGAGGGGAAGGGGAAGGGGACGTACGAGGTTCATGCGGTAGGGTTGGTGTACACGGTCGCCCATGGCATCGTAGATAAGATCAGGATCAGGCGGTGAACGCGCCAAAGCAGTCGTAAGAACCGCCAACCGTTGCAAGTTGAAGATCTAACCCCCATCAGCTCTTTCCATACCAGCTTTGAGCTGGGAAAGGACTCACCAAATCCTTCTTGGAATACGATTCCGGCAACACACCCCTCGCCTTGGCCGTCGCCAGCTCAAACCTCGGGCTCACAGCAATCGCCTTGATCTCCTTTGCCCACCCAAACCGCACATAGTGCCCAATACCATTCGGCGGTTGAGGCGGGTTCTTGCCCCATTGAGGTCCCGCATCCGGCGGGAACTCTGGCAGTACTTCTGCCAGCGGAATCGAAGCCGCCGACATGTCTTCCGGCGACAGTTCACGAAGGTACGACCCGACAAACCCACCGACGAGGGCAGCTGTGACGTTATCGGGATGACGCTCGACCATGAGCGCAAAGTCGAGTAATCTCGCTTTGGGCAGATTCAACTCGCCCAGCAAGTCGCCGAGGAGGACACCGGCGATGACGGCAGCGCCGGAAGACCCGAGTCCACGGCCAAAGGGGATCTCGTTGTGCGCTTCGATAGTGACACCAGGGGGGAAGGCCGACTTCCCATTCGCCCTAAGCACATAGAGGGCGACACGGGTCAAGAGGTTTTTGAAAGGAGAAAGAGGGACGTTCTCAGAGTCGAGGCCGGTGTAGACGATTTTGGGTAACGGCTCGAGCTCGGAAGAAGGCGCGGGGATGGTGACGACAAGCGAAAGAGAGCGCGAGAGGGCGATGCCGCAGACGTCGAAACCGGGGCCGATGTTGGCGGAGGTCGCTGGGACGTGGATTTTGTACTTGTGGTCGCTCATGGCTGCTTTTGTGGAGAATTATAGATGCGAAACCAAAAAGATGGAAAGAGTTCGGACTCATGCGCGCAAAAGTGGGCGCCCAGTTAAATAGTGATTACGTACACGCCCATTTGTGCTCTCTCCTCACTCAAAGAATCGCGATTGAAGGTGTCTATGACCTCTGACATTTCAGCCTTCACCCCCAATCCGTCTATACATCGCCCCTGCAGCGACCCCTCTACCCGCCCACACACCAAACGAATACAGATCGAAGCAAAATGGGTGGCCGAAAAGTGATGGTTCAGGTGCCTCTTTTTTGTCTCGACATGTGAGGATTGTTATTGACAAAGATCCGTTTGGTATAGCCCATCAACATTATCTTCTCTCATCTCCAAAAGGTGCGTCCTTTCTACTATCCTCAAGTGACATAATCTGGAATGGCGGGAGCTGACGGAGAGAGTAGCACAACCGCGTATCAGTCTGGCTCTACGACAACAACGAGTTCCGAATCGAAGCCTTCGTCGTTGTACGTCCCCCCTCCTTCACTACCCTCATACGGTCGGGTAGAATTGCAAATCTGACAAGCGTTTGATGGTAGGGTTTTGACGAATTCATGAACCTTGTTTTGGACGATGCGGAAGAAGTGTATGATTGTGGGGCAAAGCCGGGTAAGGAGGTTCAACCGCGGAGAGAACTCGGTATGTCTTTTTCGACCCTTGCAATGAGATATTTTTGGTGCTATTCTGGTTCTGGATGGAGCTCTCAGCGTTGGACCGATATGACCGATGAACTGACGCCATTATAGGTCGTATACTGCTGAAGGGCGACAACATCACTCTGATACAACCAATCACCGCCTAAACACCCTCCATGACTGAGCATGAAGAGAGTCTGTAGATGGAAGATTGGAGAGCAATGAATGGTGTCTGAATGGAAAGAGGGACGGGGATGACTACATGTCTTGGTGGCATGAATCTCGGCATCCAAGATTGAAAGCTCTGATTTCTTCGGGCTGTTTGGATTTGCAGATGGACAGGTTGTGTATGAGGTCTGCATGTAAGCGAGCGTGTGCGATGAGGGAAGCATGGTGGTCAAGGGAGAGAGGCAAGGTCTCGGACGCCCGCGGGATATACGATCACTACTACTGACTCCCACCCCGCCGCTTTCCATACTGACGCCCGGTTCCGGAGAACATGTCCATATCATGCTAAGAAATACAACAATCTTGCAATACAACCATCTCCAACCATCCTCCCACTCTCACAACATCTATCAAGCGCGTGCTCTAACCTTCTTACCCCTCGGCTTTGGCGTAACATCAAACTCATAATTCTCATAATTCGCGCCCTCCCCAGGAAGCAGGATGCGCACCTCAAACCCGTCTGCGCGGCTGATCTCGGGGGGTGTGCGGGGGGAGAGGTGGGGCGGGGAGGGTGAAGTCGATTGGCGTTTGATTGTAGGAGTACGTTCTTTGCGATGTTTGTCATTCAGACGCCTGGCGTTTTCTTCTTCGTCTTCTGGCCCTTGCCCTTCCTCTGCATCTGCACCATCCCCAGTAAACTCTTTTGCCTCCTCACTAGGACTTGAAGGAGCCTCTTGCCAGCGCGTATCAACCTCACTCATAACCCTCACAATCCCCGTCCCACCCCCAACCCACGGCTGTGGAAGCCGACTCTTTGGAGGGGGACGGGCATTGGTGATATGTATCGCTTCGCACGCCACCGGCGGAGGGGGCGCGTATGCCCCAAAGGTCCTTATCTTTTTTTTTTCCATCCCATCAGCTCCCATTCTCACCCCAACCCACATCAAGTGATTTGAAAAGGAGACGCACCTTGCGAACGAGATCGCGGCCATCTTCCAACCACCCCACAACCCCCACCCAATCCCCCCTCCCAAACCTCACCATCTCCCTCCCCACCAATCCCTCCCTCTCTACCTCGCTTTGTGATAAAGCAGAAGAAGGATGGGGTGGTTGGTCGGTGTTGAACACCACCGCTCTGTGCCTCTGCTCTGAGCGCGTTACCAGTGACGTTGTAGGGGGCTGGGAGGGGGAGGGAGCGAGGAGGGGGATGGATATGTTTACGACTATAGTCGGACATTTGCGACAGAGACCTTCGGGTTGGGCGGTTAGGATGATGGTGGCTTTTTTGACGTTGTAATGCAATACCCTGCTTCAGAGTCAGCCTTGGAAAGAAGAGGAGAGCAGGGAAGAGACGTACTGCCCAACCAACCTGACCTTGCGCCCCCGCATTCGCTCATCCACTTTCCAGATAGGACAATACAACGCCGGCGGCACAGGCTTAATCTTGCCATCGCCTATTGCTGGGAGGATGGTGTATTCTACCGTCTCCTGTGGTGTTTCCTTTTCTTTCCTTTTCCCTTTGCCAGTAGTCTTTGATTGGCTTGGATGAGGTGTAGATTGAGTAGGAGTGTGGTGCGGCGAGAAGACACGAGCAGCTTGGGGTTGGGGTGTTTCTGCGAAGGGGAGGGCGAAACCTGGGCGGGTAGGGCCGTCTTGGGGGAGAGCTGGTTGGATACGTATGGATGTAGGGGGCATCCCAGCTGTCTACGACGGAATGGAGAGGAGAATGAGAAAAAGTCCAGTCAACTCGGAAACGCGTCGCGTCGGACGCGCTTGGATCTTGTTTTTCATCTCTTCTCATTTGGAGGGGTGATCTGTTCGGTGGGCCATGAATGCAGTCTCTTGGTATAAAGATACACAGGACTGTGCCACATGAATAGTGTCTATAGTGTAACCCGCTTCCCAAGTACACCTCATGTCACAATGCACATCCATCATCTCTATATACTACTGTACATCTGCCCTCCGGGCGTTCCCTGTGTTCCCGTGTTCCTCTGTACATATACTCTGACAACAATCAACTCTGCCCCACCGGCCTGACCGCCACTACCTCTTCTTCACCAGACTTCTTAGGCGCAGACCCGATCTTGGGAGGAAGCACCAGCACCCGGGTGTTGCGCCGCCAGAATGTGATGAGCGTGGAAGCGAGTGCTGCTGGGTTATCCTACTTTTCCATTTAGCCCCAATCTCTTTCATGCTTTCCCAACATTCTCAAAAACAATGCCCCTCAAACAGAAAAGAAAAAAAAAAGAATAAAAGAAAGACCCACCTCATGCAAATAATGTCCAACCCCCTCCATAACATCCAACTGAAACTTGCCCTGCATTTGCCCCACCATCAACTCCCGGTCCAGGCGCTCTTGGCCGGCGAGGACTAAGAGGCGGGCGGAGGGGAGGGCAAGGAAGCGGGAGGAGAGGGAGGTGTACCAGGAGAGCCAGAAGGGGGAGGTTTGGAGGAGGGGGGTGCGCCATGTTTGGGAGGTGTTGGGTGAAGGGGAGGGGGAGGGGGAGGCAGGGGTGAGGATGGATGGGACGGAGAGACGGGCGGAGGTGGGGTTCCGGATCGAATTGGACGTCACACTATTCACCAACCCCCCTATCAGCCTCCTCCCCATCTCAACCTCTTTGCTTCCGCTGAAACAGAAACAAGACTCACTGCCACCAAATCCCATCCACAACACTCTGAAACCCCCCCGGCCTCTTGCCCAGAATAGACTCCATCATCGGTAAACTCTCCACCGCCGTACCCTCCACCACGTCCAACACGACCGTCCCGGGGACGAGGTAGCCTTTCTGGATGAGGAGGGGGACGGAGGATATGGTGGGGGAGGCGCCCATGGAGTGGCCCATCATCTTGCGGGACACGGGTCAGCTTTGGCAAAAGAGAGGGGAGGAGGGCAAGTACGATGAAAGAGGGCGATTCTTTTGGGTTGGGAAAGATGGTTTCGATAAGAGAGATGAAATCTGAAAGCAAAGTCTCTGCCGAGAGGTCGTTCTCCAGCTCTACCGGTTCCGTCCTCGTCTTACCTACCAACCACCACCCCCATCAGCTCCCTTCCATATCATTGGAGAGAGAGAGAGAGAGAGAAGAACAAACCATGCCCACGACAATCAAAAGCCAGAACCCCCATCTCCCCCCCGCTTACACGTTTCACCTCTTTCGCCAGAGCAGCAAACGAAAGACCGCCGGAACCTCCGCCGTGGTGGCAGATCAAGTAGGTGCCGTGGGGGTTGGTTTGCTGCTGCGTTTGGATTTTGGGCGCTGGGCCCGCTGGGCCTGGACCGAGGTTTGGGCCTGAAGGTGTATTTGAAGAGGTGGTGGTGGAAGGCGGGGTGAGGTAGACGCGGAAAGTACAAGGCGAGCCTGTAGGCTGTACTTCGATAGCCTGATCAAAGTATCCGCTCGCAGAGAGCGGCGAGTAATCCTGCATGTCGGCTTTGTTGGGTCCTCTTGTCTTGCTATCCTCTTCATCAGTTACCGATCTTGATTCTCATCATCTCGAATGGAAGAGAAGAGAAGGAGGGGCGTACGGAGGTTTCATCTGACCAGCAGGCAGTTCCCCGATCCCCTCGCTTTCCTCAGCGAGCTCTTCGACTTCTTCGTCCCCTTCTGCGAGGGGCTCGTCTGCCCATGGTGCGCGGGTTGGGGGCAGGTCGGGGAGGCGGCTGAGGAGGCTTTTGCGGAAGATGTCGGACATTCTCTATCTCTATCCTTGTGCTGGATTTGGAGGTAAGGGTGGAAAGTGGAGGAGAGTGAAGGCGGAGATGGCCGACTGTTATCAGGTGCCTTATGTGTTGCCTGGGGATGGATGAGCGATGGCATTGGCCGATGGGCCGATGGCGCTGTGTCGATGCTGGAGAGTTTCAAAAACGCATCTAGTCGGAGAGAGCTACCATCGTACAAGCATGACCATCTTTCCAGAATTCAAAGCTGATGGATGGAAGACTGAATGAGCTGCCGCTGCGTCGGACGCGTGTTGAACCACGCGTTGTGACGATGTTCTTGACAGTTTACATGGTTTGTTTTGGAGCCCGTGAGCAGGTGATGTATACACCTAGCTGGGATGCCAGGATGTTCTAGAGCTGCACGACAAGATATTAACCCGCTGTCAAGACTGTTCATCGTTGCCATACCCACGCGACGCGTCCCCTTCACCCTCTTCACCACGTCTTCTTATCTCGCTCCTTACCTTCCTGCGTCATCCCATCAGGTCCCTCCTTATCACCCCCTCAAAAATCCCCCTGATTAATACACCTCACCCATCTCAATAATTCGTTCGGCGATACAGCGTGTGGCAGCCGAATTAAATCACTGCAAGTCACGTGACGTTGTTTACATTTCCGGAATGGAGGCTGGCTGTGTTTTGGTGCGGGGTGACCACAGACCGAATCGCCCCCCATCTCCTCTTTCTTTTCTTTTTTTCTCCCCATCCGTCCAGTTTCAAGCTATATCTTTTATTCCTTCTTGTGCGTCCCTTATATCCGTCCGCCTGCCCAGCTAACGCCTCACAGCTACAAGTATATCAATCAGTCAACGCAACAATGGCCCCCGTCAAGAAGACCACCACCACCGCCAAGAAGGTTCCTGCCCACCCTCCCTTCCTTGATATGGTCAAGGTGAGTCACTATCCCATCCTTCTCCACTACTCTGTTCTGCTACTTCTTCGTGCTTGCTCTCGCTCGGATGAGTGCTGGGTAGTGGACCCGCGGTTACTCTCAGGCGCGTGTGGGAACGGCCGGAGGAAATTTGGTTGGGCAGTGTTGAATGACCTTTTGCGGTCTTCTTTCTCAATACATCCTCTGGGAGATCACTCTCTGGGTATCCTTGGGGTCTCTGGTAGACGCTCTGTCGATGCTATGGCTTCTATGGAGGCGAGATCCGTCAAAACAAGGACGGCGTCAGTGGAGCGCGTCGCCCTTCTGCCATTCAACTTGATCCTCTTTCCCATCGTGGGCTCTGATCTCTGGGCCGCGCATCCTCTCACTTCCTCTTGTTATCTTGGCCTACATCCCCTTGGCAACTCGATGCAACAAGCGGATAGAGCTGCCCGGTAAGATGCCTGGACATCGATATCCCGAGCGACGCGCCGCTTTTCCCAGGCCTCACCCATCTCCCCCTCTTTCTTACCCTTCCGTCTCATGTGTACCTTCCTCCATCCTCCTCCTCCCCGCGCTGCTTGTCCTCTACGTCCAGTATGCCTGTTTCATTCTTCAGGAGAGGTTTCACAGCGGATGGCTTGGTGGGTCGCGGGGATGCGGCTCTTTTGCCTCCCGCGCTGGAACACAGAGTATATCCTCCTTTGCTTCATCACTCCACCACTATGGGATTTTGGTGCTCAAATCTTTCCATACGAGCTGTATACCATCCCACCTCTCCTCCCATGTTGTTTACACCCCTTCCCCGTTCCGTTGTTTTGTCACCATCGCCACCGCCCAAATCTCCTTTTCTGGCCATTTCCCCTTCTCATCACATAAACCTCCTATGAACGTTTGCTGAAGCTTCTTACTAGGCTGCTATCCTCGCGCATAAGGAAGAAGCTCGTAAGGGTATTTCTAGAGCTACTATCAAAAAGTACGTCTCCTCTCCTCGTCCCTCCTCTCTTCCCTCTATCTTCCTCCCTCCCTCCTTACCCCTCCCTTAGACTAAACGAGCTGACAACGGAGCAGGTACCTCGAAGAGAAATACAAACTCGACCTCTCCCTCCCCGCCAACGGTACCAACCTCACCTCGGCCATCCGCCGGGGCGTCTCGAATGAGGTTTTGGAGTTGCCTTCGGGGCCTTCGGGGAAGGTCAAGCTTGCGCCTGTACGTTCCCTTCTTTCCCTCCCCTCTGTCTGTTTGTTTGGGAATGAGGTTTGGAAAGGGAAGAGCTGATAAGTTGGATGAAAGGCTGCAAAGGCCGCGGCTGTGAAGGAGGCCAAGCCCGCCGCTCCCAAGAAGGAGAAGGCTCCCGCCGCCAAGACGACTGCTACCAAGAAGCCCGCTGCCACCAAGCCCGCCGCGAAGAAGACTGCTACCAAGACTACGACCACCAAGTCCAAGACTACCGCCACCAAGGCTACTACCAAGGCTGCGCCCAAGAAGACTACCACCACCAAGGCTGCTACCGCTACCAAGGCTAAGGCTGCCTCCAAGCCTAAGGCTACCACTACTACCAAGGCTACTACCACCAAGAAGCCTGCCGCTAAGAAGACTACTGCGGCGGCCAAGAAGCCTGCTGCGAAGAAGACTGCTTCGGGGACTAAGAAGGTTCCTGCTGGTACGTTCCTCCCCCGTCTCTTGTCGTGTTTTGGAAAAGAAAAGAAAGGGAAGGAAGCTGATGATGTTTGATAGCCAAAGCTGCCGCTGCGAAGCCCAAGGCCAAGGCTGCGAAGCCCAAGGCTAAGGCTGCTCCCAAGAAGGCTTAAACGACCTTCTCTTTCTCCTTCATTCTTCTGTCGTTCTTCGTTCTTCATTAGGCGTGAGGTTGGAAGAAGTTTTGATTTCGTTCCTTTCTTTTGGTACATGGGTTACCTCTTTGCCCCTGTTGGTGTATTGACGGGTGTAATTTGTATTTGACCTCTTCGTACCCATTTGTTTTCTAATTTCCGTATAACCTTCGACCTTCGTTTTCGATCTGCCTTTCTATTGATTTTTCTAGAATCTGAAACTCCTGGACTTTTATGCATTGTTCCAGTGATCCCCAATAATCCCCATTTCACTTGTGATCAGATCCGAACTGCTTATCCAGCGCTACAACGACCCCAACAACAACACCAGCATCGTGCGATAACGTCGCCATCAACCTCCACCTCTCTCCACCTCCTCCTCCGAGCCCTGGTAGTTGCACAATGTCTAAAGAAGGCTGGCCGGAGGGAGAGTGGGCTAGGTGGAATGATTTCCAAGAGGGTGGGCGGGGGAGGAGGGGGGTGAGGGATTTGTAGGCTGCTTCTTTGATACACCAGCTGCTCTGTCTGTTAGTACGGCAAGGCCCATTCGTTGAACCCTAAAGACGTACCGGGATGATAGGAATCTGACTTGTTTTTGTATCAGGTCTTCATCCTCCTTCTCCTCCCCGGCTTTGCTCTTCTCCAAAGAACCCAAAGAATAACCCAGAGAAGGAGAAGAGGACGACCCACTAATCTTGACGAACCGCTCCATCTCACCACTCGTCAAGATCCGCCGAGCCACCTTGCCCGTCCCCCGCCGCCGGACGAACTGGGTGAAGCGGGGGAGCGAGAGGATGTCTATGCCTATGCCGGATATCATCCCTCTCTTTGATCTTTGGGTGCTTGGGGGAAGAGGGAGAGACGCGACGCGACTTGACTTTATGCGACTGGGAGAAATATTTCAGGTTTCTAATGTTCTGCGCGATTTGGCGCGTTTGCGCGTATCTCCTCTTTCATTTCCTTGTGTCTTCACTCTTCACGCGTCTCACGATACAATATGGACGACGAGCATAACGCATAGTAAGCTACACACTGTATATTGTAAAGGCGTACCATTGACGCGTGTAGCGAAATCGAAAGGCAAAAGACGATCGCAGAGAACCGCGCCCTCCTCGACTCCCTAGGCCTCGACCCCTCCTCCCGCTCCCCCTTCCCCTCCTCCTCCCCCGCCCCTACCTCCCACCCAAACAAATCCAAACCCGCCAAACCCGCCGCCGCAAAGAAACGCAAAGCCCCCGACAGCGCCCCAGCCGACGACGACGGCCCAAGGCGGAGGAGCGGCCGTTTGAGGGGGATGGAGGCGGATGGTGAGGAGATGAAGGTGAAGCTTGAGGAGGAGGAGAGGGAGAGGGAGGTTTTGAGGGTTGTTAATAGGAGGGAGAGGGAGCAGGTTATGGGGGTTGGGAGTATGGTGGAAGAGGGGACGGAGGGGGAGGTTAAGGAGCTGGTATGTGGGTCGTATATGATGGGGGCTGAGCTGACTGTGGTGTAGGAGAGTTTTTTGAAGGATAAGTCTGCTCTTGAGAATCCGAGACCATATCCATCGGGGAAAGAATCCGACTCAGACGCCTATGCCGACTCCAGTACTACGTCTGATGACACCCAACGTCTCCGCGAGGCATTCAGCGATATGAGTCTCAAGGCGAACGTCAAGGTCACAAACGAGCGCGTATTTAGCATGTGTGTGCACCCCGAAAAGAGAAAGACGATCGTCTTTGTAGGCGACAAGTACGGTGGTTTAGGGATGTAAGTGATCTGGTAGCTTTGGAGGCGAGAGCTGATGGTGGTATAGTTGGGATGCTCTGGGACCGGCGGCGGCGAAAGCTGAGAATGACGACGATACGAATGGTGTCAAGGATGAGGAGGAAAGTCAGGAAGGACGGGTCTGGAGGATCCAGGCGCATGCGAAGAATTCGATCTCGTGCATGAAGGTTGACCCCGTCAACGGTTCAGGTGTATGTCTCTCCATCCGCATTCTCTTTCCTCGCTGACTACAGGCGTAGCTCTTTACATCAGCATACGACTGCTCCCTCCGCCATCTCGACTTTTCCACCCTCCAATCCACCGAACTCTTCCGTCTCCCCGACGAAGACCTGCTCATCAACCACTTCGACCTCGTCCCCTCCGGCCAAGAAGCATGGATGGTGGACAAGAACGGCGGTTTGAGCCACTGCGATTTCCGGCAGAAGCATAATCAGAGTGGGAGGAAGAGGTGGGTTTTGCAAGATGAAGGCCGAGGGGCAAAGCTGGGAGGTGTTAGTGTCAATCGTGAGTCGTTTGCTAGTTTGAAATGAGAGGCGGAGCTGATGGGAGGATAGCTGCGATGCCGCATTTGATCTGTACGGCGGGGAATGATCAACATGTTCGCATATGGGATACTCGTCTTTTGGCCGATATCCCCTTCGCGGCCACTACGATTGATGAATCCAAGCCGCCGACGCCGCCTCCATCTGCCCTACTTCGAACAGAGCCCGTGGGAGTATCAGACTATGACGCCGTGTCCACATTCATGGGTACGAAGCCTGGGAAGGGGTTGATGCGGGGCAAGTGGCAGCATGGCAAGAGCTGTAGCAGTGCCTATTGGGATCCGTGGGGCCGACGTCTTTTGACGACGAGTTACGACGACACCCTCAGACGTAAGTCCCTCCCTCCAACTGTAACCATTGCTGACATCAGCACAGTCTTCAACCTCTCCCCCTCCACCCTCTCCTCCCCAACCCCAATCCCCTCCTCCCTCCTGAAACCCACCAAATCCATCCGCCACAACTGCCAAACCGGCCGCTGGCTCACCATCCTCCGCGCCCAATGGTCCACCTCTCTCTCCGCCCCCCCGCACTTTACAGTCGGCAACATGAAGCGCACTTTAGACGTCGTCAGCGGGGTGAGCGGGGAGCGGGTGGTGGCGCTGTGGGCGGAGGGGGTTACCGCGGTGCCGAGTGTGACGGCGAGTCATCCGGGGGTGGTGGATCGGGTTGTGGGGGGGAATACGAGTGGTAGGGTGCAGCTTTGGAGTAGTGGGGATGGTATTTATGAGCAATGAGGGGTGGAGTGTGTTGGGACTTTTTTTTTTTTGCGTTTTCTTGCATTTTTGAATACCTGGGCTGTCGTTGGTTGAGCTGAATGTATATTTGCAATCTGATTTCAGGATGATGCAAGATGGACTGGCTGGGGCTTGCTCCTGTCGTCTGCGGGAAATTAATGTACGCAGCGAGCTTACTTGCTCTACATTTACCCGTTTTCTGGCGCTGATGTTCTTCTGATACTGCTTCCTAAGCATCACTAGTGGCGCATCTCTCAAAGCCATGAGTCTAGTCAGGGCTTCATAGCCGTTGCTGCCCTCACCCGGCATAGAATATAGCCATCGTTGACAAAATGTGTATCAATCAACTTGCAGCAGCGGTCAGTGCGCCGAAAGAACAACGAGCAAGTGGGAAAGTGCTCCTGGATTGCTGGGATGCTGCATCTGGCTTCTAGGTCATCAAGCATGGTCCCATGACTGAAGTATCCTTGCTCGCTCTTGACAGTCTCGGAACCCCCAGCAGTCTGTCTCGCATGATTATTCCTGTCGAGCGGGACTATTATGAGCATGGCCTCCTGTCTACTCGGGGCACTCATGCAAATCACGAGTCAAAATACAGTTCTCTCAGAGCTCAAACAGGAGAAGGATATAATGTTTGGAGCCCTCAACGGAGAGTAGTCCCAGATAGCTACAAATGTCATTGAACACCAGCCAGCCTCCTTTCGCCGAGAATGGCCCATCAAGCCTGACTTTGTCGCTCCTCTGTTGACATTTAGCAGCTCCTTTGATTATTGTGAAGTAACGATGTTCTCTTACTTCTGGTTCTGATTAATCCTGGAGCATCAAAGGACATCGCATTTTGAAAGGATGATTGTGTAGTGGGTTAGGCTGTCCCCAGAAGTCCCAGAGGAACTCGATAGGAGAAAGTCAACCGAATACGATGTTTCGAGTGCGCTCGGTTGTTGGAGGCTTGCGATTAGTTCGTAAGGTCTGTGATAAGATATGCGTATACGGTGTAGCAGAGGTAGGCTCAACGTAGGTAGCAGCAGGATAAGTAAAGATAAAGAAGATGGGGAAGAGAATTCCCCCAAGCCTCGGTCTTATATGCATTGGGAGCTATAAATGAGGAACGAGAGAAAACTAGGGACAGAGGTACGGAAAGCGTCTATTGGGGCATATGGCCCTGATAGACCATGAGGACGGGCTCTCGGCGTTACAAGGTGTGGCAGCTATGGAGTGTGGCGGCAGGCGCGCTACAGATTGAGAGGGGAGATATAGTATAAAGCCGACCGGACTGAGGCGTACTCTGAGCTTGTCTACCAAGCAACCCTCATCCCTCCCCACAGCACTTTAAACCCAGTCACAACACATATAACACCTGACATTACTTTACATATACAATGTCTGAAGCTTACCAAGAACGATCAGCTAGCAGTGGCCCATCTGGCACCCAGGCCGGCACTTCGGCTGATGAGAGCAGGAGCGGCTCGCCCACTGACACAGGGCCTGCCCCCACCAAGATTTGGACACGATACCGCTATCAGATCGATGATACTTTCTTCTGCCCCGGAGATGCAGCAACCTACAGTCCGGAGGACGTGCGCAAAGAACTTGCAGAGTACGTCCCGCGATATCTTCTCACATTGCAGCGTGTATAGCTCATTTGTCCCACAATAGACAGTCAGGTGCACCTCTCGAATCCATCACTGTCACTCTTCTCTCGGAGTACAAAGCCAATGACGAGAACTCCCAGTGGGACGCTAGCTACTACAACGGTGCAGAGCCTCGGGGCAGGACATGTCTGTCCTCTGAACCCTTTACTGCCAATGCAAGCGTCCCCGATGAACTGTAAGTTGTCAATGCTCCGGGAAGTCGGAGCTGGCTTATGATGATACCCACAGTGTAAAGGGAATTGAGGAAGAGAAGGAGGATATAGAAGCGGCCAAGCAACTTGCAGGAGGTCTGAACACCCTGTTGGGCTCTATTAATCGCCTGACTGAATACCGCTCTTCGATGGAGGGTGATCAGAAGTCAGATAACAGCCACAATAATGATCTATAAACCTGTCATTCAAGCTAACAAGAGTATCGCATCGGATACACGAAATGATGGTCACTTCACAGTGGTGGCCACTGAGCCTGGGTGATAAGTGGAGAATAGGAATTAAGGTCACGCTGTTAAAGAATGAATCATGTCCTGCCCTTACTACTACTTAATACGAAGCGAGGCAGTACTTGCCTATCCAGGCCATCTCCCGTAATGACCTGTATGACTGACATGTTAATGACGGTGATGTTGTCGCTTCGCCTCAACGTCCTGGCCCCAACAATTCATTCAAATAGTTTTGGTTTAGTACGGACACCGGTCACTGGTCAGCTATGAAACGATCGTGCATGCTGTATGAATGCCATACAGAGTCACGCAAGATGACCACAATATACCCTTGCTTACTGATTATTTCACTGTCTTTCCTTTGACATTGTACGATATCTGGCAGTGAGCGCCTCCCTTTGATGCTTGTGAAACGCGTCTCGCGTCATCCGCCATGATTCCCATACACATGAACGAGGTGCGAAGATCCCATGAGAAATTTCCAACATAGCGGAGCCCTGAGCGGCTGCAGAGGTCACGAGCTGCTGCGTCAGGTTGCCCTCGAACAATAGATTTAGTAAGTCTGGAGAAAGATCGCAGAAAGACGACGGCTCCAGCCGTACTCTACGTTTCCGATCACTAGCGCATCCACTCGAGACGGGCAGTCTTGGGAACGGTAGTATAAAGAAACGAATTCTGCTACTGCGAACTTTTCATTCCACTTGTTGCCAATCAAAGACACTTTATCATCACTCTAGAGAGTTGCGACATAGATACAATGACGGAGTCACGACATCCATCAGCTGCTAGTGTTCGTTCTGGCTCCCAGGCTCCCTCGTCGGCCGGAGACAGGGACTTTCCCATGTCAATATCATCCCTCCCCAAGAACTGGACAAGGTACCGTGTCCAAATCGATGATGAGCCCGTATTCTGCCCTGGAGATGCAGAACGATACACCCCGGAATTTGTACGACAGAAGATAGCTAGGTACGTTTGCCCCTGAAACGCTTATATGGTGATAGAGCGAGAAGCACCGCTGACACGATCATCATCCCTTGGTCAAAAGGTCAATGGGGCTTCCTGAAGACAATGTTACTATTACTCTTCTGTCTGAGTATTCTGCCAACGACGAAGAATCTCGTTGGGAAGCCAGCTATCATAACGGAGCTGAGCCACGAGGGACAACTCGGATGTCTTCCAATCCCTCAGATGCCAACGCGAGCGTTCCCAATGAACTGTGAGTTCTTGTCACTCTTGGAAATATCTCACAGTGCTATCGTCTGACGATGATTCAAGTGTGGAGGAGATTGTAGCAGAGGAGAGGGTCTTGCGAGTGGAACAGAATAGGGAGAGAATGTATATGGCAATGCGAGAGAGGGAGCTGTTGGAGCGTGAGATGTTCGATAGGGAGTTTACTGCACGCGATGGGCGGCGATGGTGAACTTTCACATTGTACTCGTGATGAGGAGGGTTTTTGGGATAGAGTACATTGGCCATAGACGCTGAAGCACTGCATAACCAAATTGAACCAGCGAGTGCGAGAGGATTGGATAAACATGCCGATAAGCGTCCAGCTGACATGAGCCTCGTTTCTGATGCAATCCATTTATGTGGCGCAGAAAGCTAACAGAAAAAGCCTGTCAATGTGGCTAGCCTTGATTGCGATGATCGCTTCATCATGCAGCATTCTGATAACGCCAAATCCATGCAACCTAGGATGATTTTGCTGAATGTGGCTGACGATATACCCCCCCACCCCGTTCCTAAACGCCACACTGGCGAACGCCGGACCGCCGTGGGGCGCGACAGGCAGTGTCTTGTTGTTTTGAGGTGACGATTCTTTCTATTTCTTTTTATCCCATATAGAACATGTCTCAGTGCTCACCAAGAACGTCGGTCCAGAAATCATCGCCCTACAACGCCAACTCCAGCTCGGCAGCTACGCCCAAGACGAACTACACGACGAGAATGAACGGCTGCGTGCGAGATATGAGGAACTTCAGCAGGTCTTGGCAGGCTTAGAGCAGGCGAAGGAGAGAGGGGGGGGAAGGGGAATCAAGACGGGATATGGGAGGGAAAGTGGAAGAAGCTCAAGAGGGGTTTGCAGGAGGTGAGAGGTGATTGTCAGGACGTAGACTGAGGACATGTGCTGATGAGGAGAAAGATGGCGAAGCTGGAAAGGTCCCGCGTAGCCACCAGCTGCAGGGAGATCTTGATGTGAACTGGACAATACATACATAAGGTATCCTGGGAGAGTGGAAAGTATACGAAATCTTCCGTGGGATATTCGGCAAGTGATCCTCAGTGTACTGAAGCTGATTGTTCCCGCAAACATTGGTCAAAGTGAGTGCCATTGCCAACGCCTTCGTCCTCTTGGGATCTATGGTGACAATGTTGTTGACCATTTTATACTTTTGCAGACAATTGAGAATCCCAGAAGATGATGTAGAGGTTAAGCTCTTGTCAGAATATACCGTGACTTTGTAAACAATAAGTGAAAATCCACCTACCACGACGACTGGAGGATCATTTCCAGCAGACCCCTGGTGAACAAGAGCTTGTTTCGCTTTGTGTATGTGACAATGATGATTGCATGGAGAAGAATGTTCCAGTGGAGCTGTAAATCTGCGTCTACTCCTCCGTGGCTGGTTACTTATAGGTGTCGTTTCATCGATGATGTGTAGGATTAAAGTACTCATCAATCCAGACGAAGAGTAGACATCAGAAAGCTTGTATACACAGGCACAGTAAATGCATACGCGTTGAACCGTGTTTTTCGAAGTTGCTGCAGTGGTCGTAGGCGTCGAAAGACAGATAGGTGTGAGCGCTGAGAAAGTCTAACATATGCATGAGATCCAGCGGCATGTCTAGATTGATCTAGCAGATGGACTGAACGTCGATACTCTTTTCTCCTTCCTTCCTCTCAGCCACACCCTTCTCCGTCACTACAGCGCCTACGGCCCCAGTCAGCACCTTGCTCTTCCTCAACAAAAGTTGCATCAGACTTACTGATAAGCTCGGCAGGAGTAACGTCAAACGAGGGGTTGTACACCCTCTGCCACGGCTTGTCGCCCTCTCCAACGCCGGGAGGAGTAATGCGGACGACGGAAAGCTTGCCGGTTTCGGTGTTGAGGCCGCGGACTTGGGTGGCTTCGACAGCGGGACGGTGTTCGATGTGGATCCTATGTAAAGGCATCAGCAGGTAACAAGAGGAGAGGAATGGGACGTACTCGGCACCGGTTTGGAGGGACAAGTCGATGGTGGTGACGGGGGCGGCGACGATGAAGGGCACGTTATGTCTTTGGGCGAGGACGGCTGCTTGATAAGTTCCGATCTAGAACCCGTCAGTGTCAAATGGCGTGCTGGCAACGAACGAGCTCAACGCACCTTGTTGGCAGTATCACCGTTCTTGACGACGCGGTCCGCACCCACAATAACACCGTCGATATCCTCGTGCTGCATGAGGGATCCGAGCATGGTGTCGCAGACCATACAGGCAGGGATTTGGAGGGTGGTCAATTCGAGAGAGGTGAGTCGGGAGCCTTGGTGGTAAGGAGTAGTTTGGGCGTAGTAGGCAGTGTCGAGCTGGTCGGTCTGGAAGAGGGAGGTGATGACACCAATGGCCGTACCGTAGCCCTGCTTTGTGTAAGTATAGCGAGAAGCAATCAGGGAAGCAACTCACAGAAGTGGCCAGACTACCAGTGTTACAGACGGTGATGACCTTCAAACCCTTCTTGCCCGCTCCTCTCTTCTTCCACAGCCACTCAGCACCTAATCTTCCCATCTCCATATTTCTCTCCAAATCCTCGTCATGCACATCTCCGCAGACCTTCTTGACCTGCTCAACGATCTCTCCGGCAGACAATTTCTTGGCCTCGGCGTCCTTCAGGACAGCTCGGATACGGTCCATAGCCTCGCCCAAGTTGACAGCGGTGGGTCTAGAAGACTGGAGGTAGTCGATAGTCTTGTTGACCCAAGCAATAGTATCGGAAGAGGAGCTGGAGGAGGAGACGGGGGAAGAAGAAGAAGCGATGTAAGACCGGAGGGTGAGAGCGGCGAGGGAAGCGATGGCTGGTGCGCCTCGGATGCGCATGGTTTTGATGGCATCGAAAGCCTCTTCAGGAGTAGAGACAGGAAGCCATTCAACAGAGTGTCTGCATGGAGCGGTTAGCTGCATGTAGTCTCGTTTAAGCTGAGGAACTCACGGGAGAAGGAGCTGGTCGACGATCTCGACCTGGCCAGACTGGACGATTTTCAGTGAGGTCATCATGTCGGGCAGAGACTTTTTGCTAGGAGCGGAGGTGGACGTCATGGTGCAGTTTGTGGGGCAGAAAGAGATGGATAATGATCAGTGGGATGATATTTTGTCCAACTTTTGTCCCTACTTACGACTTTTCGTTCACAACAAAGACGCAATCTGGGATCAGGAACGAGGCACGTTTGTGTCGCCGTCAGCTGGGTCGCGGGGGGCTTTAGGTTGGTGACATTGTCCATGCATAGTCCTCCGTGTTAGCGAGAAGAAAAGGGAAATAGAAGCAAGAGTCAATAGTGTCCATCAAACAGTCTGGATTCGAAGCTCGACCACAGGATTTATGTCTGCCACTCAGGCAAGCCGACTGGATGTGTTCGGCTCGTCGTTCAACTATGAGTACATCGATCATTGAGTATCTTCGCAAGCTCAGTCTCGCACGACGGATCAGATATGAACAGTCGCAAATGCATTTTCGGGGACTAACTCCAGATGATCAACTATCCGAACCCTGATCAATTGCCCCCGCCGTTATTCCCTCCACCGTTGTTTGGCCCCAGCATCGCGTCAAGCTGACCCATGATATCACCGGCAATCTCTTGCTGCTGGCCGTTCCACCCAGGGCTAGTGGGAGAAGGCACCTGGGAAGATGCACCGGTTTGGTCAGTTCTAGGGCTCCACAAAGCAGATCCAGTGGAGCCTTGGGTTGTAGCAGAGCGAGGCGAAGTGACGTAGGGAGAAGTGGGGCTTCGGGAAGACTGGGCCTGAGAAGGGCTGAGGGAGCTTTGGGTCCGGGAGGATTGCTGAGTGTTGTTCTCGTTGTTGCTGGGAGTGCTCATGATGTTATGTTGTTTGTATGTTGATGAGATTGTAGATGCGGCACGATCATGGCAGAAAAGTACCACTTATATACCCTGAAACTTCTTTCTCACTGCTGACGTTCATGAGTACAGATACACAGCGCAAAGGAACATGAGAGCAGGGATCGGGTCTCAAACTGGCAATGGAGGATCGACAATGGGACATTGATCATAGTGGCGGTTGGTGCATCTCCCATGCGAATGTGAGCAATGTCCGACAACTCAAGGAGGTCATGGCTGCATGCCCAAGACACCTTTCTCGGTCATGTCTCAGCAGTATATCGCTGTTCACAACTGCTCTCCGGCGGAAAGAGGCCATGACGGCCAAAAAGACAGTGTGGCATGTTGAGAAAGGATGGCTCTTTTGGCAAGACACTACTCCTCCTGAGTCCACGCTGAATTGGAGCGATACCTGCCTCTGTGAATGATGATGATCTGGTCCTCTGAGTTCATTTTGATTCGGGATCGTATGGGAGTCGGAAAAGTATCCTTGCATAGGCGACTCGACGATTGCGCCGAAGCGAATCAGTCGTCAGTCTCGCTCCTGATGTCTTCGGTACAGATGGCTAGTATGTTTTGTAGTGTTGACTCACTTGAACGCTCACTTGCATAGATTACTGCATACATTATCAGCTCGGCTCAGTCGTAAGCTACATGTTCGTCGGACCATCATGGTTGACCGGACACAACGCGACATAATGACGGCTGTAACGCTTGTACTACCTGCACTCCTCTCGTACACACGACTCATGTATCAGGCTTTTCATAACGTGGTACCATTATGCATGTGTGTTCTACCTTGCTCTAGTATAGAAGGGGCTCTCTCGATGACAATGATCACATGAGTCTAAGCATTGTTGTTGTTTTGATTGCCATCGTTAGTCGGACTGGCTTCGGCTCCAATATCAAACTCGTCATTCCACCATCCATCTCCTGCCATATCGCCACCAGACCACGGGGTACCTGGTGTTGTGGCTTTTGTCCCCCGAGAAGATGCTGGGCTGAACAGCGAGCTCCTGGGAGGATTGGTGGAACGCGTTGTGCGTGCGGATGCAGGAGATTTCGTCGATGAGCTTTTTCTCCTGGAGGAGGAAGCCGGGACTGTGATTTTTGGAGGGATGTTGGTTTGGCTTCTAGAAGATGACTGGTAACCACTGCTGCTAGCCTGACCCTGCTGCTGCTGCTCATCGCCTCTAGTGTTGCTGCGATAATAAGCCTCGTCGACACCGTCACCGTAGTAATTCTGTTGAGAAGAGCCTTCTCCTGTGCTGTTTTGATAGCCACTGCACATTTCTGTCGTGTTGGTGTATACGATGAAAGATGGGGAGTGAGAGAGAGTTGCAAACACAACTCATGAAAGAATGGTCTTTTTAAGCCATGGCGCTAGTCTTTGCAGCTATCGTCTGCTTGTTCGCTTTGGGAAACCGTCCGAGATCATGAGATCGTTTCTCATCATGCAGTAGGCGACGACGAAGTCCGACATTGTGAGGGAGGTGTACACCTCGTACTTCTCACGCCGCTCTGGCATCCTTTCTTGCCGGGCCTAGAGCTCCATTTGCTTTCACATTCTCACTCCCTTGAGTCACAAAAGGTGAAGATGGTGGTGGTGCCCAGATAGCGGAGCGCACGTAGTTCTACTAGTCAAGATTAACAGGAATGTAAATACAGAGCGGCGGCGAATGCATTTCTATACTATCACACAAGCGCATTCGATTCATTTCAATCCCTCCTTCAAGACCACTGTTCTCCATAACTGGCGCTTTGCCCGTCAGAAACGAGAGTACGAACCATTTCTCGCAGATCTTTGCCTCCTTCGAAGTCTAAATCAGGCAGACTTTCTCTTTGTCCTGTCACAATCGCGATCTCTTGCACAAGCCACGGAGCACTTTAGTGAAGTCAGCGTCTGACAGTATGTATACGAGATTATACCATGTGACCTACAGCTCTGACGGGACACTTCCGTTGCAGCATGTACGACCTGTGCAGAGGCAATTGCCGGGACAGAGATCAGTCATTCCTTGTGGCTGCTCTCCATTAAAATATGTGGCCTCCCATCTACCTTGTTGGGTATCTGCACGGTATTCCGAGAGAAGCGTCAAGCTGATATCAGACTCAGGACTGCCCAGTGACCTATGTGGTGTTTGTCAGAATCAGCCACAGCCGGCGTTATGCGGGATTCGTAATTAAAATCAATACACACGTTATTCTGCGCGTCGATAGCTTCTTCTCTTTCTTTGTCACTCTTTAACTGCATCGTTGGCCGTAGCAAGTGTTTGGGTTAGTGCTTAGGAATCCTCAGGTATGCACTCTTTAACTGCATCGTTGGCCGTAGCAAGTGTTTGGGTTAGTGCTTAGGAATCCTCAGACTCCCACAGTGTTGCCGTTCAGCAGCTATCCTTTGACCCCCACACAGTTCCCTTCTTCTATTTATGAGAAGACTTACTCGGCAAGGCTTTGCTTGATTTCATCCAGGTCAATATCCTCGGGATGTGCAGTGAATAACGGTGAGATCTGTCCGTGCTCCTCTGACTGCATATGGATCTGTCTCCAGTAGTCGCTCACAATAAGACTACCTTCAGGGGAATACGTTTCAGAATCATTGGTGTTGTTGTGTTCTTCGTCCGTGGCGCCTGTGGGATCTTGCTGGCTGGCGTCGCCAAACGGAAACACACAAACTTGGGGGCCATCCTGCCTCTTTCTAGCGAGTGGCATGTTACTAAGCCGTGTTGAGGTTCTCTTCCTTATAAAAGGCCAAGGCAAATGGTGGTGATGTTTTGTAGTAGAAGTAATACCGTGAAATGAATCGTTGACTATATTCAGTCCAAATTCAGGATAGCATTTTAATGGAGATATTGACTGCTGGCTGCTTGAAAGGAGAATGATATGCAATGCTGATCTCAGCTTGAGAAGACTTGCCACAACAACGGACAACGCGGGGGAAATCAATGTGAAGAATGGGCATACTCAATTTGGGCTTGAGATGTCGTGACGTTCCTTTGTATGCAGACCAGACAATATGAAGCACCCGGAGTGGCCGGTGATGACACAAGGGATGATGATAAGGAAGCGATGGATAGAGCCATACTGCATATGGCTGGTAAGGCGAGTGACCTTGGCGTGAGCCTGGGAATTCACAGATGGCTGATTCCGAGCGCCTGCATTACTTTCATTTTCATGACACGGGAGTCTCACTTCCTCAATGGACAGTCCTCGGAAGAGACTATTATTCCCTTAGACTTCCGATCTGTGAAAAGAGGCAGAGTTGCCGGAATCACAGCGGGGTATAGACTCAAGTAAGGGTGCGCGACATGAGCGGCATTGCACAGATGATGAGGATCAGCTCCCCAAGGCTATTGATTTGACTGTTTCTTGAATCTCAGTCTGCATGCAGGTATATGTAGGTGACTCCTTAAGCACATGTCATCTCTTCATATCATCCTTGAGTACCGTTACGCCAATTAGTTACGAGAGATTGAACAACGTCCTGTAGATCGTCGACCTCAAGTGGATCCGGCAAAGTATGACTTTGCATCCTCGTGGCTGCGATCTCCTTCACGATCCACGGAGCACTGCGGACAAGTCAGCGCTTTGGCAGCAACTTGTCAAAGTGGCCAGAGATGACTTGCGGCTCTGACGGGACCCTGTTATTGGGGCATGATCCTTGTTGGCCGACGCAGAAGCAATCACCAGGACAAATATCGACAGATCCTCCTTGCGGTATTGTGGTATCATGGTAGGTAGGTACCCATTTGCCATTTTCGGTGTAGGCGCGGTATAATGCCAGTAGAGACAGGGTGAAGTCTGATGGAGATTTGTCCCACACTCTAGAGGTAATGCTCAGTATCTGACCAAAAACACCAGAATCTCAAAGTCCACGGCGAGACTTACTCGCATAGTGTTGCTGTCACGCCTGGGGAGTGCCCTTGACGTGCTGAAGAGAGTTTTGTAGTAAGGGGCAAAAACCTTTTCGTTATTGTCGCATATGAAGAAGAAGAAACTATGAAAAAGACTCTGATACGTGTAACAACGGAGAGCACGGTCCACAACACACAACTAATCTATTGGATGAACTAATTACACAGATGACTCCTTTAACCATGACAGTTGCCCAGACCGTATCAAGATTGACGTCCTCGGGATCTATAACAAAGCAGAATAGCAGCTCTCCTTCCCCCTCCGACTAATTTTAAGTTGTCGTCAGAACTTGTTGAATACGGGTGGCTCCTTTTCTGGCCGATCATAATAAGAAGTGATATTGCTGACCTAGCTGACTGTTGCGCGATCTTGCTCGCAGAAGCGGTTGACATGAACCGGACCGCCTTCAGCCTGTCTCTGTTTGGATGACATTTCTATGTTCTGACTAGACGTGTATGATCGGGGTGATGAAAAGTGATAACAGCAAACAATGGCGCGTTGTTTGTTTTTGAGCAATTGCGAAGATGAGCAGCCCCTTTTCAATGATGATCACCAAATGTGGAGTGTATGACGTTTTGGTCTCCGCTGTCCAGGCATTCTAACTATGGAACGCTTTCGGGGCGGCCATAACAATAGAATAAGCTGTCTCGCAACAAAGTTGACGGAGATGTGTGGTGTTGTCGGTTCCTTTGCAATTGGATGTCACATTTGAGAAGACGACGGTCCGAAAGAGCGGCTCTATTCATGGATCGGGTGTTTGTCAGCGCATCTCAAATACACCATGGCGTTAGTAAGCCGTATCTAGTGGCATGAGCATGTACTGATATCTGCTCATACTGCAGCTGCACAGCTGCTGCTGCTGCATTGTTTGGTCCCAGTGATGTTTACGTAACGTGGATATCGCTGTTTGTCGGTCGTCGTGCTCTGATCCAGGGATGATTTTGTTGACACTGCATCTCAACAATCCTCTCCATGGCCCACCCTGCCCGCCTCAACCTCCTTCCCCCGCCCCACATCCCCTTCGAACAAGGCTTCCCCGGTATCCCCAAGAGCCCAAACAGAAAACCGCCCAGTGTACAAGGCACCCTCGAAGTCCGTCTCGGTACCGTCCCTGTCAAAGCCAAATGGATCAGAGTTGAGCTTCGCAAATCGGAATCTCTGCCACCAGGATTCCCTGGGGCAGCAGTGGAAGAAAGCTGGGAGCATGTGGGAGAGATACAGACTTTATGGAAGCCGTCGGCGGGAAAAGAATGGGATTTAATACAGGCGACTGACTACACCTTCGTCCTCGACCTCCCTGCTGGGCTCCCTCCATCGATAGAGCTTCCAAGAAGTACCGGTGTCAAGTATACCCTTGTTGCTGCTCTCTGCTATAAGCAAAAAGGCGGGATGTTCAAAAAAGAGTCCTTCCCGATCATCAAGCAGACGGTGCCGATTCATGTCATCAAGTACGAAACCCTCTCCACTTGGCCGGTCTACAATATACCCGAAACAAGAACCATCAAAGCTCTCGAAGGTCTGCTCGACTTGACTGTCTCTCGCCCGAGTACAGCATTCAGTGCTGGGGACAAAATATCCCTGATTGCTCGCTTGAAATCGTCGCGTCCGCAGCCATTCAAGCTGCTCGGGTTCGAGTGCAATCTCCTCGAAGTCATCACATTCATTCCTCCTCCTCCCGATCCCAACAGCAGATCGAAAAAGCATCAAAAGATTTCCACTGCCCCTGTCACCAAGTCACGTATCATCCAGACCGTCACGGCACCTCTGAACGAGACAGTCGGGCGTGGCGGGGAGAAGGGCGCGAGGCTGGAAATGCAGGTCGGGGAGATATCGTATACGGCCAGAGGGACAAAGGTGGAAGTGGAGTATGATTTGGAAGTCCGCGCGCTGGTGGACGGGATCAAGGAGAAGGTGGAAATGCGGAGAATCAGGTGTACGGTTGGGCCTTATACGCGAGCAAATGCGCAACAGACTTGCAAGTGAGTAGCATTCTTCACTGGTGGGCTACATTGACATGGTATAGACAAATCGGTTACGTCGAATCACTATGTCCCGAGACTCCTTCTATCCCTAATGCTCCCACTTTCCCTGATATGCTGGCTACCGACAAACCCCTACCTCCTCGTACAGCACCAATGGCACCCCATAACGGGGTTCCTCCCGTCTTCGTCCGCGCTCCCAGCCAACCGCAGGTGCAAGGCTACAACCAAGGCGTACCGCAACAACCTACTCAGCAAAACTATACTCAGGGCTACGTTCCCCAACAGCCTATTCAAGGCTATACCCCGAGAAATCAGCACAAACGGCAGCCGTCCATGGGTTCCACAAATACAGATACGACTACTACCGGCACTACTGCCACGCACGACTTTTCGCCGCAGGTAGCTGGGAATGGGAGAGGGTATCAGTCTGTGCCCAACCAGCGTCGGTCAATGGACGTGACTTTCCCACAAGCGCATCCAAGCAGACCGAAGACTGCCGAGCCTCAGGATGTTGACGAGACACCGTCGCCTGTGAGCTCTTTGCCCTACCAGAGGCAGGTGTCGAATGAGTCGGTGAATGATGAGGCGTCGAGGAGGTTTTCGTCAGTCACGACGGGGACTTTTGGGAGGTGGGATCTAAATACTGATGTACAGACGAGGCATGGTCGGTCAAATAGCGAGGTGAGTTATTTTTTGGTCATATAGACGGTCGCTGACTTGAGCAGGCTACGCAAACACCCACTACGCCGGTACGGACTACTCCACTTCCTTCCGCTCGCACCCCGCCCTCAGCATACCAGTTCCAATCTGCCGAGCAAGAGAAGAAGCGACAGAATGAACTGTACGCCAATGCTCGTGCGCGGGCTGCCCAAGTACAAGGCGACTCGGGCGCTTCTCTCGAACGCATTGGCTTGGCTTCGTCAACTTCCGCCACACCTTCTTTCGCTGATCTGGCTAAAGAGGAAGAGGCAGCGGATGATGTACCCCCTCCGGAGTATGCTCCTCCTCGCCCAGTCCAACCAGGTGGATACTCTGCGCCCGCTAAGCCCATATCTTCATACACCGATCGTCCATCCCCTTCACCTCGCCTCTCAATGATCTCTTCCGCCCCTCGCGCGTCATCGCCTTCATCCTCAACTGCACCATCCACCCCTCCTCCACCTATGCCAGCAAAACCCAATGTGGACAATGTTTACCTTTCAGCCGCGCAGGAGAAGGAAGCGCAGAGGAAAAGATGGGAAGAAGCTACATCGCGGGTTCAAGGTGGGCCGGAGGCGAGTGGAAGTGGGGCTGGATCGGTGACGCCAAAGACGCCTTCTTCGGGAGGACATTCTAGTCCTGGTGTACCATCGGGATTGAGTGAGAAGGAGCAAATGCGGCGGTACTATGAAGCGCAAGACCGAGTCGCTGCAGCCAATAACCAGGGCGAAGGTTCTAGCTCTCAAGCAGCTTCTGCCCCGCAGAGAGCTGTCTCGTCCAACTCCATTTCGGGGTTGGCAGGGGCGGGAGGGCCAGTGGGTGAGAAGGAGCAAATGAGGCGATACTATGAGGCGCAAGATCGGGTGGCGGCTGTTTCGAACGGTGCGAGCGGTAGTGGTAGTGGGAGCAGGGTTGTCAGCTCTCCGACTCGTCCCGCTCGAGAGTCCACTGCCCCCGTCCCCGGCGCCAGCTCGTTGAGTGAGAAGGAACAGATGAAGAGGTATTACGAGGCGCAAGATCGGGTAGCCGCTGCTGCTGGAGGTTCTGGCTTGAGTGGCGCAAGTGGAAGTGGAACGACAATCTCTCCTAAGCGACAATCTACCGCCCCTGTCTCTTCAGCTTTGAGCGAAAAGGAGCAGATGAGGAGATACTATGAAGCACAGGATCGTGTCTCTGCTGCCGCTGGTAATTCTCCCAGCGCTAGCGCGAGTAACAGCAGCCCCCCCGAGTCATCTACCACTACACAGTCTCCCGCCCCCGTTCGCTCTACGAGCGTACTTCCGCCTTTGGACGAGAAGGAGCAAATGCGACGCTACTACGAAGCACAAGACCGGGTTGCTGCTGTAGCGAGAGGGGAGGGATCCAGCTCGGCTGGGCATTCCCAACTAACGTCATCTAGTGACGCCCCGCCTTCCCTCTCCGGCCCTTCGAATGGCTCTTCCTCCTCGCGATTCCCTTCGGCGGAAGAAGAGAAAGACTTGATGCGTCAACGCTACGAGTCAGCCCAAACAGCCGTGCATCAGAGATTCGCGTCTCCTCCCAACTCACCTCCTGCCTCGCTTTCTTCCAGACACAGGAGTCAAGGCCGGGGAGGCTCGCCATTTGGGACACCGCCGTCTTCAGCTGGGTTGGGCGCAGGTAGTTCAAGTGGAAGCGGGCTGGGAAGGCCGTTGTCGATAGCAACCGCCATGACGCCGCCAGAGTCACCTTTGAAGAGTTCGGGCGGGAGGAGCGCACGGGGAAGGAGTAGCGACGAGGGGCACGGGTCTGGATTGGCATCTGGAAGTGGGAGTGGACATGGAGGGCCAGCAGTGGGCGCGCCACCGCCTTTACCAGCGAAGCCGCCGAGGGAGTATATCACACTTTTAAGTCCTCTTGGAGAATAGATGTTGCGAGGACAGAGTTGTAGTTGATGTCTTCAAGTATAATTCCTACATATCTTGATGCTTCTGCATAGTATATATCGGTGTATAATCAGCTCTTGGTATAATGTAAACGCCTTTGCTTTGGTTGGCTCGCAAGGATGAAGCGTACCTATTCTTCAGCTTCTGCCTAGCACTACGTGGGTCATGTTCGACGAGATAGCGCGGTCAGTCCAATATCACAATGCGAACAAATACATGCGGAGAGTCCGTTATTCGACTACGTCTGACAATGCGGTACAGCGTACTTTACTCTACTACTATACCGTGACCAGTATGACGGCCATCAAAGTCTCTACAACACATTGCCTTGCCCATGACAGATGATCACTTCTTTCCTCTCTCTTGGGGCCTGGTCTTTCCGTTCAACTTCTCCTCGCTCTGCTTCCCCAGCGACAATCCCTTCTTCAACATCTCCATCGCCCCTCCACTTCCAGAACCACTCCCAGTTTTGCTCTTCTTGGTCCCCAATACATCTTCAGCTTTCCTCGGCGCGCTTGGGTTTCGACGGAGTCGGGCAGCGTTGTTTTCGTTGGACGCGTGACCATTTCTACGCCAGGGAATGTAGTCTGTGAAGGTTCCAGAGCGACCAGGCTGCTATGAGGTATGTCAGCGAGAAGAACCTGACTCTAGAGAAGTCGAACGAACCTGGATTTTGTCGCTATCCTGCTTCACTTTCGACACCCAGTCCCCGACCATCGGCACCGTCCTACCCCTCCCTTCCACGCCACCCTTACGCCCGCCGGGGCCACCCTCCTTGCCTGTCAACCCTCGTTTCTCCCGCTCATCCCTTCTCAGCTGCTTATTGTACCGTATCTCTTCCTTCTCCCGTCTCCTCGCATCCCTATCAGCCTTTCGGCGCTCCTTCTCCCGCAAATTTGCTTGGTTCTGCGCCCGCGGAGAAGGGTAGGCTCGTTGATCTTTCGTTTCGTTCCCCGGTTGGTGGTAGGCTGGAGGACGATGTTGATCGTTCGGATAACGAGAAGGGGGTTGAGCAGGAAAGGTGGAATGATAAGGCTCATGTCGGGCGTGCTGGAATTCGGGAGGAGGAGCAGGCGACGCAACTCTTCTGCCCTTTCCAAGTCGCATGGGAGAGGCATATCTGCTCTCTCCGCCCCTGTTCCGAAACATCGAGCTCCACCATGTCTGATCAGGAAGCTGGCGGTACGCAGGCCAGAGGGTAGGCGTGGGAGGTCTATCAAATATGGTAGGCGTACGCGGCCTGTCAAACATGCGAGGGGCATATGAAGGAGCGATCGTAGGTCGAGGAAGTGGTGCTGCTGTAGGTGCCCGTCCTAGAGGGACGTTCCTCTTCCAGCGATTGATCGAATTGCCATCATCATCCCAGCCCTCTCTCAGTACACCTTGACCTCGGGGAGTAGAGTTCCTTCTGAACAGTTGAAAGAAACCTGACCGCTGAGGCCGAACTCCTTGCTGCTGCCCCCAAAGTCCCTCCTGCTGCTGCGGCTGAGGATACGCCATCCTACCCATCATATACGGCATTCCCGTATTCCCCATCCTCGGGCTTCCATCCTCCGAGGGGTCGATACTCTGCCTGTCGGGATTGACATCGTCCTCCGCCCCCACACCACCTCCCTGTGCCGCCCGGTAATTCCAAGCTCCCTGCGGCTGATTGAACGCAAAAGGCATTTGCATGTTGTATGCTTGTTCGGCTTGTGCTTGCGTAGCACCTGGTTGATATGTGTTATTCACATTGTTGAAAGAAGTGTTATTGTTGGGATCGTGGTAGACGTTCTCTTGGACATGCGAAGCGTAAGGCTGTTTTGCCGATTGATGCGGGTAATCAGCATCAACAGGTAGCTGCTCGTGGCGGGGGCGATGGGAATCCAGACTCTCGTGCTCGGGAGGGAGAGGAGACCCGTTCAAGAATGACGTATCGTGTAAAGGCTGTCCTAGGAGAATATCAATTAAACATGTCCTCGTTCCAATACCAACACAAGTAAACGCACCATTCTGACGATGGCTCGCCCGACTACTTTGTCGAAACAGCCCTTCTTTCGGCGGCACAGCCGGTGGCCTATCACTTCTCGGACTCTCATTCACAACCTCCAACCCACTCTGCCGTCTACTCCCATGCGGGTCTTTCAGCCATTTGAGAGTCACTCTGAGGCGTCGCTTGGAGCCCGGTGGTACTTCAATCGCCACCTGCTCTTCATCAGACCTCAACGAGCTCGAAGGCGCACCCGAGGGTAGAAAGACGACATCAGGACTGTCCCCGTGACCATCCAAGTACGTAGGAGAAGGCACGTCTAAGTATTGCTCAGCAAATATAGGTGCGGGCTCTGTAGAGAAGCGTTGGTTCCAGGGTTGCGATACTGCTGGTTGAGGATGGTGGCCAAAGTCATGGCCTTCTCTCGGGCCGGGCGTCCGGTAGTCTGTCGCTTCTTTGGGCGCCAGAAACGTCTGGCTTGAGCGAGGGTCTGGTACGGGACCGGGTCCGTGACTCGGCGGATTCCGATTCGACGAATGACTTGGTTGTCGATTTAGCGCAGGTTGCAGCGGCATCTGAGACCCATCAGGCGTACCCTCGGGGGCCATAGGCAGCAAAAGACTTGAATGACTTCCTCCTGCCCCATGTCCATTTTGCGGCGGAGGTGCAAGACTTTGCCCGGACCGGACAGAGCGCTGAGAAGGCTGATGCGTCGGCTTCAAACTCGATGCTCTATCGGGAGGAGTTTCGGTTGAGATATTCACCTGACTACTCTTGGGTGTACCCATCACTCTCTGCTTTACATCAGCTCTTACCCCCACTCAACACTAGAAAGAATATGGTAAAACTCACAATCCCATTGTCCGGACTCGCCAACCCTTTCTCAAACCTCGCCACCAAACTCTCCGCCCTCCTCCCGCTCCCAGTCCCATTCTGATACCCCGCACCGATAGTATCATAAGACGTCCTAGGCGTCAACGCCGGGCGCGGTAAAGGCATCTGCTGCCTATGCGTCGGCGCCGACATCTTTGTGGTCGAATGCGGTAGAGACACCTGAGAAGGGTTCATGAAAGCCGGAGCAGCGAGATCTTCTGTCCTCGGGGCAGTGGGAGCGTTAGGGACGGTAGGCTGCCGACTACTTGGTGCTAGAGGCAGAGTACTAGACGGAAGAGGCGCTCGGGTAGCTTGGGCTATGGTACCCTGTGTGGACGGTTTGGAAGGAGGTAATGTACTACCGGCGGCTGTTTTGACTGAGATCGGCACCTTGATATCTTCTTGCCTGCCTATAGGCGGTTGGAGGAGCGTCGTTTCTCGACTCCTTGTAATCTTGACTCCATTCGGGACAGATGGGACGGTGTTGTTGCTGGGCGGCTTTGAGGAGGGAAGAGGGTGACGGGCGGCTTTGTGGATGGTAGCTTCGGAGGGGACGGCGTTAGTTGTAGGTGCAGCACCGGGGACAGGTAGAAAGTTCGACCCCTAGATACGATATGAGCAATCATGAGAAAGAAATGGAGAAAGAAGGACGTACTTGATATTGATGCTCCCTCTGGCTCGCCGAACTCCTTGCCTTCGCGCCATCTGTAGCCGAACGCTCTACCCGACCCCCTGCGCTACCCAGACTTCTCGCATCTGTCTTGCTCTCGTTGAGCTACAGCGAACATCAGCCTCACCTCTCCGATTCAGGGGGACCACTTACAGACACTCGACTCCCATTGCTTCCAAGATCGTCCCTCCCACCCCTCTCCAACCTCGCACCAGCGCTTCCCAAACTCCTCCCTCCATCCTCTCCCCTCCTCAAACACCCTGACCCCGACCCGGTCGAACGACTCGAGCCTTTCTTCGAGATACCACCCCGGCTGTTCGCAGGTACAGAAGGATGTCTGCCCGTCCCCCCATTTTGCGTTTCGACAAGCATCTCCAACGGCAGATCCGTAGCGCTTCTAATATACGCTTCTCTCTCAGCATGCGTATCCGACGCGGTTGGAGAAGGGGTAAAGGCTGGGCCGGCGGCGAGGTCGGATGTCTTTCGGGTAGTCTGGCTTGGCCCGGAGATGGAGTACTGTTTTGACGAGGACCGGGCAAGAGCAGGAGCAGGGGCAGGGGGAAGGGTCTGAATGGGGACGGGGGTAGGATGGGCAATGATGGGAGAGATCTCTTGCCTGAAAGAGACTTGTCGAGTAGGAGGTCGTGGACGTTGAGGTGGTGCTTGGGTTGATTGCGAAGGCTGTGGCCGATTCTCGGCAGGTGGAACAGGGACAAACCTCTGATGCTCAAGCTGTCTGATGACCTGTGCTGGTGGCGGAGGCGGCTCATCATACTTCATCCCCTGTGCCTCCAAAACCTGATCTCTCTCCCTCCTCAGCCTGTGCACGACAGTCGTCGGCACCGTCCCCGTATCACTGTCACTGCCCCCTCTCCACGTCCAATCCGCACTTCCAACCCCAACCTGCCTCCCAAAGCTCTGCGAGCTCCCCGTCCCACTGCCGAGCTCGGGACGGATCTTCTTGACGGGCAATTCTTGCCGCCAGTCTTTATAGTTGGCGTGCCGCCGTTTGTAGGCTTCGTACTCGCCTGAAGAGAGGGACCCGTACATGGATCCTTCATCGTATACGATAGGCCCGGCGGGGGCTAAGTTTGGGGTGGGGAGTGGAATGTAGTTCTGCCCAGGGGCTTGGGGAGGGTTCATCTGATACGGTAATTGCTGTGGTCGATGGTGGTAAATATTCGGTAGATGTTGGAACGTATCTGTGGCGAGATCGAAAAGGGGAAGCACAAGCAATCAGCGGCGACCCTCTTATAAGTACAAAAACGCCTCACCCATTTGTGCCCGCTTTGCATGAGATTAAGGCAAGCTAGTAGCGCCTGAAGGCGAGGCGAAAGCGACAGCTGGAGGAGTCTGCATAGGGTCAGACCTTGCGGTACGTGTACGTTGGACTCGTGGCAAGCGGCTCACCTTCCTCGTGGTCCGGGAAAGGTTCCAGGAAACGGCTCTGCTTCTTGCTGGTGGCTTTGTGTATATGTAGCAGCGCAGGCGGCTGCGGCGATACACGAATCGTCAAGGCGTTTTTGAGAGATGATCTTTTCTTCGTTGTAGTAGATGCGAGATGTTGAACGGGATAAACGAGGACGCGTTTGGGGGTGTGATACTAATAGAGTTTTACAAGGCTGAAGCATGGTGGGGGCCAGGGGATATGGCTTGATGCAGGATACAGCGTGGCCTATTGTGTGTGTCGTCAGGGGTAGCTACAGGGGGCGTGATCGGGCCTTGCTGGACAATAAGGAATGAGCCGTATAGCTTGTCGAGCTGGGTTGCATCTGGCCATTGTTTCCGAGACTTGAGCGATGAAGAGGGGGCATTGTTTCGAGAACAAAAGCGAGATGGAAATTGTTGTTGTTGTTGTGTGCGGCAGTCTCCGATCAAGGTCCCATCAACAAAGCAGGCACTACTGTGGCACTTGTTGTCAGCGGGGTATTTTTCAGAAGCAGTGATAGAATAATCAACTCACAAAAGTATCTACGCCCACGCCCACGACGATGCACACCCTCCCCAGACACCCCGTGTCCGCCTGCCCTCCCAGCCGGGCACGACCTTGAGGGAATCACGATCCAGCTGATCACCCAGAGCGAGATTGCCGTGCTCATTCCATCCCCCTGACAAGAGTCTTTGCGAACCATCTGAGGTCGTGGCGATGAAGAGCAGGTGCTCTGTGCCAGCTACAATGCGGTCGACTTTCAGAGCTTCCGGTACCGCTACTTGACCCAGTTCGCTGCCGACGCTTTGACCTCGCAAGAGCTGACTGTGCGTATTGGAACCCTGCGAGAACAACCCTTCGTCGGTCAAAAAGTAAGATCCGCCCCACGTAGATGCAATCTCTTTCACCCCCTTGACAAGATGTACATCCGTAATCTGACCTTTCAAATTTCCGCCCCAGCCCAGCACAGTACCCCCTGAGAGTAGCGCCAAAGAATGCGAAGCGCCGAGTGAGATGTTGATGATACGTTGGTCGGACGGTACGGGAAGGTGGATGATGGTAGGCGGAGACGTGGTGGGATAAGGAGCGGCTTTGCTTTTGCCTTTTGCTTTGCTAGACAGCACCTTTGAAGTATTGCTAGAGAGCGTATCCGCGCTCAACTCGCCTTTTCTCGAAGCGCCCCATCCCACGACCCTCTGCCCGGCTTTCCCACTGACAACCGCCACCACATGCCTCTGCCCCCCTTTCAAAAACTCTACTCTCTCTCCAGGGCGTAGAGACAAGTCGATAATGGTAGGCACTTGGGATGCTTGAGAGATGGGTATGGGCGTAGGGGTGTTGGATAGAGTGAGGGGCAGGTCTCGACCGAGCTCGCCAAAGTCGTTCGAGCCGCAGGATATCACCACTTGCTTCCCTTCCACTACATCTTCATCATCCTTGTTCGCGCCCGACGCTGCACTACTGCCACCTCCACCTTCAGCCCCTCCGCCCTCTCCTCCTGATGTAGTCTGCCGATAAACGACAAAACTCGTCGTCCACGTAGCCGCAATTCTGACCGGCTCCCACTCCTGTCCCAGTCCCGCATCCCTCGCAAGATCGACGACTTTCCACCTTCCCTCGGGTTTCAGGTCGTCCCAAAGGGCGCACTTTGGTCCTAGCTGTCCGAAAGTATTCGTGCCGCAGCCTAGCAACACATGTCTCTGCTCCACTTTTCCCCTCATGCCTCCTTCCTCGTTTTCAGAAGGTGATGAAGGTGGGAGGCGGAGGAGGACCAAAGAATGAGCAGACGCAGACACGACGTCGAGTATCTCTGTCCCGTTTGGAAAGGCAGGGAGCGAGGGGTGGTATAAAGTCGGTATCAAGACGGAGACGTCGTCCGGGTGGGAGAGGGCGAGGTGGGAGGCAGCGTTGGAGCCGCAGGAGAAGAGGGTTGGTGACATATTTTGTCTTTTCCAGTGATCTCGAAAGCGGTTTGGAGGTTCGGAGTTTTGGAGTATGACGTCGGGCAGGAGGAGGGTGGGAAAGTATGCTTTCGAACGGTCGATAATTTGACTGCCGAGAATGCTACTTGACAGAGCGAGTACTTGATGGATGTAGAGAGCTTTTCTTGCAGATAAAAGAAATACACGGATCAGCAGAGGAATCGAGAAATCATTCGTTCCACAAGTTCGGCGGCCCGGCTGGGCGGTCACCGCCGCCGCGCGCGAACCTTTGAAAGTTAAGCTGGAACCAAACAACAGACAGAGTACTTGTATGACCACTGTTGGCATATAGCGTCTAATAAAGGCTCTCCTTCTGTCCTTCATAAGGGGTTTGGAGGTGCTCTTATAAAGGCCTTTATCAATCTTAACAGAGTACTTGTATAACAGTATAACATGCGCGGCCGCACCCTCCCTGACGACTTTACCCACTTACTTACCGAAGTGGAAGACCAAGTTTCATGCTCAGAATAGTGTCAGGCTCTTTATCAGACCTATCAGGGGTGTGCAGGTGGAATGGCTCAAGGGAAGAGCGCCAGGAGGCAGAAGAAGACACCCCATAAGGCATAGGCGCTACCTTTTTCGGTCCCCTCCGCATGTCCACTTCCCGGACATTATGTAATCAACTTATACACGCTCCCAGAAGCGCACTCACTCCAGTCATCTATCCATCTTGCACCACCGAATCTTGTGCATTACAGACGACGACATCCCCACCGCTGTTAACTACAAGCCCTATCACCGATACAATGCCTCGTCCCCCTCTGCCCCCTATCGACCCCAGCACACCCCCGGACTGGAGCTCATATGTCTCTATGTGTCCTGACATTTCTTTTGCAAGTACTAGCCTCAACGGCGCGCAATGGGATAAGTTCCTGTACGATAGCACAAGACTCCGCCACCCCCCCTTCTGAAAGTCCCCATCCCTTCCACAGCCTTCACAAGAAGGGGGGGTGACGGAGTCTTATGCTGTCGTAAAGGAACTTATCCCATTACGTACCGTTGAGGCTATACATCTTGTAGATACGTATGCTTGCAAAGAAATGTCTGGACAAGGACTGGATGGAGGAGACTTTGTGGTGGCGACGATAGAGGAATTGGTCGTAGCTGTTGGTGAGAAAATAGGAGGGAGAGGGGAAGATGATTAAGGATCGATGTGGTGGCGTTTGACCAAGGACTGCACAGTACTGGGCGATGAGAATGACGCAAGAACTTTATTGTCAGAGTCAAGTTGGTCTGTTACAGTATACATGTGACGCGCAAATTCGCCCATGAAACCGACAGCAGTAGTCCCGGGTACAGCGACCATTCGATAGACAGACCTGTTTAGCAACAATCATGTGGGAATGCAGATTGACTAGGAAGTCAGTCTGTTGTGAGCTACCTAGCTTAACACAAGCCGCTGCAAATCTGTGCGTCTGGGGGTGTCATCTACTAGCCTAGCCGTTAAGTAGCCGACGGTAGGATAGTGTGTAATCGACAGGGAAGAATGTATGGAGATTACGGATGGAGGAGAAGAAGAGAAACATGACATTGCCTCATCCGGTACTTAATGCAGCTCTATAGAAGACTCGACGACGCTGCGAAACCGGCTTGACGACGAGGGACGAGACGGTGATGGCAATTTTCGAAAGGCCCACGGTCAGTCTCACATTCACTTTTGTGCAAGAAGATCAAACATGCCCCCCTCGGACCCCATCTACGACCTCCAAGAAAGACTCGAAGCAGCCGAATGCGCATACACCGGTTCCCGCGAAAAGAACAGGCAGCTCGCTAAGCGCCTCGCCGACACTGAAGCCCAGCTGGAGAAAGCAGAAACAGAAGCGAATGAAGGATTTGTCGAAGCCTACGAAAAGGGGGCTCGTTATGGTCGACTGGCTGGGGCAGAGAGGCAACTGGAGGCCATGGAAGAGGCGATGAAAAAGCTCAAACAGGTTGAGAAACAGAGGGACGAATGGGAGGGAAAATATTGGGATTTGCACAACGGGGTCGGCGGGCTTCTAGGTGAGTTTCCACCATATCACTGTCGCGTAAGGGCTCATAGATGGAACAATTCAGGGAGCCAGCAATCAATTGAGGCTGGTGGATCGGCCATGAAGCTGGAAATGATGAACACAGCCCCTCGAAAGTCCGCGCCTGCTGTGAGTACAGGGACGATCAGATCACTGCCAGCGCTTATCACCAACAGGCCTTATCCAGCAACCGCAACAATATAAACAAGCGCAGAATTGTTCAGTCCGACACAGACACAGAAAGCTCTCCAGAGGGGTCCGATTACGCCCAGTCAACGGGAAATTACAAGAAGGGAGAAAGCAAAAGGTGTGAGTCTTGACGTCCCGGCTATGGCCTCTACCTCTCTGATTTGACCCATAGGGCATGACATTGCCAAGAGACAGAACCACTCTATCATCCTCTCTTCGTTCAGTAAGTCTTGTGCACGTGTATCTCGTTCATGCACCTGACTCGTCACTTGAAGACAAAGCACGCCGGGAAGCTTATGACATGCGCGGCCGTACCCCACCTGACGACCTACCTCAGTGTCCATGGGATACCAGATTACACGCTCAAAACTTTGTCAGGCTCGTAATCAAGCCTAGCAGTGGTGTGCAAGCTGAATGGCTTAGAGGGAAGGCGTCAGGAAGCAGATGTAAGGGGTCCTTAGAGACGATCCGCAAGGCAATGGATCAAAAGTTGGTATATTTTGAAGCATTGCCTTTGTGACGAGGATTCGGATGGTGCTTGTGGAGAGTTGCGGTCTCGTCCGTCGTGTAAAGACAACTATGTCTGGCCCTGGTGAGTATCGTGGTAATGCAATGATGCATGTCTTTGGCCGCTAGTACGAAGATATCCGAGTGAGCGATTAGAGATACTACAAAAATGTCAGCGTCTGGATCGATATTTTTCGACGAGGAGCGACTTACCAAACTAGCAGCAAAGACGACTGCGAAGCAGGACGCAGATCAGCATCCGAACACTGACACACTGCGCTGCACTTACTGTCTCGCCTGATCAAATTCTGCGCCTCCTCCATCTTCTGGAACAGATCCGCATCACCAATGACTCGCGCGGCATCTCTAACTTCTCTACAAGTCTCATCCAACCTCGTGATAACTCGGACGATCGTCCCTTCGGGCACATCCGTAAGGTTGGTGATTTGGTTGAAAGGCTACACCGTTATTAGCATTGGTACATTGGGCAAGGTAGACGAACGCACCATTCCTCTCGCCCACTCGTAAACCACTTCCACCAATCCCGGCTTATACTTTGTCGCAAACTCGTCATGCTGTACCTGGCACTCGTCCTGCACCCTCTCAACCTCATCCGCGATCCTGAAAATCACATCCAGACCATCTTGCAGCTTGGTCGGTATAATCGGCTGACTCTCCGTCTTTTCGACAAACACAAAGATTGACAATAACGCCACCACTTCTTGAGGCGTATAGTCGGCGAGAATATTCTCGAGGATGAGTTCGGTGAGGATGAGCTCCGGGGCAGAGTTGATCTCGCACGCGACACGGCCCTTGAGAAGGACGGTATCGGAATCGTCGATGAAGGAGAGTGATTTGAGAACTTGGATACGAGAGTTGTAGTCGGGGAGGAGCTCGAGGTTCTGGTCGGAAAGCTTGACCTTGAGCTTTTGCACGTCGATCTCGACGAGCTTGCGCTTGTGCAATACATCGTACTATCACTTTGTCAGCTCGATCTCACGCTACCGCGGGGTACTCACATGGTCGTGGAAGTCTTCACAAAGACGACATCCAAACTTGCTCAACCTTTCTGAGAACACATCCCTCTTTCGCAGCTGCTCCTGGACATCCACATCCCTCGTCCTCGTCCAATCCACCTCGGGCAACGCTGGAAGCTCCGATAGCTCTTCATGAAGGTCCACCAGCTTGCCCGTCGCTCCCTGGATATCCTTGAGCGACTGCTTGTTGATGATCTGGTAGAAGGGGAGTTTAAGGATGTTGTTGACGACGAATGTGATGGTGTTTGTGTCGGTGATGGTGAGTTCAAAATCGGGGCTAGGGAACTTGCCCTTGGGCAGAATTGGAGGCCAGCGGGGCACGACTTCCTTTGCTTCGATATCTGCTCGAATGTATCAGTCATGACCAGCGCTCAAACAGGGACGACTCACCCTCCTCCTCCGACTTTTGTCCAGGCGTGACAAGTACCAGCATCCTGAAAGCCTTGGCGTTCGACTTGACCCCATCCGCTCCAACATAGCTCGGGGCATTGCCCAGAATCACCGCCAGATTGCCTGGGAAATGCTGATTACGGAGGACCACAACACGCCCAGGGACAAAGAGTTTGCCAGAGTTGGGCAGCCATGAAGCTTTGTGGATGAGGAAGCCGTTGACTCGACTGGCCTCGGAAGAGATGTCGTAGTAGGGAGATATATCGGGCGAGCAGACTTGGCAGTCGACGCTCGGAAGACGAGCGAGCGCTTTCTCCATCTACCACTTATCAGCTTTCCGAATGAGAGAGCCTTCGGGAGGCACGTACCTGCGCAATTTGCTGCTGCTGCTCCGGCGCCATTTTCTGCGCCGCATTCTCCGAAAAACTTCTCTTGATCATCTCCTCCACCTTCAACGCCTCCACCCTCAACAAATTCAGAATCATATTATACGTCAACCTAAACTGACTCGACAGTCTTCCAGGTACACCGAGCATCATCTCTTGCAGTTCCGCCACGGGCGGCAGCTCGTCGCCGGATAGGATGATGACGGTACCGGTGGTGTCGAGACCACGTCGACCGGCACGGCCGGCCATTTGGGTATATTCGCCGGGGAGGAGGTTGCGGAAGGATGTACCGTCGTGTTTGCGCATGCCGGAGAAGACGACGCACTTGGCTGGCATATTCACGCCCTGCGATTCTGGTAAGAAATGGTTGATAGCATAGGGATGAGACGTACCATGGCAAACGTCTCGGTAGCGAACAGGACTTTAACCAGACCGCGGGCAAAGAGGATCTCCACCACCTCTTTCACCAATGGCAACAGACCACCATGATGCACGCCAACACCCCTGCTCAGCAGGGTCCGCATAGTCTTGATCTGCGGCAACTCCCTGTCATCGCCTATCCCACCATCAGCTTTTTCCATCTACCGACCAAGAAAGAGACATACCCTTCAGCCTCGTCAACGCCTTCTCCCAAGTGATATGAATCTCACTCCTCTCCTTCGCCGTCGTCAAATCCTTACTCAGCGATTCCGCATACTCCTGACACCTCTTCTTGCTAAACACGAAATTGACAACCGGCAACAGATTCTCTTTTTGCAAGTGCCCAATCAGCTGCGTCCACACATTCTGATCGAGCACATGCGACGGCCGTCCCCCGAACCCTCCTCGGCCCCCACGGCCGCCTCCCCGTCCACCCCCTCGAGGAGGTACAGCCGGCGCAGGGGCACCATTGCCACCACCACGGTTGGAATGGTTTCGCCCCGCCCCGATATTCGTAAACGGCGCCCCCCTGCCCGTCGGTAAATCCCTCGCCGACCCCCTCGCTCCTCCCCTTCCCCCCGTGCGCGAAACAGGCGGCAACCCCGCAGCTTCCCTCTCCTTATCCTGCTTCCTCCTCAAAGCCTGTCCTGCAGATTCATACCCCGCCATCTGGAACTTGCTCTTCGAATCCACAATCTTGTGCGTATCCCGCCCAGCCCAGAGGTAGTGCTCCAGGGGTACGGGACGGTAGGGGGTGGAGATGACGTAGATGTTTTTCTTCTTGGTGCGGCCGACCCAGTCGGCGAATTCTTTGGTGTTGGGGACGGTGGCGGAGAGGAGAATGATGTTGACGTGATCGGGAAGCATGATGATGACTTCTTCCCAGACGACACCTCGCTACAAAATATGTTAATGGTGTGGGAAGAAGGGACGATGGGGGACGTACCTCGGCATCGTTGACGTAGTGGACTTCGTCGAAGATGACGAATTCTACATCTCGAATCAAGTCGGCACCTTTGTACAACATACTTCTCAAGATTTCAGTAGTCATCTACAGCTAGTCAGTTCCGGCTCAAGGTTTTCTAGATGGTGGGACTGACGATGAGACAGCTGCCCTCAGCATTGATCTGCACATCACCCGTTAAGATACCGACAGTAGCAGGGTCAAACGTCGTTTTAAAGTCTCTGAATTTCTGATTTGACAAAGCCTTGATGGGAGACGTGTAGATAGCCCTAAAATATTATCAGCCAATCCTCAAACCGACTTGATGCCACTTACTTGGTCATGTGCTTGGCCGCCAGTGCAATAGCATACTCTGCCACAACAGTCTTTCCCGCTGAAGTATGAGCTGCCACAAACACACTGTCGCCCATTTCCAGTCGGTAGACGGCTTCTTTTTGAAAGTTGTCCAATTCGAAGGGGTATTCTCGGGCCATCTCGGGGACGAGTTCATTAAACTGGGAGGTGGTTTAGATGTGACATGTATGATTAGGGAATGACTAACGTTGAGGAGTTTCTCGTTGACATCGATGACATGGGCCCATTCCTTCTTGGCGGCAGTCTTGAAAGCCTTCTTTGCTGGTGGAGGTGCAGGAAGGCGCTACAAGTAGTCAGTATCCGTCTCGCTTCCAAGAAACAGCACTCACGCCGAGAGGAAGAAGGTCATCGATGTTCTTGTCAGAAGCCTTGACCTGGGCACTCGATTCGATCCCATCAATATCTCGATCTTTGTCGCCCAAGCGCGAAACGGCAAGCTGAGGCTCAAACTCGCCATCTCTTCGCCGACGTTTGGCTTTGGCTGTGATCTGCTGTTGGCCAAGCATCTCGATGAGGAACTCTTCAGCTGTTTATGTATAAGCATCGACTTCACGAGCAGTTGAAGGCCAGCTCACCTCCATCGAGCTTTACACCTCTCTTAAGACCAGGCGCACGACTCTTGAACACCCCATCCTCCTCTTCCTCCGACTCTTCTTCCTCTTCTTCAACCCTCGCTGCTGTTTCCAGCCCTCCAGGAAGGAAGGGCGCATAAGATCCTTTTCCTCTCACAAAGTTCTGCAAAGACCCCGGAGCTCGGGTGGTCGATGATGACAGCGAAGGGTGAGCTGGAGGTTTCGGCATAAGGGCCTCACGCCAGTTCGTAAACTCCCCATCTATCCCACGAAAGGAAGGAGCGACCGAGTGCGTCTGATACAGGGGAGAGAGTGTTAAAGGCGGAAGGGGAAGATCGATAGGTGGTTGTCTGGATCGATGCGTTAGCTAGCGATCGTCCAATTGTTTATGAAACGTACACCTGCCACCGCCCCAAGTCCGATCCTTCTATCCCCTTCACAGGCGCCAGCACTTCCTTCTCCAGAATTTCGAGAGCTTGCTGTTTGCTAAGTGGACCATCGATGCCGAGTGAGGCGGCGAGATCGTCTGTTGGGATAGCATCGGGGGCTGAGGGGTTGGCTGCTGTTTTGAGGAGCTCGAGGAAGAGGGCGTGCTCGTCTGCAGCACCGTCTTGTAGAGCCATGCTGGTATACCCTCTATTTCACGCTGAGAAGTAGACAATTCCAAAAGATATAGTACATCATCATGAACGAAGGGTGGAGGCTTTACGTAACCACTGTATCTCCTCTTGCATTTCATCGTCGTTTGTTCAAGTTCCATCTCTCCCCTCATCTTCCCCCATCCCAAAACAATGTCCTCAAGCACCGCCGTCGCCCCCAAGCGCAAGCTCAAGCCCGCCAGAAAACAGGTCGCCGCGGATGAAGTCGACAAGAGCGAGGGCTACCAAGCTGGTCGAGAGTACAGTACGTCTTTGCGTCTTTGTGTCTTTTGGTTTGAGGTTTGTGCTGATGGGGGCTGTAGATGTGTGGTATAATAAATGGGCGGGAGGAGATAGAGAGGATGCTCTTGCCAAGTACGCCCCACTCTTCGCTGATGGACATGATGACTGACTAGCGGCAATAGCAAAGTGCATTCTCAAACCAGATGTGTGATCTCGAGGGATTCGGGGTATACAAGAGCGGATGCTACGGGCAACAAGTTTTGCTGCTTGTTCTTTGCTAGAGGATGCTGTCCTTATGGGTAAGCTCCATTCAAGCTCATTCGTGAATTGAGAATTGCCGCTGATATCGCGCAGGTACGAATGTCAATACCTCCACCGTCTTCCCCTTCCATCACGTACGCCTCCCCCTCTCCTCTCCTCCAAGACTTTCCCTTCTCCATACTGACATGACCTATACAGATCAACTCGCAGACCACTCCCGCGACTGCTTTGGCCGCGAAAAGCATGCCGACTATCGAGACGACATGGGCGGCGTCGGTACCTTCAACCGTCAAAACCGGACATTATACATTGGCAAGATTGCAGAGCATCCGGATAAAAAACAGATGGAGGAGACGCTGTTGAGGCATTTTGGAGAGTTTGGCAAGATTGTCAAATGTACGTCCTCCTTGTCCTTCTTGCTCGTAGGATGGAGCTAACGGGGTACTAGGGAATATCTTGTACGGCCGTGGAGTCGGCTTTGTGACATTCGAAACAGACCACCAGGCGTCGTTCGCCAAGGAAGCTATGGCAAACCAGTCTATGGATGGGGATGAGATCCTCAACGTCAGGTACGTCTTCTCCCTTCTCCTCTCCTCCCCTCTGCCCTTCCTCTTGCATGTGGCTTGGATGAAGGCTGACGTTTGCTCAGATGGGCAACAGAAGACCCCAACCCCGGCGAAAAAGTCGCCGAAGCCCAACGTATCGAAGAAATCGGCCAAAAAGCTATCGCCGGCATGCTCGATGATGAGCTTGTCGAAGCTACCCAGACCATCCGCGCCCTTGAGGATGGGGATGTGGAGGATCTGTATGAGATTGAAGCTTCTGCCGATCACGCTCAAAATGGAGAAGGAGGAGAAGGGGAAGGGGAGGGAGAGGAGGGGAGACCGGCAAAGAGGGGCAAGACGGACGGGTTCTTCGGGGCGGATGCGCTGGATAATATCAAATTCTACGCCGACCTCGCTCGGAAGCAGGCGGAAGAGAGGGTCAAGGAGAGGAAGGTGCCAGAGAAGAAGGTGGGGATGGCGTTATTGGGCGGGTATGGGAGTGGGGATGAGAGCGATTAGAGCTGTCAATTTGTGAGTTTTGGTAGTGATGCTGTGGTCCGAGTTGGCTGATGTTTGAATAGGTACTACAGTAGACGCATGGAATTCATATACAGGCTCGACCAGCATTTGCTCTGAGATATGGTTCTGTCTCTTTGGCAACACAACAAATCAACGACAGCCGCAATCTGTGACTCCTACTACTGTGGTTCCCATACTAATCTCTTGGAGCCCTGCCATGCCTCAAAGCGTATCCAACCAAAACTCGCATTATAAGTACCCATTTTCTATCCAAGCTACAGTATCAACTCTTTTTACTCAAGACCGGATCACCTCGCCCTCAGTCTATTAGCCCACTTCCCACCCCCAGCTCCTACTCCCGCCATACTCCCAGCCCCTCCTCCGCCCCCACCACCCCCTTCGCCTGCCCCTGCCCCAGGGACCCTGCTTCCCAGAACCGCATTTGCAGGCTCAGTCATCTTCGGTACCCTCGGCACACTTGGTATGTCCGGTACACCCGGACTCATCCCTTTCCTCCCCCTCCCCGCAGGCGCAGGCGCCAACCCTCCCCTCGGAATCATCGGTCTATCCCTCGGCTCTGTTACGTCCAGGTAGACGGGTGACGTTTTGGCTGTTTCGGGGACGCTTGGGATGGCTGGTGGGGTTGAAGCTCGGGGGAGCGGAATTCGGAGGTCGGGGGATGGTCGGGGTTGGGCGGGTTGACGTTGGAACCAGGCCATTATACCTTGTCCATGGCCTTGTCCTTGGCCTTGCCCGGGTGCCGGAGGCTGGGCCTGGGCTTGAGCTGGAGGCGGGGGTATCGTCTCCTGTCTTCTCGTTACCGGTGACCTTCCTGATCCCGAACTGGAACCAGAGTTGGAGTTGCCAAGGAGATGCGAGATCTCATCCCCTAGCTCTCCCGTATCCTTTCTCCCCGCTCCCGGGCCTGGGCGGATGGTATCAATAGTGTTATCTTCGGCGGATAGAGTTGTCTTCCATTCACATTCTGCGAAGGGTAAGATGGAGGGGGGCGGGCGAGGGTGTCGAGAGATCCACCACCGCGGAAGGCCGATTGACGATTTTGCCGATTTTGCCGTTGACGTTGACGTTCGCGGTTGCGGTCGGGTGGGACTGGAAGGGTACTGGATGTTGAAGAGGAATGGTTTGTACTTCTGTTTGCTGCCGGGATCAGAAGCTCTGCTGACGCCCCTTCATCAGTATCAAACCCTTTCGAAAAAGAGCAAGACTCACCACTCCCTTTCCTTAACCCACTCTCCCATTTCTTCTCCTCCTCAATCTCCTTATTCGCCTCTTTCACCTTGTCCCTCCTCGCCTTCTCCAAACTCTCCTCCTCCTCGAGCTGTTTCTTCAGCTTGACTTTCGCTTCGACATACTTGAGCCTCACGGCCGCCTTCTTCATAGAGTTGTAAGACGAAAAGACGGAATCACGGAAACTGCGTGGTGGTTTTGAAGCAGGTTCCTGGGGTGGTGGACGTCGAGCTGGAGGAGGGTCGTAATACCGGTCGTCTCTATATACATCGCGATACCGATGTCGGCGGGGGTAATACGTCTCGTCAGACCAGTCCGTTTCTGTATCGCTATACCGCCTTCGCCTATGTCTGTAGCGGTCGCGTCTGCTTGGTCTTGCTCTGTATCTTCTTCGCCGTGTTCTCGAACGGTAGAGGGTGCCCCCATCTGAAACAGAATCATCACTCTCACTCCCACTGTCACTCCAGTCTTCGCTCTCATCTTCACTATCCTCACTCTCTTCTCTCTTTTTCCTCCCTTTACCCCTCTCTTTCTTCCCCCTGCCTTTGCCTTTCATAGCTTTCATCTTCTCCTCCAACTCCCTCTCCTTATCCCCCTCTATCCTCGCCTTCTCCCGCTCCTCAATCTCCTTCTTCTTCTTCACCACATCCGCTCGGACCTTTTTGCGGTGCCGCCACCAGAGCCAGACACCTACTGAAACAGCGAGGACGGACCCGAGGATGAGCGCTAGGAGTTGCCACCATGATAGATGGGTCGTTGCGACGGCTTGGGCGAGGATACCGCTGGATGTGGCTTCTCCTGCGGAAGAGGTGGAAGAGGAGGTTACGGTGACGTAGACTCGGGGGGAGAGGGCTCTGCCGGAAAGAGTGGGCTTTGGGGTGGGGGTGGGAGTGGGATGGTTGAGGGGAGGCATTGATACGCATCGTGGGTCCGTCCTTGTTCAGTCCATACCCATCGATATCTTTGCCGCGTAAACAAACTGGAGTGATGGTACCTGCAATATAGACAAGGACAGTGACAACCCATGCATACGATCACATACCCCGATCACGCTCTGCACAGTCATACTAGCGTGGTGGCCGCTCCTTTCCACGGGCATTGCCGCTCCAGGAGATGAAAGGAACGAGGTACAAACAAGGAGAAGGGAGGCCGACGCGTCTCCCGGTGGCTCTCTGACGCGTTTCAGCGGGGGGCAGCGTGCGCCGATGCGATCACAAGGGAACGCTGATATGGCCCTCCGTGTGTACCGGGAGGGATGAAAAAGTCATAAAGGAGATGCATTTCCACTCTTCTCTTCAATCATCCCTCTCGTCCACATCCCGAACTAAGACTTCCATCAGCCTCCGTCCAGCCCACTTTGCCCCTGACCCTATCCTCGACTCGCATCCCACCATGAAAAACGCTTCCCCCTTCCAAACCACGCTCTACCTCAAACACCTCCCGCCGAGCATCAAGCCAAAGCATTTCGACCTCATCTTGGGGCAGCCGCCGAGGAAGGATGGGAGTAAAGGGCGGAAACGCGAGACGGGTATCAAAATGTAGGTAGTTTGGGGTTTTGTGGCGTCAAGCCCATGCGGTATGAGACATGGAACATGGGGCTGACGCGTGGTGATAGGGTGCAGATATACACTATCCCCGCCCACCCTTCACCTGCCGTTTCCTCATCCACACGACATACGTCTCCCCTCCCTCTCGTTCAACGAGGCGCCAGAACCCTGCCTGCTGTGCTTCGCGCCATACTCTGTCTCTCTTCTCGCCCCAATTCGGATAGGTCTCAGACCCCGCCCGTTGATGCGCTGTCCAAAGTCGACAAGTCGAGAGAAAGAAGAGTGTCGGACGAGTCGCATCATGAAGTCATAAGGCGGCGGAGTACAGGTGGGGAGTCGGGGATCGAAGTCATGGAAGGGCCAGGCTATAGTCCCCCTTTGTCCAGCTTTGGAGAGCTTGGAATGATAACTGAGGAAGAAGTCGTCGATCCTTATGGCAACGACACTGAAGAGCTCGAAGGGGAAACACCAGCCGTTGCGAGGGAGAATGACGAGAACCAAGATTTCCAAGGTTCAGTAAAGGAAGAGGAAGAAGGGGAGACTGTAGCGTACATTCATTTTTGTTGTGATAATCATCGTGACTCTCCTCTTCATACCTCTGTTGAAAGCGGGGCTGACGATATGCGTTAGTGTACAGTGCTGAACGCATCCTGGGGCACCTCACCATCGACGGCTATCGGCCCACGATCAGTACCAAGCGGTTCAACTCCGGTCTCGTCAAGCGTTGGGTCAGGCCAATTTCTGGTGGGTCTAAAGAGAAATAGAATAGGCGGTATGGGAAGAGATAGGGCAGGGTGAAGTCAAATAATATCGCGCGTATAATCTGGACGCCCAGAAGAAGCGAGCTTTGTTGTATCTACAATCTTAACGAATGTGTAGTCGGTCCCCATTAAGATCTCCATATCTCTAGTACAGTAGCCAAACATCATCCACGGCATGCACATCATCATACATTTCGCCCTAAAGAGGTTGACAGCAGACCTCTGCCTCCACTCTATTTACGTAAACCATAAAAGTCGCGACGCGTCCGGATCCGTGCTGATAACTCTTTCGAATCGTTCAAAATAATTCAAACTGCATTGCTATAGCCCTCTCCAGCTCATCAACCTCTCCATACCCACTCCATACCCACCCCACGGTACAAAGAACTCTTCCAAAATGCCCCGCTCCCCATCCCCAACCCTATCCGACTCGGAACTCCTCGATTCCATCGCCGACTCATTCGACTACTCTGCCCACCGCGAAGCCCGCATGGAAGCCCTCGCACAACAAGTCAAAGCCGTCAAGAACTTGCGAGAAACGGGGGATGGAGAGTATGGAAGGGTGGTGGAGTATAAGGAGGAGAAGGGTATGATTGAGCGGATGGCGTGAGTTGTTCAGTTCTTGTAAGGTAGCTGGGAGTACGAGGTTGTGATGACAAGTTGGATGAGGCTAATGGGATGGGGTGTAGGAAGGAAAAGTACTGTCTGATCAACTTTTTCCATCCAGACTTCAAGCGCTGTGAGATCATGGACCGCAAACTCGCCGTCAGTCCACCTTCCTCCCCATATAGCCTTTGTACAACCCCGCTGACTGTGTAATCTCTCGCAGGAACTCGCCCCATCATACCCCCACACCCTCTTCCTAAAAGCATCAGTCGACAACGTCCCGTTCTTGGTCAGCAAGATGGCTATCAAGGTGTTACCTTGCGTTATGTGTTATGTCGATGGACGGGCTGTTGATCGGTATGTCCCCTTATCCTATCTTCTTCTTCTCCTCTTTCCCGAGAAGGAGGAGGATCAGAAGAGGGCTGTGAGAGTGATGGGGTGCTTATGAAGGGGTGCTGTAGGTTGATAGGGTTTGAAGAATTGGGACAGACAGATAATTTCTCGACGAAAGCGCTTGAATTTAGATTACAACAGTCTGGTACGTTTTCTTCCCCTCTCCCCTCTCCCCTCTCCCCTTTCCTTCCCTTCCTCGCCTGTTGGAAGTGCTGATACGTAGCATAAACAGGCGTCTTTCCCCGAAATACAAGTCTCTCAGCAAACCTCAACCCCCTCCTCGTCGGCAAAGGCCGTCAAGCCAACGGAAAGGGATCTGATTCGGAAGACTCTGAGGATGAAGATGAGCGGAGACGGACGCAGCAGGGGAGGGGTGGGATTCGGACTGGGATGGCTAGTAAGGGGGATAGTGATGATGACGATTGGTGAATACCTCTCAACCCTTTGTATAGGTATGTTGTTTGAAGAGAAGGGGAGAGGGGTTTAGTTTGCTGATGATATTGGCAGAGCTCTGTACTTTACATGTATACATTCGTGCATACGGCCCATGCTGTGCTCTTCTCATGCAGTGTATTATTCGAGGAGGCGCAATCCCATTCTCACATTATCCTGGCCGTCCTGGACTACCGTCTCCTGACTTTGTTCCCATTCATCGGCACAGCAAACTCCACTAGGAGTGATACGAGACACGTCTCAGCCCCTAGCCTCATCGTTGATCGCCATCTCCCAACTCTGAACACTCCCTTTCATTCCCCGTCTGTCGAGTCCTTTATGGGGATGTACCTCCTTTACGCACTAGCTCACTGTAGGGGTAAGTCGTCATCGCAATGCAGTTTGAAAGAAATGTTACTCTAGTCTGAAGGGTATATAGTTTACACGAACAGCGTTCTGGCCTCTCTTTCAATATTCATTTTTCGCGCGCTGTACTAGTTGTTTCGGTTTCGTGTTGATCACGAGCTACGCCTTCTGCTTGACGCACCCAACTACCTTCACGCTCTTTGCCTCTTTGCCTCCCTGCCCCCTGTCCCTGCCCCTGTCCCTGCCCCGCTTCTTACCACTCTTGTTCCCAACATGGCACCGATCCTATACACCCTCCTCAAAAGGGACGACTCTGACTCTACCGATTCTTCCTCTGACTCTTCTTCCTCTGACGGTTCCGACAGTTCCGACAGTTTCAGTTCCAGTGGGAGTTTCTTGGATGAACATGGGAAACAGATATACAGTACGCCCCCCC